GATATAACTTTGTTTATGCGTAACTTATTCAAATTTGATAACCTTTTTCGTAAAACCATGAATTTATAAAAGTTTTATTATTGGATCTAAAAATGTACAATTCTTAATATCTAAATTTAATTGAAAACTTTCAAACAAAGCAAAATAAACAATATTTACACAATAAATAAGTTCTAATAGTTCTATTCTTGACCTCATTGCAAAGTCACATAGTTAGGTCACTGCTCGTAGTGTTGCAACTCTTCGGAATCAATTGTGTACGAAAAAATCGTGTACATTATTCGGAAAATCGAATTTATTACTTTCAAATTATCAATTAACGCATTTGTAAAAATACATGACAGATGACAAAATGATCAAATTTGATGCCTCGGTCCATAATCTTCTCAGATTACGATGTTGTAAGCGCTAGAAGCGCTTATGGCCAATGTCAGACCACGGCCAGAAAGCGAATTTTCGACGTAATGTTTAGGGGTACAGCGCCATTTAATTTTTGTATAATTTCACGTTACTGCTCGATCGCATAATGCATTTAATACATAGGTACCCTAAAATAAATTAGTTTAATTATTTTCAAATAAATCTATATAGGCGAAATAGCTCCAGAAAAAAGATTTTTTTATCAGACAACACTGCCGACCACAAGCGCACGCGGTCCCCCTCGCCCGCGTCAGCAGTCTCTTGCCATCTTGGAAGCTGACTGTGCGCGTACCTACTTTAAGAAATGGACGCGGAAAGGTTCCAAGAGTGGTTCTTAAATTTACTAACGAATATCCCTCCTAACAGCACAATTATAATGGATAATGCCCCATACCACTCTGTGCAAATTGATAAAGCACCAACATCAGCCAATAAGAAAGCAGATTTGGTGGCGTGGCTGCAAAGAAAAGGAGTGGAAGCCGACATGTCACTATTAAAAGCTGAATTGTTACATTTAGTGAAATTGGATAAACCACCAAGACCGACTTATGCTATTGACCAATTAGCCGAAGAACACGGGCACAAAGTCATACGACTTCCTCTGTACCATTGCCAATATAATGCCATTGAACTGATTTGGGCCCAAGTTAAAGGTAATACTTTATAATATAATAATATTTTTTAGTAGTTGATTATATTAATAACAAGAACTTGTTCTTAATAAGCTGAAATATATTGTGAATTGAGATTTTCCGTTAAGTACAGTAATACTATAAAACATTACCCTTCTTCTTCGCAGTTGTGTTAAATTGTACATAACCTAACAAAATATAGCAAGATTAGCTTAACACATTTTGTAGCCACATAACACGAGTGCCTCTAGCTTTTATAATTTAAAAAATAGTCTAAGTCTCCCACCTAATAATTATATAATTGTTTTACAGGTTATGCAGCAAGACACAACACAAAACCGCCCTTCAGTGTCAAGAAAATGGAAGGCTTATTAAAGGAAGCATGTGCGCAAGTTACACAAGAAGATTGGTCAAAAGTAGTAGAAAAAACAAAGAAAATAATAATGGACCACTTCAACAGAGACGTAAAATTCGATGGTTTCATGGATAATCAACTAGTCATTAATTTAAATGACGATGATGACGAGGACGACAATGATTCCAGTACTTGTAGTGAATAAAAAATATCCTAAACATTACTTTTATTTAAATGCTTCGACTTCGACCTTTAGAACCTTAAGATTTTTTCGGTATTCTATCCTCAGATTACTAGTAAAACCTAAATTTACCAATAAACAACCTTTTACAATAACATATTAAAAAAATATAGGAAAAGAGTACAGGGAAATAATATCTTAAATTTCGGATATTATGGTCATTGATCTCTTAAAATTCGGATATTATAGTAATCGATATCTTAAAATTCAGATATCATAGTAATCGATTTTTTAAAAACCCATCCCTATTATTCAATTTGTCAGAACTGTCAAACGGTACTTCTTAGATTTGATGGACTGTAAAAAATATATTTTTAAATTAAATTTCTACAGCAATCTTCTGGTTTTATGAAGTGAAATCGATATATTTAGGTTCCTTAGACCAAATACTTTAAGAAATAAATATTTATTTAATACAATTCGACATGAGTCAACTAGCCTATTACAGCATTATAGGGCATTATGCGGCATAATGCTTAACGTTGAGTGTTCCAACTACAGCAACGCTTCGCACAATTGAGCACTCTCAAAAGTGATGCTTTCGTGTGATGCGTGCAATCGTACCAACTTAGAGACAGAAAATTAAAGTGTTTTTTCTTTAAGTTGGCATTGATCGAAATGTTTTATTTATATGTTATCGTTAGTAATATTATTTATTGTTGAAAAATTATTAAATCTTTCGTTTCAGTAAATAGTTTTTTTTTAATAATCAAAGTTCATTCAAACTGTCAAAAAATAAATATAAGTATGGATGAAGGTACAAACATTGACTTTTTTTTTCAACACTGAACTTAGCGCACTCTGCTGGTGCATTTGAAAACTAATTCACGTTCCAATTAAGCATCAGCATAATTCAGCATTGTGCGGCACTGAGTCGCATTATGCTCTGTAATTGGAAAGCAACCTATAATTGCATAAGTAAACACCCCAAATTTGATACAGTGTACGCTAGCATGACGGACACCTCATCGAAAAGTGACTTCTACCATTTTTTTTAATCCAGTCCTCGTAACGTGAGCATCACAATTTACATTATATCACGTTTTGTAACTCGTCTAACTGTCAAACTCCGAAGTAATTTGACAAGTGAGCGTAATAAAAACATTTATATATCATATCGCGGTGCTCATGCTAGGGAGTCACTTATGTTCGGAGTAATATTAGAACCTTTGATTATTTACTCTCTAGATAGATCGTCACCTTGATACTGCGATAAAACAGGCCAGGTTTTATATACTTCCGTGCGTGACACGCAAAACAAAACACACGAGTCCTGTATCTTACGCTCGCGAAATGTCATTCTTTGTGTCTCGGTGCGCATCTTGATGCGCATCCATAACATTATTACACGATGTGCACAATGGTTGTTTGTTAGCTGGTTAGGCCACATTCCCCAAAAGAATGGGTAATTTGTTCATGCAATTAAAACTCCTAGATTGTCATTGAAATATCTGTAAAACTTATAAATTTATACTTGTTTTTTTTCAGTCATGATAATATAGAAAGAAACAGCAAAATGACTTTGGTAGTTTCATATTATTTTCTTTAAAATTTTTACATATTATTCATGCCTCTATGATATTCCTCGGCATTTTTAATCAATAATTTCAACACGAAACTCGGTAATTGATATGCGTATCGCTCAGCGTTGCATTGAACACGAAACTTAAATCCCACCAGATGGGGGATATTTTTTTTTAATGCATCTGTGCTGCTAAGCTCCGTCTAGGGAATAAATAATCAAAGATTAAAACAACAAACCTGAAAATTGTAATTGACATATCAAGTTTAATACTTTAAGTTCAACAGCTTTTGTACACGGAAACTATAGAAACAATGAGAATTTCATTACAAATGAAATATAGATAAAATCAATTGTTTTGGTATGATCGAACAATAACGGACGATCATTAAATTATCGATTATTTTGTCACATCTCTTTCGACAAATGCAAACGTCAGAACTAATGAATGGCCGAAATGGAGAAAAACAAGGCCGTAAAACTTAAAAAAAAATGCGGAGTTTTTGGCGGGATTTCATCGAGTGTGGTTGGCGTCTTATTTTAATTATTCTTAAATTCGTTCATAGCGGATATTGTGAAATAAAATTGGTGTGATTTTGTGTTACAACTGTCTGCGTAACTGAAGAATTAGTAGAATCGTCAAAATATACGCTATTCCGGTCAAGTGGACGTAAGAATTTTATTGTAGTATTGTCTACCTCACAGAAGCTTATCGAAAAAGCCAGCTCGATACATTTGGTGCCAAACACTTCAAGAAACATTAGAATGCGTCACACCGACATTCTAATGTAAAAAGGAAAACAGAATAATTTAAGACTAGGCTGTATGGGCATTGTTCCCCTTGCCTTCCCTGAAAATGGAGAACTGAACCAAAAAAAAATGCAAACGTCAGTAATGCAGTGTGACCAGATTTAGTATTTTAATACTTTTTCAGTATATTTCATCGATTTTTCCGAACTTCAGTATATTTTTAGGTATATTGCTGGCAGTCAGTATTTTTGGGTATATTTTGGTAGAAGTTATGGCAACACCGTAGTGAGTCTTTGCGACAATGTTTGCGGAATTCCCCGGAACGCGAACATTGGGGACTTCCGCGGATTTAGTTTACCTATACTCATACATGTTATCTATGAGTAAGTTACAGATATGACAAGAAAGACGGCCGTTGTCGGCGTTGTAGTATTGTAATACTACATATACAATTATCAATCAATACATAGTATTAATCAGACTTGCAAAATGTATGTTCGCCTAAAACTTTACAACTGCTGGACCGATTTTAATGCGGTTTGCACTATTAGATAGAGCGTGAAGAAATGAAGGAGGTTGTGTCAATTTTAATCCTTCGAAAAGGATTTTAAAATATAACTCTAACATTTATTGTGAGTACGTATGAATAAATAAAATCATCATCATCATCATCAGCCTATTAATGTCCCCACTGCTGGGTTACAGGCCTTCCCTATGGGTGGAATAGGGAGATTGGGCCATGACCCACCACGCGGGCCCAGTGCGGATTGGTGGGTGCTAACGACTGCAGATGCAGCCGAGACCAACGGCTTAACGTGCCTTCCGAAGCACGGAGGAGCTCGAGATAGTAATTTTTGGTCACCCATCCAATGACCGACCACTGCGAAAGTTGCTTAAGTTCAACGATCGCAGCCGCACGCGCTAACCACTTGCGCCATCGAGCTCCTCTATATAAATAAAATGTGTTAAGAATCAGTATTTTTATTGGTATATCTGTCCTATGTAAGTCGATATATTTCAGTATATTTTTGATGTGTCTCGGTATTTTCGTAAAATTTAATCTGGTCACACTGCAGTAATGTCAGATAGCGCAGTTATCCGCTAATGTCGTCTTCGGAAATTCGGAACACGAACAAGTTATTTCGGATTAAATGACATTTCTTATAAAGTTTGTATTGAACACAGAAAAGTATTACCACTAATTGTAAGATATGTAGTTATATAAAAGTGTATAAAATTCCTCAGTATAATAGACTATTCTACTTTTAAATTATTATTAACTGTGTATTCAGATGTTTATGTAAAAATGCTCTCAAGATTCCATCACTATCATGGTTCTAATATTATTTTATTTGAAGACAATACTGTAGCTTACAGAAAAGCAAGTTTTGCTGATGGATTGACCTTTAGTGAAAAACCACTCCTCCCAGGTGAAATATTCCTAGTCGAGATAGAGAAAACTGAAAGAGGATGGAGTGGTCATATGCGTTTAGGATTGACGCTTTTAGATCCACAGAGTGCCGCACTTGGTGACGGGGGTCTACCACAATATGCTCTTCCAGATCTGGCGAGTACTGGTATGTCATGGATATTTCCAATTTCGAAATCTCAGAATAATGTTTTGATTGAACTAGTCAATCAAGGAGAGCTTGGAAGGCGAGAAAATGAACCTCGCGTATCTGTCTTGGGAGATGGCCACAGTGTAAGAACTCCACGAGGCTATATATCTAAGACAATTCTCAAACCTCAAACACTTACTCAAAATGGTACACCACAAGGTATTTTACCTATGGATGCTGGAAGTCGCATAGGTGTTATGTTTGTGCCTTGTCCCAAAACAGACAGTGAAGACAGTGAACTGGCTGAAATGCATTTTATAATAAATGGTGTAGACCAGGGACCATGTACTAAGGCCATACCTTATAAAAGAGGGCCTTTGCATGCTGTTATAGATGTTTATGGAACTACAAAGCAAGTGAAAATTGTGCAGCTATATGGAGGTAAGATTTTATTGTCAGATTAAAAGAGGAGTGTCCAAATCCTTAAATGTCAGTATTACCATTGATAATATAAGTGGTATTCATGGATAGAACAATTTATTCTATTTTAATGTCACTATTATCATTGATGGTACTAAGGATACAAAGTTTTATCACTTGTACCATCAATGGTACTAGCCATGGTATTACTGATATAACGGAGTCAAAATAAGTACAAAACTTTAAACAAGATAAGCAAATAGGGTTTGGGTACTTTCTGCCTTATTGGTGATTTGCTTTTGAACCAGACTTCTCTGGTAGTAGCCCAGCAAGTGTTGGTGACCAGCTGATGTGGCTGGATTTTAAGGGAAATAGCACCGGTGTAACAAATACCTTTAGACAACAACAGTCTCAGATTTTGGTTCTCAACCTTGACCTCTATCTGGGTAATTATCACTTCTGAAGCAAATATTTATACTCCTCACACAAATAAATGCCCCTACTGAGCGTAGTGCTATTCTGTCAGAACAATCTCAATTTCACTGCAGAATATGTGGGTGTGATTTGAAATTTCTGTTCTAATTTAATTTTAAATTATTTAGCAGATTCCGAGGTGAAAAGTGAGTTTGTTCTTACAGAATGGCCCTGCTGGACCTTTGGAATAGAAGCAACTGTTGCACCAATCAATCGTCAAAATGTAGATTCATCATCAGAGATGGTCCAGAATGTTGGGGAATAAAGCTTTTTCATTATGACCGTTGCAACTAATTGTATTTCCATTATAAAAGCATGTGTGTATTTTATAAAACTGATTTTTGTTACAGTGAAAACACTTCAGAATGTGTGTAGAGATGCAATACTTCAATATGTTAACAATGGATCAGTGAAAACATTGCCTCTGCCCAAGTGCTTAAAGGACTTCTTACTTTCTTAAAATACTATTGCTTAAAGCAGCTTTTGTTTTATGGTGAAGACAATAATAATAAATTATGTAGCACAACATAATTTTGTAATCTCTAATGAATTCGCTGGGTGATATTTTAACAGTGAAAAGAACTTTCAAGAAAATGGGTTTTATGCAGAAAATGAATAAAATGGAATATTTTAGTGTTTATTTTTCATTAAGAGATAGGTTGCATCAAAGTGATCTGTTATTTTGTTATTAAAATTGTTATGATGAAACAAATGAGTAGATAGTGGTTAAAAATGTAATACCTGAACTTTACATACATTCTTCTGTTATCATATTATGTGAATACTTACTACTTCAAAGTATGAATGTTTCAGTATGACTGTGCAATCACGGAGACTGAATGGTTATTTGTACAAGATTGTACATACTTGAGTCATCAATATTTGTTCTGTAATATTTAATTGTTTATGTACATATATTTCTCTCCATGGAATAAATATGATGTTTTGATGGGATGAGCTGTTGTTTCATCCATTTATTTATAGCAATTTTTATTTTAAACTCTGTCTTTGTGTATGTATATAATGAAGTAATGAAGAATATAAAATGAAGCTTCATTTCATTAAATTTATTCTTTTATAAGTTTATTATTTATTAGCTTTTTCTTGCTCCATTTTCATCAAATTTCAAGTACCTATTCAGATACCTATTCCAGGGTAAAAAAAATTAAACAGTATCCTTAGTGTTAATACTATTTCTGTGCCAATTTTGGGTGATTCAAAACAGATTTTGCATACAAATTTTGAACACGTAAAGTCGATGTCAATACGTAAACTGCCATAGTCTCCCACACTGGCTTAGATTAAAACAAAAAGGGAAGAATCTTCCCTTCCCGGAAGATATGGTACGCCCATACTAATATGATCCGACTCAACTGCTTAAGTAACTCTCACACACGCACACATCTGTATATAATCATTCAATCGAGCGAGCGAAACAGAACGTACGCTTCAATGCAGCGCGAGCGAAACAGCGAGTCCGCTTCTGAGTCCGTACGGCTGAGCTGTATTGTTGTCCTTTTCTTGGTAACAAAATGGCGATTACGTAAATAACATTCACGACAAACCGTGTTTTTTGGAAAACAATGTTTTTACAGTTTTACGAATGAAAAGTTTTGCCAAAGCATGTGTTATTTGATTTTGAACTTGTGTTTTGTATATTAGCAGCGAAGGCATTGTTTTATCTTTATAACACCTGATAAATGCAATATTGTTATATAGAGTGCAAATGCAGCGTGTTTGAATGTCTAATTGTGACTACAGCGAATTGTGATCGTGCACCACAATTTAAGCGGATCACTTAAATTGGGTTAAGCGGATTGTTGTAATCCAAGGATGAAAGTGACATGCAAATCAGATGGTTTGCATTTGCTTTTATTAGGGCTACAGTACAAACATGTATTTAGAAAAATTCTCATCGAACACAATTAAAACCCATTGATTATACAAGGTGGGCCAAAAGAAATCAGCCTATTGGAAGATGCTCTCATTTTTGCAAATGGCCGCCCAATGTCAAACTGTTTTGACATTTGTAGACTAGATAAATGCAGAATACAAGTGAACAAGCCATGGAGCGATTGGGTGCGGCCAGAGTGCACTCAGATTCAGAGTCAGATTCAGATTCTGAAAACAAGCGCGAGAAATAAACAGTGTAGTCGAAGGGTACGGCCAGATTGCACTCCTGATTCAGATTCAGATTCAGACTCAGAAAACAAAGCGCGAGAAAAATCAAGCAACCTGCTTAGACTACACTGTTTATTTCTCGCGCTTGTTTTCGAAATCTGAATCTGAGTGCACTCTGGCCGCACCCATAGGGTACGGCCACAGTGCACGCAGATTCAGATTCTGACTCAGAAAACAAGCGCGAGAAATAAACAGTGTAGATAAAGCAGGGTGGCCATAGTGGCAGCAGGCAACCTGCTTAAACTACATTGTTTATTTCTCGCGCTTGTTTTCTGAGTCTGAATCTGAATCTGAGTGCACTGTGGCCGTAGCCATACACTCCCCAAGATCGCGGAATAATCGTATCTATTTTTGTGCGTAACAATTCATCTGTGGTGTTGGCGCAGCGCGAATTATGTCGCCGATTCCCCGTCCGACACCGACTGCGCAAACACTGCACCTTTTGGCCACCAACCTTGAAGAGTATGGCACCACACGAGACGTTGCTAGGAGTGGCCGGCCCCGAGCACCCGTTCTGCCGAGAATATCGCCGCTGTTGCCGAGGATGTCGAGCTGTCGCCGGAAACGTCGATCAGACGCCGTACCACGCATTTAGCCATCAGTCGGACGTCCCTAAGGCAAATTTTGGTCAAAGACCTGCGCATGTACCCGTACAAAGTCCAGTCCGTGCATCAGCCGCTGCCTGCTGGCCGCCAAACGCGCGTAACCTACGCTCAAGCCATCCTCAATCTCGAGGAAGAAGTGGACGATTTTTCGACCAAAATCATAATGAGCGATGAGGCTCATTTCCACCTCAGCGGGTACATGCAAAACTATCGCTTCTGGGGCACCGAAAAAACGCGAGTGATGCACGAGGAGCCATTACACCCGCTCAAGGTGACTGCATGGTGCGCTGTTCACGCTGGAGGAGTCATCGGGCCATTTTTTTCGAGAATGCCGCTGGCCAAACGACAACAGTGGACGGTGCGCGCTATAGGTTGTTATTGCTGTTGACCGAGTTTTTTCTGCCGCAATTGGACGAATTAGAACTAAAGGACATGTGGTTCCAACAGGATGGAGCAACGGCACACACTGCGGGAGCCACAACCAATATTCTGAAGACGGCGTTCCCGGGTCGCTTCATCTCTCGTTTTGGTGATTTGCACTGGTCCGCAAGATCGCCCGGTTTAAGCGTTCCAGACTTTTTTTTGTAGGGTTTTTTGAAGTAACCTGTTTACATGAACTAGCCCGAGACTTCGGAAGCCCTCAAGGACAACATTCGAGTGCGAGAATCTGTCGCCCGAAGTTCTCGCCGAAGTGATGAAAAATTCTATAAAACGAGCCCGTATGGCAATCAATTGTGACGGCGCCCATCCGGCCGATATAATCTTTTCGACTTGATCAATGAAATTCTAAAGGTTCAAATGAACATAATCAAAAAACAGAATCGAAGTCACATCGGCTGACTTCTTTTGGCACACCTTGTAGTTTAATAGGTTATGTAAATCTGAACGGTAATTTACGTCCACGACAAATGACTCTTAACTGGAATTTATTAAGTAATAATTAATAAATTCCGTAATCTCGTAAACTCGTAAATAATTACCAGAGGCATTAATTCAACCATGTAAATGTATCTACATACTGCAAATTGTCGTACAATGTCTTGCACTTGCAGTTGCAAAATATCAAAAATATTTTGTATTTCTCTTTGTAAATGTATTAGTAAGGAATGTGTAGGGCTCCGTAGTTGCTCGTTGTAACCACAATATACACAGTCAGGTCATAAGTATTGTCACACAGTAAAAACTTTTCTTTTAGAATGCTGACCACAAAAAAGTTTATTGAATTCGAATTTCGAATTGTTCATGAAAATAAAAATGTATACTTTTTAGAATTTTACTCATTTTTAAATATGAAGTGGACGCTTAAGAAGACCGCGTTGCAGTTATTGCGTTGCATCGTTGCGGTTACGCGCCAATTCAAATTTTTGACATACTGAAAAATTTGAATATAATCAAAAAATTCGTTTATCGTATCATCAAACTATACAATGAAGACTCTAGTGTAGATGACAGGTCAAGAAATGGTCGCCCTCGGCCTGTTCAGCCTCCAGCAGTGATAAAAGTTGTGAAGGCGCGAATTCAAAGAAATCCCAAACGTAAGCAGAAACTGCCCTTCAGATGGGGTTAAGCAGAACCACGGTGAAAAGGGTGTTAAATGAAAACTTAGGGCTTCGGGCATATCGAAGAAAAACAGGACATCCTTTGAATGCTCGTCCAATGGACCTGAGACTGAAGAGATGCCACGCTTTGTTGAAGCGGTACGCGGGAAAAACATATCGGGAAATTCTTTTTTCGGATGAAAAAAATTTTACCGTAGAAAAGAGCTACAACAAACAAAATGATAAGGTGTACGCAGTAGTGAAGAAGCGAGCAACCATATTCCGCGTGTCCAACGAGGTCATTTTCCATCCTCGCTCATGGTATGGTTGGGAGTTTCTTATTAGGGCTTAACAGAGGTACATTTTTGTGAGAAAGGTGTAAAAACGAATGCAGTTGTGTGTCAAAATACAGTCCTGAAGAACCTTGTGGAACCTGTGTCTCTACCATGTTCAATAACAGGCACTATTCCAACAAGATTCGGCGCCAGCTCATAGAGCGAAGAGCACACAAGACTGGCTGGCGTCGCGTGAAATCGACTTCATCCGGCACGAAGACTGGCCTCCTCCAGTCCAGATTTGAGTCCGTTAGATTACAAGATATGGCAATTAAAGATTGAAAGAGTGCACTTCCCAGGTGGCCCCATCGGAACCAAGTCAGGATTTGATGGTGGAATCCGGGGAAATCGAGGGAAACCTACAAATTTCAAAGGCCCGCACGATGTTTTTTTATGTATGTTCACTGATTTCTCCGTCAATTGTGTTATTGTTAACTTGGACGATGTAACTTTCACTAAAATGGATGAATAAAAAAAAATAAAAAAATAAAACCGACTTCAAAATCGCAAATGGAACTAGCACATACTTAATGCAAATTTAAGACATTGTTTTCTCATGGGTGCTATTGTCAGAACTGGACCAAATTGAAATAGGACCACACGGCTTTGAGTATCTGTCACCCAGTCGGAATTTCTGAGGTAGCAAACATGAAAAAAAAATACAGTCGAATTGAGATCCTCCTTTTTTTTTAAGTCGGTTTGAAATGTACAAACGTAACTACTGAAATAAAATTGGAAAATTAATTTCAACACAACGTGTTTATTATATTAAACAGTATTTATTTGTTATACATCTCGAAATCCCTTGGCAACGGAAGAGTGTATGGCACTATTTTAGACTTGCCTAAGTCGAAATCTCGATAGTCCAGAGTTTGTTCTGGTTCAACGTGCTCCACCCAGTAGTTTTCCAGCGTCGGGTTGAGAGTACCTTTCCAATGCTGAAAAATATTACGAATGAATAATTATGACAAAATGCAGAATCCAGCCAGCTCAGGGACGTCTCATTTTTAAAACCGTTACAATATCGCTACGTATAATTATAATTTGTATCTTTGGGGGTTTCTTAGATTCTCCGCAGGCTCTGTTTGTGGCTCTTTCATAAATGGTATTCCATTTTTGTATACATCTACCTACCACAAAACAAGCAACTAAGCATGTATTTTAAGTTAGTCTTATTTGAATAAGTAACTACCTGATTTCTGTAATAAAGTCTGACTTGTATAACCTGTGTTTTATGATGGTCTTTCTTTACTGTAACAATGAATGTCGAAATTTTAACAACTGAACGAGTCGCCAATTTGCCTGCGGCATATTTTAAAACAGCGAGCGTTTTAAACCGGACGACGCCGTTTTTTAAAATGCGGGATCATACAAATTGCCTGCGACATATACATTACACAGTCAACACAGGATGAAGTCCCCAAATATCTTTGTTCGCAGTGAAATGTTTCAAAACCATGATTTTATAGCATTGTGGACTTTCTAATTTATTTTGCACCTAGGTACATTTTACTCAATTAATTGTATTATTTTGTACTTAATTGATAGTCACAAGTTATTTTTAGTTAATAAAAGGCTGATGATGATGAAGTAATTTTTATCATTTGGTTATTTGCGGTACCTAAAGTTTCTTGCCACACACAGTAGGTACCTTCTTAAGTCAAGGGAAAGACCATGCATGACGGTGGAATCATTGGATAAGTGGAATCATCGCTTCAACTGCAACTTACCACCAACTAAAGGCGTGGTCAATATCAACTAGAGGACAACAAGGTTTGCCTCATACTTCTCTTCTCAATGGGTTAGGTATACCTAGTTTATAAGATGACAGCGCAGCGTAAGAACCGTACGACTCCAAGCATTCAAAATCAGCGGCTACCACCCACACAACGGCCAAAACCTCTGTTTCGTTACGCCTCGTGAGCTAAATCGAGTTGACAACAATAAAATAATCTCGTGGGATGATGATTCATGTGTAATTGGTTAGACAGAGCGGCAGCTGTGAACCGTTATTATTTGATTTGTGTCACGCGATGATGACGACATGAAACAGTAAATCCGGCATACATTAAAATTTGACGCAGAAATTGCGAAAATTATGTCAGTCATATAACCATTTATCGGATACCTACCCAAATTGTTGTAGGTACATACAGATTCTAAATACAAGGAAATTGGTGAGTCCGATTCACAATCGTGATTTCCCTTTAGGACACTTCATCATCATTAACCTATTGATACCCCCACTACTGGAGTAAAGACCATCGCTATGGATGGAATGAATAGGGAGACAGTAGGGCCGTGACCCACCAGTGCGGATTACGACGACTGCAGATACAGCCGGAACCATCGGCTTAACTTGCCTTCCGAAGCACAGAGGAGCCCCAACGACCGACCATTGCGAAAGTTGCTTCGGCCGCATGCGCTAACCACCTGCGCCATAAAGTTCCTCCTCATGCTCCTAAACCCTTATTTTTTATAAATATCATCAAATAACTGTATTTCTAATGACGGAGTCTAGTACAGTTGATAGTGATGGATGGTAGGGGTAGAGAGAGATGTATCCCGAGGCTTAGCCAGAACTCAACTGAATAGGAGAATAACCCTGTGCGGGGTCTGACAACTCTACTGACTGTCGGACTAATTTAATGAAAAAAAACCAGGGATGTAACGGAGGTAAATTTATCGGAACCGAAGTCGGAGTTGGAGTTTTTAAATTAGATTTATCGGAGGCAGAGGCAGAGTCAGAAGTGGTCAAAAGAGAGACTTTTTGCATTAAAGAAAAAATAAAAACATCATTCAGTCAACCTTTTTTGCATTTTAATTATAAAATAACGCTTTTTTCATTTAATTATTATTATTACACAGACTCCCAACGCGACGGGTATGAACCAGTTCGTAACGGTCTACGCAGGCAGCATTCGCTATTTGCTATGCTTCGACCTCCATTTAAAACCTCCGATTTAAAAGTTTCGGAACCTTAGGTGTAATAATAATCGGAAGTTCCGACTTAACGGAATCAGAGTCAAAGCTCCGTAACATCCCTGAAACAAACTACAAAACAGCGTTATGTAGCTCTCGTAAGGTGGCGGTGTCAAATATTTTCTATCGTAAAAATTTAATTAATTGAATACTAACGTTAAGGGTATGTTTAGCCCAAATGAGTAACGTCTTCAACGACAGTTGCTTGCAATAGTCGATGCATTTATTCAGGTAGCTGAAGCCACGGTACTTCTTGCCCCGTACGTAATGAAAATAGGCGTACAGAAAATAATACCTTTAAATTAAGTTGTACATTAAACTTTTTAAAGAGTAGAGATATATATGTTACTGGCCAAACCCGATATTAGGACAAACTAGTTTTGCCTAGGCTAAACTAGATCTTCCTATACGCGATAGGATTAACTAGTATAGCCTAGTCCAAACTAATTTGTCCTAAGCCCGATAGGTTAAACCAGTTTAGCCCAGGCCAAACTAGTTGATCCTGATATAAATACTCACACTCTAGGATAAACTAGTACGGCCTAGTCTAAACCAATTTAGCAGAGTCGAAAGTAATTGAACAAACATGTCAGGACTTGTACAGGTCGCGTCATGTAAAAAGAACGCTGGAAGAAAGTGGAGGGTGTGTTTATGCGCATGGGTACACTCGCCCACATAAGTAATAGGCCTTTTGTTTTGTGAGATGCAGCTGCAACAAAAATGTTCCACAAACAGCTGCCAATGATGGCAATGATACTCTGCAATTCAAGAAGGCAAGAAGGCAATGATACTCTGCAATTCTAAGTGCCACCAAAGCACAACATGTAAAATTAAATAACAATTTTAATAATTGAGATATGATTATTGCTTCTATTAAAAAAACACATATTATTTGTTATAGTATAATTGTTTGTATTACTAATTATCCATAACTTTTAACGATGAATCATTATCGTTTTAATAAAAAATATTATTTTTCCAATTACGGAGTATTTTATTCAGTTTATTTATTTATTTTGACTTTTTAGATATACTATAATGTTTAGACTAGGGCATACTAGTTTATCCTAGAGTCTGCGTATTTATATCAGGATCAACTAGTTTGGCCTAGGCTAAACTGGTTTATCCTATCGGGCTTAGGACAAATTAGTTTGGACTAGGCTATACTAGTTAATCCTATCGCGTATAGGAAGAAGTAGTTTAGCCTAGGTAAAACTAGTTTGTCCTGAAATCGGGTTTGGCCGGTAACATATATACTATATGAGAAAATCTATGAAAGGCAAAGAATTATGTATGTGGGAATCCAAACCAGGCTTTCTTTCTAACGCACGCATCCGCACGAACCGATTTGCTTCCATTTTCATTATGCGAACGGCGAAAGGGAGTGGAACTCCTTACCGAGGTCTGTTTTCCCGGACCAATATAATCTGGACATCTTCAAGGCCAGAGTGAACAGGCATCTTCTAGGCAGGCGTGTACCATCCTAGGCTTAATCATCGCTTTCCATCAGGCGAGATTGTGGTCAAACGCCTTGCCTTAATAGGCAGACATTAAAAAAAAAACGCCTTATGTAACGCACAATGGCTTCAGATCTACGTTGTTTCCAGGGACGATCTTTCTTTACAAATATATTTCTTATTTATTTAGTTAATACAAATATTGTCTTTTACCTTCATATTGTCTCCTAATGTAATGAAGTTTCAAATTCTACAAATGTATTAAGGTATGAATTAAAAAAACAATAAATAAAAAAGAGACCTTGGTTTAAACATAGTCATGTATCCGACACAAGTGTACATGTCTTGGAATATTGCTTTCAAGGTTTTTTCCAATACAAAAATAGCCTTTATATTTCTGTTATCCATCTGGAAAAGCAATATCTTCTAAATAATATAAAAAGTTAAAATACACTAGAAGCCTAATGGAGGCACTGGATTATATTACATAAATAATATACATTATATGTATCCGGCTCGAAGGACCAATAACTAAAATATGTTTCATTAAATATCCCGCCTCTCATTTTAGATTTGAATAAATTAAACATATTATGGACACTATGTAAACCATGTTACCTCGCTATTATAAACCATTATATAGGACATTACGTTACATTGAGCGCAGGTCTTGCATCAGGGAATAGCGAGAATGATGCCTTTCAGTGAGCTTTGGCCGACTGACGCTCTTATGTCGCGTTTAATTTTCGCTGAAAATTGTTTTCACGTTTCTTTTTCGGCGCTTTTAATCATTTGGTGGGTCGGTGGGTCTCATACATACGTTCATTTTTCAAATCTTAAAATGACATTACAACGCTACCCTAATTAAATGTTTCTAAGAGGATGTGTAAAATGACAACTTCGAGGGAATATCAATGAAAAATTTAAGGCATAAATAAAACATATTTGCGATGTTTCTTACAAGGTTGCCATTTTAAACCTAGAGCGAATCGCTCGTTTTTAAGCTTAGAGCATCAGTTATGTTTTTATTTTTTAAGCATTTAACTGCTAGATGGTTAAATCTAAAGAAAAGTTTTACTAGAAAAAATCCACGCGGACCAGGCACCAGACGGGACTCGAACCCGCACCCTTCGCTATCCGGGCAAATGCACTGACCATTATGCTACCGCGACCCTGACGGCCGTGTCGAATTTTTCTCTAACCTTAGGCCGTATACAGAAAGAAAGCCGAAAGTCGATCGGCGCCGATAAGCGCCTACATAAAGGAAGCCGATTAAAGCAGATCAAGCAAAATGTCGGACTCAGCGGACGATGATTTGCTTTTGTTAGAAAATGTTTATTTAAAAATGCGAAAAACAGCTATAGGTACATCCTATAAATAGAGAAAGGAAACGTTTCGGAGAATACCATCATTTATTTGTAAAAAAAATTAAATTTGATGAACAAAGATTTTATACATATGCAAGAATGATTCAAGAAACATTTTATTACATTTTGGATTTAGTGAAAAACCCTTGGATGAAAAATTGGGGCAATTGGCATAAACAACCAATCCTTCCAGAAGAAAGACTTGTTGTCACCATTCGGTAAGTACGAAACAAATAATTTTAGCGCTTAGTTAATAAAAGACAAAGTTATTAGATTTATAAAAAGATTATAACTTAGATTGATTTAATCTAAGGATAATAATTCAAATACAAATTATTTATTATTCGGATCGGCGCCGGTCCATAGAAAAAGGATCAGCGCCAATAGGCCGATCGGCTTTCGGCTTTCTTTCTGTATACGGCCTTAGGCTGCAAGGCAGCGCCATCTCTTCGCATTGTAGTCGCATTGCCTGGTCCGCATGGATGTTTTTTCTAGTAAAACTTTTCTTTAGATTTAGAGCATCAGGGTTAAAGTGAAGATAATAACTCGTAAACGGCACATTACCTCTTTAACCAATGTGATAACTAATCCTTCAGCTAATCTCATCAGTATCATCATATTATACTCGTCATTTTCAAACTTCATTGCAACAATTTGCCGGATTTTCTCTTCCCATAATATCGACCTCTCCCATGTACCTACCCGCACTGTGCTGTAAACATGCTAGATTTATGGAAAAATCTATTTTTTATCATTGAGAAGCTCAATGGCGCAAGTGGTTAGCGCGTTAGGTCTGCGGTCGGGTAAATTAAGCAATTTTCGCAATGACCGGTCATCGGGTGGGTGGGTGAAAAAAAAACTCATTATCTCGTGCTCCTCTCTGCTTCGATTAACAACTGCGAGGCAGCCGGGACCAATGCTTTAACGTGTCTCCGACTTCCAAAGCAAGGAGGAGCTGAGTTTAACTTCCACAATAGCAGACCGAACGCGCTAACCGCCTACGCCATCGAGCTCCTCCGTTATAGCATAAAATTTTATATACTCAATACCTAAGATTACAGAGCAAAAGGGAGATGTCACAATACAAATACGAAGTCAAAAATAAAATCATTTTTAGAACTAGTCGGCGTTGTCTTGATAAAAACTGTATATTCACCGGACATATTCACAACACGACGCGACGTGTCGTAGCGTACTGACGCGAGTTTGTATTCGCTTTTGAGTTCGTTCCATCTGCCTTTTGTTTTATAATCTGAGTATAATACATACACGAGCCACATGCCAACGAAAAAGCTCCAAGCAGCTTCCGGTGTCCTAGCCCGAAGGATCGCATCACCCTTCTTCAAGTAAAACCGTTCGCAAGTTCCATACGTTTCTACATAGTAGCCGGTGTCGAGCATGACTATCGTGGCATAAAAGTAGTACCACGTTTCCGCTAGAACAGCGAGATAAATTAATATTCTACATTTAATATCATCTCACCACTAAAGTATACTAAGGTGGCTTTATGAACAGAAAAAACAAAATTCTCTGGGAGTATTCGAATCTATAATTTCATATGTACTCGTAGTAGTGGTGTTTTTTTACGAAGGTAGACACAGTAGATTTTCCGCCTTCGTTTCCTCTACGCTACACTACTAAGGGAAAGTACAAAACGTGCCATGAATAGGGCTGCCATCTGTCTAGATTTTCCCAAAAACTTAATTTCTTTAGATTTTCCCGGATATTTCCAAGGTTGCTTAGCGGGTGGAAAAAACCCGGATACTGTGTCATAAAAAGGAGAGAGATGAGTGTCATTTAATTTGCTACTAAAAGTTTATTAAATTACAGTAGACTGTATCCAACGATATTCTTAATTAAATCGAACCGGCATCCGGAGTGAACCTCCATTTCACCAAATTACTTATGATTATGAATGTTTTGTCCTGCATCGGCTATGTAGTCAGGACTAGACCATGAAAGATAATAGTTGATTAATGTTGTTCCACGGCTCCCGCTAGCTGCCAACGTTGCCGCCCTGATGACGGCTGGATCCATCATCCTGTCTCAGACTTCATACGAATAAATAGACCTCTACAACTGGAACCTATAACTAGTCTAGGAACTGCGTGACTGAAACCACTTATCTTACATATTCTGATGATGGTCTAGCAATGCGAAGCGCGATACCAAAACTCGTAAGATAGAAAACTGGTTTAGGGCAAAGAACACAAGAGCTATATTCTGGTATCGAAGCCCAATGCTTGTAGTGGAAACGGATCCACGGGGTAGGGGATTGGGGCAGAATAGGGATCCTGCGACTCGCATAATGCAAGTATCTTATATAATGTAATGGCTGCTATTAATATTGTGTATATTTGTCACAATATGGAGTCATACCTCCAAACAAGCTTGTATAGCTGAATTTCTAAAAAGAAGAACACGACGCACTTACCTTTCATTAATAAATGAAGAATATTCATGAAATGTGACGGTAAATTTTTTTCCAACGCCGGTAAAGAAGTTTCACTTCAATAAAATCGGATAATCTTTCATATTATTTACTTTATTGGTTTATATCGGTATAAGTTGTTAGTTGTGCAGTATTTTTTTTGTTTACCTACTTAATGTTATTGATAAATTCCTGGTCTAACACATTTATTTTACCTTATTGCCATAGTTTTGGTTGTCAATTAATACAAATTCAAACTATACCTCGATTTATCGAGAGAATAGAACTACCTTGTTTCAAAAATATGTAATTTTAAGGTTTGTTGTGTTATAAACGAATTTTATTTATAATCCATTCAACCAAAATCTGCATATTTTTGTTAAGCATAATCGGTGTTTGGTCGCAACGCAAATTTTGTAAATCGAAATCAGCTTTAAGCTTAAGTTTAATACATATCTACAATAATTAAAAGGCTGAACCATCATATCGTATAAAGTTTCTACAATCAGAGTAAAAAAGTCTTTTGGCATCCATTTTTCTTTTTGTTTACCAAAAAGTTTTCTACCAAACAAGTTGCTTGGCTAAGTCTAGGTAACCACACTACCTAACCCTACCTACTGACTGCTACTCTGCTCTACCTACTGACTGCTACTCTGCTACTGACTGTAGGTAGGGTTAAGTTAGTGTGGTTACCTAGACTTAGCCAAGCAACCTGTTTGGTAGAAAACTTTTTGGTAAACAAAAAGAAAAATGGATGCCAATGAAAAATGGATTTATATAGAAAATACATATTAAACATCCACGACTGGAGTACAAATGCTCGTATTCATCACACAAACATCTGCCCCCACCGGGATTCGAACTCGGGACCTCTCGAGTCGGCGACACCATGAAACCCGGCGTACATACCACTCGGCCACGGAGGTCGTCAAATTAATATATATATACTAGAAAAATCAAATTAATAACTAAAATATATTTATTAAAAGGAGTCCCTTTAGGCAAGGATCCGAAGATACTAGCAGCGTTACCCCTTTGAATGGCTAGACTAATTATTTGTCTTTCTTGTCCGAGGTAGCTGCCAGCTCTTCGATCTCCTGTGATATCGACTAACCTTATGCCTTCTATATATGCTTAATAAAACAGCTGACCGTTCTGCACTAATGACAGCTTATCATGGATACGTTGCGTCACTACTATATGGCATAATTTTTTGGGGAAATTCTAGTAGTAAAGATAGAGTTTTCAAAGGACAAAAAAGATGTGTGAAAGCAATAAGTCGACTTCGCCCTACAGACTCTTGTTATCCTCTTTTTAAGGAATTAAATATTTTCACTGTACCTTGTTCATATATATTTTAAGTTTGTGTCTTTGTTAAAACGAATTTTAAAATTGTTTTATAATGTTTTTTACATCTAAAAGACACAATGATAAGTTGTGTCAAATACCACATAAAACTGCTTTGTTTGGAAATAGTTTATATGGCGCTGCTCCGATAATACACATATATAACAAGCTACCAAAAGATATGCGACAAATCGATAATATGGTTAAATATAAAGGGACTCTAATAAAGTTTTTAGTAAATATATGTTAAAGGAATATTAAAGTGATGTTGAAATTTAAATTATTATTTATGTTATAATTAATAAGATTCAAATAATCTATCATATTGTTTGACAATGATGATGTGAATTTCTTATAATTTTATGATATGCTCAATAAATGGGATAATTGTAATAATCTTTATTCGTCTCAACATGACAATTAATTTGCACACCCCATTGGGTAAGAATATAGGATGCTATTTATCTCTGTATATTCTGCAAATAAAGATGATTATGATTAAAATTTTCGCAAATTTTCGAAACTCGCAAGCGCATCAAAACCCACAGGGTACTTCCCGCGAACTCAGAATCTTGAAATTTGGTACGAAGCAACGACTTATAGCACGGATAAAGGAAAAATGGCGAAAACTGTAAATTTTTAGTAACATCGCATATTTATATTTTAATAATTATTATATACCTACAGGTTTGTACGGAACCCTCGATGTGCGAGTCTAACTTGCACTTGACCGGTTTTTTATTATTTTGTTCATTTAAACGGCCAGAACCACCAGGTTAATACCACCTGAACCGCCATAATTATTTTGGGTAATTAAATTATTCTAAAATTATTCATTGTCTTTTCTGTTGGTCTTATTCAGTTCTGACTATTTGTGCACCTTTGATTCTTTGGTAACATCGTGCTCTCTTGGATAGTTCTCTAAAGCGACCCAACGGACAACGTCTGGTCGGTAGGCCCACCACTTTTTTAGCAGGTCAATTCTTCATTTCTCCACGTATCATAGCAAGCGCAGTGAGGAGGCTTTTATTTCTCTTATTATAAAGTCTATTTTTCTAACAGAAGAAAAAACTCAGACCTGGACTAGGTAGTAGTTACTCAATGTATTGCAAATGTGTTGTCTCTGTTCATTGAATTACAAATGCCATTTAAGTCGCAAAATCACACGACGTACCTTAGCATATTCTTCGTTTAGGTTGGGGATTACGAAGGGATTGCGCCATCACAAATGTCAGTCATTCAATTACTAGTGAGTTCAACGTGAAAACGAAAACTACTTACTATTTTTTACTGTCTTGGTGGTTTTGACTAGAGATAACAAAAAAGGTGCTGTAACTACTTACGCTGCGTAATCTGAAATCTAAAATAATTTACATAACTATTTCTCTCTACGAGTGGCATCATCCCTGCATACTCACAACTTAAGCCGTAATGGTCGGGCATGTAAAAGAATTGACGCATCGTGTTGACCATGTCATGGATGCGCAGATCTGAAAGCAGCAGCTTCAACATCCACATCACCAACATATGGCAGGTGCCCGTATCCGTCAGGGTGGACAGCATGTGCATTACCGACAGGCCGAACTCAAGGCTCTCCGTCTTTTTACCGTGTTCTACGCTGTAGTAGGCAAATATAGATTATTTTATGGATTGCGATATTGAAACGTTGATTGAAGAGCAAGATGCGATAATTCTAAGAGACGTTCACTGCAATCCTACTTAATATATGACTCAGATGAAGTGTAGTAATTTTCTGCAACCTGCATTTAAAAAAAACTGTATCAACATTACCTACCTAACGTCATTATACCTATCTCCTGCAAACAATAAGAGTATTGTACATATAGAGATATGTTAGTTATCCTTGTCGTCAAACAAAAGAACTGGTTTTGATAAATTTCGGTATTACTTAAGTAAGAAATTATTAGATTTTGAAGAAGCATCTATTCACATTAGATTCAACGCAACAATTTCACTATTAAAGCTACTAATCGATTGATTGATTGAGCTCAATGATAAGATTCTCCCTTTTCTCCTTGGCATCTACCCATCCAGCCGTTGCGTTTTAGAAATATCCCGCATGCGCTGTGCTATAGTCTGCACAGCAATGATCATTCCCAAAAGGGTTTAAATCATTGTTATGTAGCAGAAAAACCCTAGCGGATAAGACGGAACACTAAGGCACGCCGATATTTACTAACATGGATCGCGAACCCCTTCTATCCGTAAGGACACGAGTTTTACGTTTATGCAGGAAATCCACTACCCAGGAATAGAACTGAGCTAGCAGATCAAATGCCTGATGCTTGGAAAGTGGGCTTTTGTGCCAAACACTGTCAAAGCCTTGGCGATATCAAGGTTGATGGCCAACAACTCGCCCTGCTTCTCGATATCCTTACCCCAGATGTTAGTAATGTACACTAGAAGATCACTCGTCAGTCGTTTGGGTCAAAGCCGCATTGACCGTCATAAATCAGAGAGTAATTCTCTAGGTAGCGGGTCAGATGGTTCTGAAGGACCTTTTCTAGGAGTTTACACAAATTTAAGGAGACTGCTATTGGCCAATAGTTGACCAAGTCTGAGTGATCCCCTTTTTTGGACATCGGTTGCTCATTAGATATCATCCCTCCAAGTCCGCTCGATGTGATGACATCCGAGTGATTACAATTCCGTGCGAACCTCACACTGTCACAATGAGGTAAAGACATTTGCAGTTGCAGTGCAATGCAATTATCGATTCGGGGGTTGGCCGATAGCCAAGCCAAAAGTATTACCAGTCAATAAGCTTCCTCCTGCTGCTTCATGAGCTAGTGATCCATTTGAGAATAGGTTTCCACTACTGAGATGATTTATTACCATTTTTAAAATTTCCGATATAACGTTTCCTTAAATTATTGTTTCGTACATCAATGTTTTAAATGATAATTGGAATTAATAAAAATATTTTTTTAACTTGTTTTCAATATTCCTTAAGTATTTTCGGAAAAGAAGTAAACACCTATTTTGAACGGTATTCATAAGTATTTACCGGTATATATTGGGTTTAAACCCAAGCACCGGGCTTAATACCGGTGCTTTACCCATCTATAACTGCTGCACATCACCAGTGACTAATATATCTATGAGAATAATTTACAAAAAATAATAATAAAAATAAATTGACGTACTAGAATAAGAATATACTGGTATAAAGGTAGGACACAGCGGGGACTTCCCTCACGTCGATCTGCCCCCGTTTCCGGTGACACACCTCAATCGCTCGCTGTTCAAGCTTATGACACATTGAGAACTAAAATAATTCAAATACATTAATTTTCAGTGTGAACGTGATGGTCAATCGGGGTATGAGATAAATATACTAATATCATGAGTCTATATAATGGTGTCGATTCTGGCATGATTCACTACTTGTTCTAAAAGTCACACTTAAAAACATCAATTAAGCATATATTTGATGATTGACTAATTGTCAAATATGGCTTCTTTTTTTACGGTAATAAAATGGACAAATGCCTTATTTAAAGGTCACAACGGTATCCATAGGTAGATATATATTCTCATACTTGTCTATTTTGTCTGTAAATCGTTATCATGCTCCCGTAGCTGTTGCACATAGCACGAAAATTGGTATTCGTTTTTAAAGCGTAATTTAAAGAGCATTTGGCTGCTAATTTCGCATTACTATTTTCTTTTGTTTCCTGTTAAAGAAAATAAAATGTTTAAAACCATACGTCTAAATGTCAAGCCAACCTAACCCAAAAATTACATATAATTGAAAAAAAAATATTAGCTGAAAAAAAACAGGCCAGGAAGCTCCAAAACGTGTGAATAATGTAACACTGGTATCGATTCTGACATGATTCTCTAAACCTAAACTTAAATTTGACAACAGTGTATCCTTGTCATTCTCTATACAGAATGAAAAGGAAAGACTGATGTTAAATTTAGTTTTAAGTTTAGAGAATCACGCTAGGTTAGGCACCAATATTTAGGTACAAAATTTCATATTGTTACATTGTCAATATTAGATATTTATAGATTTCGAAACAGCCTATCAGACGATTGGAGCAGTATAAACTGACTAATAATGAATAAAATCTTACTGAGAATAAAGTATACAATGAGCTTAACGTCCTAGCAATGTCTTCGTAGAATCGTCCCACCATACCGCTTTCCATTCCCACATAGCAATGGGAAGCAAAGTATAACTCCAAGCGTTGTTTAACCGAAGCACTGAAGTTTGAAATTTGAACAGAGTGCCTACAAATAAATTGTACAAGATCGGTATGATTAGAACCTATTAGAGGATACAACTTGAAAACTACAATAACGGTTAAACGGATTTGGATGACATTTTACACACAGTTTAAAACCTGGTCTAAGACAAAGAGATAGATGAATTTAATCCGGAAAAAATATCCGGCTCTCATGGGAGCATCGAATTACAGAACATAAAGATGAAAGAAGTATGTGGGCGCATTGCTTCATACGTAGATTCGACAGAACACACAGAGTTTTCTGTATTCTGTAGCAGATTCTATGGAACTTGTATCCCCATTAAAGGTTCCCATAGGCGCAGCACACACCGGGTGAGGCGCGGCGAAGATATTAAGAACTGACGCGAGCTGATAGACATTTGAGAAATAGGTATTTGAAAAAACTATTTTGTCACGCATTATCCAGTACCGTGCGATAACGGTAGTTAACGCTGAAAATTGCGTATAAAAATTGCAAAATTCCAGGTTTGGCTTTCGACGATTTCCTCCACGAAAATTAGATATAGGTATGTAAAAGAAATTTTACACAAAAAATAATATTTTTTTAGTTATAGTATGGCTCTATGTTTTGTTTTTTTTTGTAAATACTTATTAAATCTCCACAAGTCTTAAGTAGTGATGAAACTTTCTATATTTTGGCCTGTTTTGAGTTTGAGTTTTGCTTCTAGTTTCTTTGAAACACAACATAGAATGAGTAAAATTATATTTTATGTATGAAAATCAATTCTTTAGTGAAAAAAATCAAGGAGGAATCAGTCGAGAACGTTTGTATGGAAAAAACATAGCCCACCTCCCCTATTTAGCTTGCCGACTCCGAGCGCGGCCAGGAACGGAGCGGAATTACGGAGTAGTCGAGCGCCGGCTTTCGAGACCGCTACGCAACGCTGTGGGCCGCTTGTGTTTTGTTCCATGTTGGCCATGAATATTTGAAACTTCTAATAAAGGAATAAGGGTTTAACTTAAATTGTTAAATTCTCAGTAGCTTCGCGCGCTTTTCCCGGTGTGCGCTGCGCCTTAGAATCATTTAGAATTTTATAGTCGTAGGAAAAGTCTAGAATGAAAATAAACTGAAAGTGAGCCTATTCTCATAAAGAACGTTGAAATTACAAACTTGGATGTTGGAAACGGGTCGTGGTAGAGTTCCATAGCGTACAGCAGATATTTCCTCGCCTCGACAATGTCGCCGGAGTAAAGCATGCACTCCCCTCGAAGCGTGTAAATGCTTGCCAGCCGGAACTTCTTTATCCAATCCCATTTTAATCTCTTGTTAGACAAACAACCACTCTGGCGAATTAAAGTTAATATTATCTAATACGTCTGTTAAAATTTTACTACAATATTGTTTTGATCAACATCATAATATAACTAAAAACTCAAAATTACTTCATCGTCATTATCACCACCCAATTAATTAATGTTTTCACAGCTGAGGCACAGGCAATCCCTATGCATGGAATAGGGAGATTGGGTCATCATGACCCAGCACGTGGGCTCAGTGCGGATTTGTAGGTGCTATAGACTGCAGATACAACCAGGACCAACGGCTTAACGTGCCTTCCGGAACACGGAGAACCTCGGGATAGTTAATTTTAAGTCACCCATCCAATGATCGAAGTTGCTTAACTTCTACGATCGCAGGTCGACGAGCTCACCACCTGCGCCATCGAAGTCCTCGAAAAATAACTTAAGTTAACTTTACGTAATATTAATATTACTTTCACAACTTAGTTATAAAAGTTAAATAAATAAGGTTTATTATATTTTGCGTTTCAGTTTATTCGGTGGTTATTTTTTGATGACAACAACTGACACATTCAAATAAGTAGAGCAGTTTGCAAATAATATTATACATTATTGCACGCTTGCTGGTAAGATAAAGGATAAACCAATTAAGACGGAGACTATACCTTAAAGATACTTACTACTTACACCAGATCATAAAATCAAATAGCCATAACCAGCCCGCCTAACCTGATATTTGAGAAAATAAAATCCGGATACTACTTAATACTCAATTATAGAACAAAGCCTAACAAGAACCGGACAGTCGTATTTCGTTTAGTCCGGAAAAGCATACAAAAAGACTCCGTCCGGCTTTATCCGGGCGCCTGACAACCCTAAGTACCTTGTTTGCTACGTAAAATGAAGAAAAGTTTAGGAGTCTTTTAGTGTGCATCTCATTTTGATTTTTAAATTACAATTTCTTATATTGAGTGCTAAGTAAAAATTTACATACTAAAACAAAAGTCTCCACTTCGAATAAAAGACGAATCGCTTGTGGTATGTTCTGATTAATAATGTTGAGATCGGCATATTCCAAATAGGCCTCGAATAGTTTTTCGTATTCACCTGAAAATTTATTTTTATACGGTTTTAGATCTTTATTCTCATAAAAAATTACAAAATTCACTTACCATGAGAACATAAAATATTTTAAATAACATTTTGGTTAAATACGGTGATACATTGAAGTCGGGGGTAGAACTAAAAACAGTGTCACTGCTCATTGATTACGTTCGGGCATAGATGGCTCGGTTAACAAATGAAAAAAAAAACTTTGATCACAGTTATGGCTCCGCGTCGTACTAGTGGCTTTAGTTGCTTGTGTTAGGAGTTTAGTTTGTAAATAATTTATATTTATTATATTGGTAATTCAACGCCGCTCATCATCTTTTATTTGATGCATGTAAATTATCACGAAAAAACCGAATTAGTGATATATATATATATATATATATATATATATATATATATATATATATATATATATATATATACATATTTTATAACACTTTTTCGTCTATTTTTATTCTGATGAGTTTAATATATTTATAACTTTATTTATGACTTGTATTGTTTATTCATATTTTTTTTAGTTTATTATTTTTATGCTGTTTTATTTGAGACAGTTAAATTTATAATTTTATATGGAGAAATACATATTATATAAATATATAGGCATATCGAGGAATATATTTTTAGTTTTCTTCATATTTTTTTTATCATATTTTATATCAAATATCTAAATATTGAAGAACTAAAACTAGTAAGCGTTTAAACTATCTCAATAAGATCGTGGAGGCGCATTTATTTAAAAACAGGTTACGCGCGAGCTATTTTTTATTAGGTCCAGCCCAGCAAAACACTACACTCACCCCACGGTGTAAGTAGAGTCCACAGAAAAAAAAACTGCTCCTACCATCTTTACCTTATAGGCCTAAACCTATAAGGCCAACCAGAAGGAGCCCTAATCTGGATGGAGGACTTTACTCACCGACGAAAAATAAACAAAAGTCCTGCAAAAGTTAATGTTATACCACTACAGTCTTTTGAAAATGTTTGTTACGCCAACTTTAGTGCGTTACAAGCGATGAAATCTATATCTATATCTATCCTTTTATCTGCACGCCGTGTCCCGGGTAGGGTAGGCAGAGAAAATAGAGAAGAAATATTGTCTTAATTTCATTCTTACCAGCACCGCGACAATGATCTATGATCTGAGAATAAGCGGCGAGTAAGATCGAGTGGCATTCACAGCTGCTGATGTCGAATGAAGAGAACGAACGCACATGCTTATTCTTCCTGACAGGTGTTGACGATTGACGGAAGTTCCTATCTGCGAAATTCATCGATTAACAAATGGAATAGAGCTAATAGCTCCAAAGGTACAGTGCAAACCCCGGAAGACGAGCGGCGAAGATACTGAGAGTGCTAATAATTAAGTTAAACCCTAATCCTATATCATAAATTTTATGGAAAACATGAAACAATACACAAGCAGCGCGCGACTACTCCGCTCCGTCGCTCTAGACCGCGCACGAAGTCGCCGCAAGCCCGCTACGTGGTTCTTGGCCGCGCTCAGGTTTTCCTTTTCTTCTATCGGTAAAGCAGGTAATTATACATGTTCAGGGGCGTATTTTATAATTTTGCATACCCGACCTTTAAGATTTGCTGCCTTATAAATTACCGAAAAAAGGCAAAACAGTCCCATGTGGCCCTTTTGGCTCTAGGGTAAATACGCCCCTAAATTGCCCATTGTAGCCCCAAGCACGAAATTATTTGCAACAAATAATAGGTAAATTCTTAATCAGCTGTTTTATTACCTTGCAAATCGTCACTGGAAATATCTGCTTGCAAAAGTTTTTTTCCGTTATTTATCTGAAAAGTATACATCATTATACTGGAGCCAAGTCAATTTTTATACAAGTAAAGATAATTATAATTTATTACGGAAAAAAAATCTTCTTCAATATTATTTCTCGGTACGAGTCGTAGGTAAGTAACTAATGTAGATAATGATATGCACATAATATTACACACTATTACCCTTTTCATGAATTTATATAGATGTAAAGTACAGTAGACCTTGGAAAAGGACATATCTATGCTACTTATTGTCGCTATAAAACCTTATGGTATTAAAACAGCAGAAGAAAAGTATGCACGGACCTGAAAAAAAGACGGACGTAATATCAAAGGCAAATCTTGTGAAGCATGACAATGACATGTAGGTCAGACAAAATCGTGTGTTGTACACTACCTACACTCACACTAATGCACCAGGTCGGACAATCCGCTGCCATTTGAACTCGCGTGACAGCGCCAGTCAAACGTTCAATTGCTCCGATATATTTTTAAAAAAATGCCGTCTTGTGTGGTGAAATCTTTTAAAAACTATACGAGTAAATTTGAAAAGTCACAAGGAATCACCTACTATGCTTAAGTATTGACGATTCTTGATATTTTTTTTATATTATATTTTATTTACAAGGATGAAAATTGTAAACAAAAATACAACTGTATGGCTACTTTATATACGGGAAATTTTCCCTAAAAGTAGGGAAATTTGTATTTCTTGCATTTGTGACTAGGAAAGATAAGATTTCGTAAATTTTTAGGGTTCCGTATGCCAAAAGGAAAAGAAAAGAAGCCATATTATTCATAGAATATTTAATATAAATTATTGTCTTGTCTTCTTTCTAATAGGTTTCCTAGAAATAGAAACCGTAGAGATGACTGGGTTTTAATTATTCGATACTGCAAAGGGAATAACACTTGTGTGCAGTGCACACGTTGTTTGGTTTTCGTTCAAACCGGAGCCTGTTAAGAAGAAATATTAAAAACTGGCGGTCCGCCCTCGCTTCGCTTCGGTGTAGAGCTGAATTGTTGTATTATACATAATGACATTCATCTATGATTTTTCTTATACCTGCATGCAAAGTCTCAGCCCGATCTGTTTAAAATTGACAAAGTTTCATACAAACTTTCATTCTCTATTTTATCCCCTTGGGGGTAGAATTGATCAAAATTCTTTATTAGCGGATGCCTACGTCATAACATCTACCTGCATGCCAAATTTCAGCCCGATCTGTCCAGTGGTTTGGGCTGTGCGTTGATAGATCACTATGTCAGTCAGTCAGTCACCTTTGAGTTTTATATATATAGATACAGTTGAAACCCGTTAACAGAACTACTATACTAATAAAGTTTTAAAACTAAATTACGATAACCAAAATTATTACAAAAGAAATTACAGGCAGGAATTGAACCTGCATTTTCTGCTGTCTGGGTGGATGCACTAATTGCTATGCTACCGAGAACTTAATGATCGTGACGAATTTCTTCTTGTATTTCTTAGGCTGCACGGTAGTGCCATTTCTTCGCATTGTAGGTAAACCACGATGTCAAATGAAACCATAGATATAGGATGTAAAGATAGACAGAGTACCTATCGCTACTGTTCCAAAAAAATATCTGTGCATGTGTGCGTATCGGTGTTTGATTCCGAGTGATAGTGTCGATTTATCAAGATATGCTTAAAACACAGGATACCATAACACATACTTATTCAGTTTGTAATAAGCACATTTGTGTTGTGTTATATTTATTTATTTATTTATTCATTATTATTATTATATGCATTATTGTTTTCTTAGTTTCACAGAATTTCATAATAAATTTTATCTCAGTACGACTTGACAGGGCGCTGCGGCTCTTGCAAAAAATATATTATTAGGCGAAAGGTACATCATGTTGCGTCTCTTTCTACGTTATAGGATTGGCATGATATCTGTTTTCCTCTCTCTGTCAGTCTTTAAATACCTACTCAATCTATGAATGAAATACTTACATTTGAAAGAAGAAATAGCAATATTAGACTATTATATTTTTATTTTAAGCATTAATCTGCGCGATTTATGTATATTAATGTATGTTATTAACCTCATACATAATATTAAGACATAAGACAGACACACTAACATTAAACAAAACAATAAAGTTCTTTTTACATAACAAGTGCTTTCTTTTCTATCTCGGTGTTCCTAAAAATTAATTTGATAGACCGTTTAAATTGCTGAAAAATCAGGAGCTCACAACGAGTAAAACACGTGGTAAATATCCCGTTTTTATAATATATATTTGATTACATAATGTTAACAATGTTTTAGTTTGGGAGATTTAAAAAGTAGGGAAATTGATGATTTACCCGACAACCCTCAAATCACGCACACGCTGTAAGCCGGCGGCCATTTGCATGCTTCACTCGAAATAAGACGAGGTTACGTCCGTCTTTTTTTCAGGTCCGTGGGGAAATCGATTAATTACACGCAGACGAAGTCGCACGGACACCCACTAGGAAATACGAAAATACACTGAACCGGATTTCAACAAAACCAAATACCTATGTATGGTTAAAGGAAACACAAGATTAAAACTGGTAGGTATAGAACTTGAATAATAAATCTCATTAAAACATCGACTCACAGTCTGTGTCACAGTAATTTCCGAGGATTCAGCTAGGAATTGAGATGCTGGCTCGTCTTCAATGCTACTCCTCGCCTCAGCGTTAAGCGCACAAATCTGCTGTTTCGTACGCTTTACTGCTTCGCTTTCAAAGATTAAGCCCTATAATTTGTTTATAGTTTCATTCATAACACAAAATCGAAACTCTGTTCTGGGAAACGAGTTAGTGGAGTGATTTCTTTATCACGCAATCGCTTACAAAAGACAAAGATTGAAAACGGTGTTTAAAGAAAATCTAATCAAATTGTATTACTAGGTATACGCTGATCTGAGTTCTGGGAAACAAGGTAGTGAAGCGCTTTCTTTATCACGCAATATCTTACAAAAGACAATCTGATGCATAGATTTTATAAGGTAACAATGAAATGGTTACAATTGATCTCCAAAATATTAGATTAATTGGCAATGTATTCTCACATCATCTGTTCGTTCTCCAAGCAGCTTAACGAAACATCCCAGTCCGCAGGACACACAGCGCCGCGTATAACGCTCCAAGTACAGTAAAGCACGAGAGTGCATTTCGTGCTGAAACAAAATATATACTGAAAATCAAGGGACATGTATATGTATACAATATTAAAAGAGATATCATCCATTGTTAAAAAAATAATATTACTACTATTCTGTAATGAACCTGTAGTAAGCTCGTTACAGGGTTAGTAAACAGCAGGTAAACTAAACTATACCCCTGGCGTCAGATTAAGCCTCTATACAATGGACAGTGGCCGCCACATAACACAGAAAGAAGTGGCCGCTTATCATTGTGAGGGTCATAAGCAACGATATTAAATACCCTACACAACACGAACAAATCATGCCCGAAACCTGTCCAAAAGGAACATTACATACACACTTTATAAGGTCTTAATTATAACGCATAGGTCAAAGAGTTAGTTATGACAGTCGGAGATGTAAGCTCGTAAAATTTTGCGATTTATTGCTATATACGGCAGAGTATAGACCTTATTTCTTTGACTCTACGCGCAATTCTGAATGCGCTGTTAGCAATATAAAAGATACGGACCGCGAAGAAAATAGACGGCTATATTACCGATCTTGCATTTGAATATCTCAAATATTTTCTATTAAATCAGTAAAATCAAAATTTGCTTGAAATGCGTTAAATTAACAAATATTGATTAGATAACTGTCGAAAAATCGGCATTTTACATATTATAAGTATTTATTTCGCATTTTTACACGGAGTTAGCGGCATGTTGACTTTTCGACGATCCGCGCATGACTGTGAGCCGAGAAGTGCTTGAGTCGTGTTCAAGCACTTCTTGATAAGAACACATTTTGAGCGCACGTGGTGTATCTAGTGTATTTAATATCGTTGGTCATAATTCAAAACAAAACTACACCAAATTAAGGCAGAAGTTAAGACTCCTTGTTTTGAAAAAATAATCTCAGAGTGAGTATGTTTATCTATTTGTTGCATTAATAAAAATTTCTTCTTACTGTCACGTTGGATAGCTGCTTTACTAGGATGACAACTGTTTATTGGTAAAGTAAAAGCCTCTAAGAGGCAACACAAACAAATAGGTGAGCCGAGCATATGCTACTTGTAATTCATAGTTAGTTTTAAGCGTGAAAATTATATAAAATTACCTATATGATAATACCGAGTTCAGCTCTGTGTTCTGTTGTGGTTCATCGAGAACAGTAAAAGAAAGAATCAAAAACTCGGAATTATCTGTGTGTATACAGCAAATGACTCCACCCCACCTAATGTTAAGTGACGGTGAAGTCCAGAAGTAAAGATAGTTGGTACAGCAGTTCTACCTGCCATACCAACCATCCTCACCTTGCCGTCCTGCATGGTGCTTCTTCACGCTTCTTTTAAAGGATCCCAGGTTGTAAGAAGGAGGGAGTGCGTGAGCATTTACGGATAGTACGACAGAGAAATGAGTCACCAAATTTCTTTGTACGCTTTGGAATTGTGGCCACAGTTACACGGTGACAACGAAGGCCAGCGCGCGTGGTTTTATATAGCTACAATTTACCTTTTGATTTTCAGTAAGCAGATCGTAAGTGGTGGTCCTGAACATAGCGTGCCTGAACTTCATGTATCCACAAAAAGCGTATGATGGTAAGTCCCGACAAGTAGCTGTGAAAATGTTATAGAACATTATTATAGTTTTAACTTACCATACTTACTTAATCCTAAATCCACTGTATATTTGACGTTCTGTCAGCCCCTAAACGGCTAACGTGGCATTTGACCATGGCTTGAGTGGTATGTAGTTACGCTACGCTAGTTTTTAAGGTGTCGCCTACGTAGAATTCCAGTTCCGGGTTCGAATCCCGGTGGTGCAAATGTTTGTGTGATGAATACGAGCATTTGTACCTAAGTCATGGATGTTTATATGTATTTCTAAATAAAAATTAATAGCTTACAAAACTAAAAACACGCTTTTACTTACTGCACTAAAAAGTCAAAAATAAACAAAATATACTCTCTGTTTACTTCATTAGGGCTTTAGAGTAAGCCAATATGTTTATAGTTGATTTTAAGATATATATATATATATAACTGAAAAAGCGTGGGGCGCTTTATCAAATCAATTAATATATTAATAATAATAATAATAATAATCATTTATTTCAGATAATTATAGAATTATAATCCATAGTTATTAGTACAAGTTAGTAACAATGTCGGGCTTATCCTATGTTAGTAGTATTAGTATATTAATTAATCAATCATTACCAAATTATCCATATTAATTATATTCACAATTATAATCTATTGTACATGTCAATTAAATTAAGTTAACAATTAATAGATATAGGTACGACAATATTCATGGGTGTAAAGCATGTAGGTGCACCCAGCGCTTCAATATTGGACTGTCCCAGCGTGCCGCCAATGTTCTCAGGATGCCGTTGGAGCTGGCGCGCAGTCGCCCCAGCATAGATGCACACCTTTTTCTCACTATCGCGTGAAATCCATCTATCTGGGACTCCGCAAACATGCCCGAGGCACTACAAAAGCGCGGCAGCCCCATCAGCACCCTGAATGCATTGTTGTACTGCACACGCAAGTCACTGTATGCCGTCTGCGTATAGTCCACCCACAGGCTGCATGTGTAAAAATACTGACAATATGCTTTAAATAGTGTGACTTTAACCTGATTAGTACAATGTGCGAACCTGCGGGCGATCATATTGCATCGGACAGCCAACGACCTGCGTTCCCGATTTATGTCCAAATTGTCATTTAAATTCGATGTGATCCAGTGACCCAGGTATTTAAACTGCTCAATTCTGTTCAACGGTGACCCGTCAAGTGAAACATTTGGAACTATAGAATAAGTTTTATTGTCCGCCTTGAAAACCATTATCTCACTTTTCTTCGAGTTATACCTGAGTCCATGGCCCTTGACATATTTTTCACAAATACCCAAAAGACGCCTCAAGGCACTAATCGAAGGGCTCAACAACACCATATCGTCTGCATAGCTGATGTTGTTTACGCAGACACCGTCAATATGGCATCCGATTTTTGTGCTATTGAGCTCCTCAATCAGCCCATTAATGTACACATTAAACAAGCTAGGTGAAGTCAATCCCCCCTGTCTCACCCCACACTCTAGCCTGTATGCATCAGAAAGCGAGTCTGCCCATCTCACTTGGTTTTTCTGATGATTGTACCAATACCCGAACAGCCCAGTGATTTCATTTGGAAGGGTAGTAATACAGCGTAACTTATCCCACAGTGTATTGTATGACACCAAATCAAATGCCCGTGACAGGTCGAGAAAGCATGCATAGATTGGTGTTCTTCTCGTTTTGTAGTATTGGACAACTTGCTTAAGGCACAAAATGGCACTTTCAGTGGAAAGCTCAGGGCGAAAGCCAAACTGAGCGTCATGTAATTTAATGTTTGAATCCAAGTGTTGGCCAAGCAGAGCATCAAGCACTTTTGCAATTATAGTAGCTAACGAAATCGGTCTGTAATTATTTAAATCTGATGCATCACCGGTCTTGTTCTTTATTATTAACACAACCACAGCAAGCATTAACTTCTCTGGTAAATAGGAGTGGCCCAAACAAAGAGTATAAAACATAGAAAGTACTCTAGGCAAGTGGACGCCCGAGTGCTGCAGATGCTCGATACTAAGGGAGTCGTGACCTGGGGATTTACCCCTTACCATATTTTTAATCACCTTGGTCACATCCCCAGCACTAAAGCGTACACCCCGCTCCGCGTAGTGTTTAGAATCGAACAACCGCGGTGCGGGCCCCAAAGGTGAGTCAACTTTAAAATGCTGCCGAAAAACATTGGCGATGTGCCTAGACTGATGCACACCTGCAACGCTCACAGGTAACCCCGGTCTATGATTAAGACTGTTTGTTTTTTTCCAAAAAGCTCTAAAATTTTTATTTGTATGGTGTCCCGCAATAATATCCATTTTAATTTGTTGTTGGTTACTTTGGCACCACTTTAACTTGGCTTTAAATTTACGTCTAGACTCGCACATATTCTTGTAGATTTTGCCATTAGTGGGCTTACCATGCAGACACCACACCTGAAAACAATGTCGAGCATAGCTGTGAGCGCCACGAACATGCTTATTCCACCCCGTAATATATTGACCCCTCCGCTGCTTGACAAAATAACTAATCTCAGCAGCCTCAGTAAGTATATTAACAATATCCTGATACATCCTATCCAGTACCACCCTATGACTTATATCAGAACACATACCATCGCAACATTTACTTAACGACATAGGAAAGTCAATTTTACTGAGCTTAGTATTACAATAACTATAATATTTATCAATTTGATATCTATCACGCTCGCCCCATATAATTTTATTATGTTCCACAATTTAGTTAAAATTTAATAATGAAGCGCCCCACGCTTTTGTTGGTATATCATCGGTAGTATATCATTTGGTATATATCTTAAACTCAACTATAAACATGGTTTACTCTAAAGCCGTAATGAAGTAAACAGAGAGTACCTATATTTTGTTTATTTTTTAACTTTTAGTGCAGTAAGTAAAAGCGTGTTTTTTGAACTATTGATTTGATTTTGATTTGATTTGATTTGACGAATTTATTGCGACTGAATACGTATCCTCTCCATTTCCGATAAGGCTTCACTATTGCAAGTCTTTTTTATTACACCCCCCCCCCCCCCTTTAACGTGAAATAAACAGAATATATTAAGACGAATGTAATGAGCATGAGCCTAAACTCAATTTGTTTACTAGTAGGCAGTCCCGGGTCCATCAGTCACCTTCCAGTCCATCATCAGGTCCTTGTCTCGTCATTAGGGGAAATGAACAGAATGTGTTAAGACGAATCTAATGAGCCCAAACTCGATATGTTTACTAGCAGGCAGTCCAGGGTCCATCAGCCAGCCACCTTCCAGTCCATCATCAGGTCCTCGTCATCAGGGGGAATGAACAAAATGTGTTTAGACGTATCTAATGAGCCCAAACTCGATATGTTTACTCTTCTCACTAGTAGGCAATCCAAGGTTCCATCAGCCACCTTCCAGTCCCATCATCAGATCAGCTCGGTGGTACCATAATATTGTATTGTCATCTAATCTACATTTATTTGCCAAGTTTAAAGTAAATCTGATCGCTTAAAGTTTGGCAAAATTCAGTCCAAACGAGTTAGTCACATACAAACAAACATACAGGTGAAACTAATAAAAGCGTGTTAAAATATACCTATACAATTTATCGGTATAATGTTTTCTATCCGTTATCCTAGTATTTCATATAACACAAGCCTTACATTGCTTACTTTGGGGCTAGGCTAATCGGTGTGTGTTTAAAACAATCTAGATTTGAGGATACTGACGTGGTGGTCGGATGCCCAGGCAGGCGCAGTACGGCGGTTTGGAGCCTGGCAGAGCGGGCGCCGGATGCACCATCACCATCGACATGTCCCTCGTGAAGTCACCGCCTTCGCACTCCAGTACGCGAATCAGTAATAATTTAGCTACAGCTAAAAGTATTTCACCGTGACAGCGTTTTTCATTATCAGCCTATTATGTCACCACTGCTAGGACACAGACCTTCCCTATGGATGGAATAGGGGATTAGGCCATGACCCGCCGCGCGGGCCCAGTGCGGATTGGCAGCGTTTTTGATATTATGATATTAAAGTTCTTGTAAATTTTATCAGTTGGCTATTAAGAAGGGCATTGAGACAAACTAAATAGCTGTACATAGCTTAGCTGTGCCTACTTTAAGTTCAATAGACAGGACATCAACAGAGCCCTGTGCAATGCAAAGCACGAATGTCAAAAACTGAAACCCCTCAGGCCTCTAGTTGGACTTCTAGATTAAATAGCCTTTGGTGCCGGCTACCCGCTATATAACTTTACTGCATACCTATGCAGTAAAGTTTTTTTTTTTCTGTGTACCTACACAGAAAAAAAACGAGCGAGCCTTACAGTAGTCGCGTATGATGTGTAACATTTGAAACCTCACCTTATATTAGTAAAAGAGATAAAACCTACTACAAAAGGAATACGCCATTTGAATGTTATGTTCTAAAATCAAATCAAATACCTAGCTCGTGCTTTCGCGACTTCCTGTTACACACTTCCGTCCCATTTCACGAAATCACTCCCACAAATTGCTGGAAAGCGAGAGGAAAGATGTTACACATCAACAAACAGAAGGTGTATACTGTTGTATATGGTTCTATCATTACTAAAACTATAATCAAGTGTTAATAAAATTAAAGAACCTTGAGCTACTTTCCTAGGGGAGTCGCTCTGCATCAGATGATGGAGCATCCTCCGTGAGAACACGTCTCCTAAAACTGAACCGCACTTGAGTAGCATTTTCTCAAAAGGTGTCAGAGAGTCATACGTTTTCAATATTATAGCTGAAAATAAATCACACTGTTACATGTTTGAAACGGATTTGTTACTGTTTCATTGCTAACTGCTATACTCGTCACCGGTAGAAACTATATAGCGAAAAAACGTGTATGAAAGACTTCAGAGGAAACAATAATTGTGTGTTATGTTTGTGTCATGTGGCGCTCGGTTCTCTCTGCCTATCCCGCTCTCTAGACCCATTTATGTACATTCCCGATAATATATATGGATGAAATTCCCGATAATATAAAATAATTACCATCCATAGACATATCGACGGTCATATCATCGAACGTGTAACCCTCAGCTAGGACGGCCATTTGCACCATGTCTGTATCGAGCCCATTGTACAGTGTTTCCTGACGGCTCACCAAACTGAGTCCGCTGTATATACTCTGCAATATAAAATTAAGTCTGCCACACGAACTATAAGACAAGAGAGACGTAATAACTACTAAAAGGTTGATTGTCTTGCACCTCAGACCAAATTATTTGGTCTGAGTCTTGCACAAATAAAGGACATTGTTTAGCGTCCATACATAGTTAGCGTAAGAACCAACAATCATGAAATATTATTTTCTAGGTTCAAAATCGTAAGTAAATGACTGTAAAAACAAAGAATATTGACGGACACTTCTGAGAACTTTAATTATTAGGAAAACTAAAACTTTTTTGAGGTTATGTTTAATATTCAATGAAACATAGGCCAACCTATGAATTTAGTATGAAGTGAATTAATATTACAACTAATTCATTTTATTCGGTGCGATTTTAAAGAATAACTATTAGAAAAAACTTGGTAAGGTAGGAATATGAATAAAATAAAAACTGTAGTTTTGCTTCTTATTTATTGACTATTTTTCACATAATTGTATCATATTGTTTATTGTATTTATTTGTATATCACATGTTTATTGTGTAAATATGCAGCGTGAATGTGTATCAGGTGTCCTTGAATAATTTGGCAGTATGATCCTCTCAGGATGTTGTGGCACAGGTTCACTAGCACTTGGTAATAAGGGCTCTGCTCTTTGGTAACATCGATGGCATATTAGATAGCCGAAATAGTTAAATTAAAGGAAAAACAATCGCAAATAAACACACACAACAGGTAATCCGAAACGAGAATGCACTTTCCGGTATATTATACTACTCTTTGGAATTCACGAATGCCACAGATTACTACGAATGCAAACTGCATGCACCACAGCCACAGAGTATCGAGTTTTGTGCCGGCCCTTCACTTGACAACAATTTGTCCTTGTCATGCTTAATAAGGAATGAAAAGGACAGACTGATGTCATGTTTTAAAATAGCAAATACGAATAGCCAAGTGAAGTGCCGGCATTAGGAAGAAAGAGTGTTTTGTTTGCAGCGCTGCCATAGATTATACACCTAAAATGGTATTTATTGTCTCAGATTATTTGTTAACTTTTTAAATTAGCTTACTTAACTGGAAGTGTCCGTCACAATCTAAATACTGATAATTATCGCAAAAAATATACTAAGAATTATCATAAATGCCAAATTGGTGTTGGTTCTTAGGCCAATTTTAACATTGTCCTTTTAAATTAGGTAGGTATGTTTTATTGCCCTATAACATTGAGAATGTTCAGTCTTGGGACCTAGGGGAGGAATGTGCTGAATGCTCATGTATACTCCATAATTGGGTTATGATTTTAATAGGAGAATAAAATGTCAAGAAAGGACAACAGAAAAAAAAGTTTGTAGTCACCTAGTGTATACCTACCTACCTATTTGGAGAGTAATGGCGCGATTACATTCGGTCGTTAGTCCGAATACGAGTGCCAATGGAATTCTGGTAACGACTAAGTGTAAATGAACGAAGTCGAGAACGACCGTATTTTGGTAGTTTTTGTTTTGGTTACCCGTCACCGTCTTCCAATGCGTATTCCACTATTCCAGTGTAAATATTGCTTCGTGTACCCGAATTCGAGTAATGTATTTCGTGTACCCGAATACGGGGTAACGGCCAAGTGTAATTGAGCCATAAGAAACACGTTTTGCACTTTTAACCACCACACAGTAAATATGCACATCACACGAACGAGGATTTTATAACTTGGGTAAAGAGAGATTCATTCCTTTTAAGGTCAAGTTTCGCATCGAAGTGTGCGTGCGCCCGTTGTTATGGAGCTATGCACTTTACTCCCAGTTACCTACGTCAGGATTGCCACCGAAGGCAAACGAAGTGGGGGCAATGATTTCATTCCCATTTGCCTCCGGTGGCAATCACAGCGGGGGTGATTGGGAATAAGGAAGGGCATTTCTATGTCACTTAATTGAGTAACCATTGAAAATACAAACTTTAGTTAATACTCTGCACCTAAATACTGGGAATCCTACGACAGAAATAGTAAGAATTGCTCATCTGATGACTGGTTACTCAGACTTTCTGTCATTAACAGGCGGCGCGCTATTGCAGCGCAGGCTTAGGCATCACACAGCATCACACTTCTATTATATATCTATTAAGACTTTTATTATTTATCACTACAATACTGGATCTTACGTCTGGAAGAATTACCTCCATGTGAGTGAGTATGGATGAAGGCACTAAATCGGTTTTCAAGGTGTCGTGTGTAAGGATCGTCTGCTCAGAGGTCTTGGGTTCGAATCCCAGTAGGGCAAATGTTTGTTTAATGAATACGAGTATTGGCATCTAAGTCATGACTGTTTATATAAAAGACATTGGGCAAAAATATATGGACGCTGCACCCACGTCCGCCACGGCTTAAACTACATTTGTTTGAAAGGTATTATAGTCAAGATCAGTGCCGTCTTTGATCTATTGGAGGCCCTGGGCATATTAGGATAATGAGGCCCCTATGACTTACGTTTCGTGATTTAACAGGATCTAGAGACTACTGGAGACTCTGTATTTGATCTGAGGGGCCCCCTATCGATCGCGGGGCCCTGTACACTTGCCCAAAGTGCCCACTGGGAAAGACGGGTCTGGTCATGATCATCTTTGCCAAAGCGCATCAAATTCCATTCCGGGGGTCTTTAGTTATTTGAAGTTAAATAGGTACAAGTACTATAACGAACGAACATTAATGAAACAATGGAATTAATTTAGTTAGTTCGACACTACATAGGGGGCTCAGGTATTATAGGAGTACTTTACAAGGTTAAAGGGTGCCTCCTTATGTTATTCTGCCACACTATAGTAAATCCAAAAATCCCCGCATGGGTTGGGGTTTTTTCAAACATTCTGTTCGTTATACATAGTAAATTGTCTTCTTCGTAAAACGGAACGATCACAAATCGAACGAAAAAAAAATGATTCCAGTTCATCCATACTAATTGACAAAACCGTGTTAGACAAAAATCAATCAAGTGTCAGGGAGCGCACAATCACAACGAAGTAAAACGAGTCAACTATTTGCAACTGCAAGTCCGTCAACGCCCGTAAACCTTTTTGAGGTGGCTCAGTGAGTGCAAGCGCAGGATAGTCGGCAGGCTTTTCGTATATCTGGTTGTATAGTACGATATGGCATATTATTATGGTTACTAATAATATAAAATAAAGGTATGTACTAATATAAAATGAATTTATTTAGTGACTTAAATATCCCCATGTGTCATATCTTTTGACTACCAGGGTATATTTTACGGTGCAATATCTATCTATCAATATCTATCGATTCATACTAATTACATTGTTGGCCGAGCTGGGTGTGTTTTGCCCACTGTCTTTTGTAATAAAATACATAACTGAATAGTTCTTCTATTCGTTTCTACCCTAGTGTCAGTAGTATTCCATAACACAAATCTTAGCTTGATACTATTGTGCTTACTTTGTTGGTCCATGCTAGGCCAACTAGTACGTGGTCTTAAATAAATCTCACATGACAACTAGCTCCTATTAGATTGTGTTTTTCACTGATGGAGTCGTATGCGGCGCGCTGCAGGAGAGCAGGCGATGGCATTACAGCACCAGACTCCTTCGCCTCACTTCTCAGCACCGTCACCACAGTCAGGACCCCGCGTTGGACCAGCGATATTACGAAGTTCTGGATCCAACCAGGCATGCCGCCGCTAGCACTTTCTATGATCCTGACATGAGGAAAGGATTTTATGACAGACTTTTAGGGGAGTTCAGGCGCCCCGTAGACAAGTATACAGCCTAGCAAACATCTTGAGCATAGGTAAACCAAAGACAACGAAGCCAAATACAGACACGTTATGGTGAAGATAAACGAGGAAATTTTTAAGTTGGGACGTTGTGAGTCGCATTATTTCGGTTGCACAAAATCTGCCCAGAAGAAGTTCTTGGACTGCCAAACTGCCAATTGAGTCGTTTGGCAAACAACTAACGACCTACAACTAAAACAATTTATGCTCGTTTGGCTTCACCCTTTGCCCTTACTCTCAAGTTAGTCGTCCAACAATAATTGCGAATTTGTAAACGAAAGAAATCTTTTCTTAGTTTTGCTACAGAAAAATATTCGACTTACTTTTGCAAGTCAGAAGGGATGGCTTGCACGTCCAATAATTGGCAGGCTAGTGCGCCGTGGTACCATCGATCGATTCCCTTCAACAGTATTTTCACAATCATGTTATTCTCAAGGGACTTGCATGCTGTCTCTGTTAATGCAATATTATTCGCATTTATATTTACTTTATGATTAATTTCATAAATCAATAATCGAATTGTAATTAGGATGAATAAAGAAATGATGTTTACTAATGTTATAAAGTTACATTTTAAATTGTAGATAGTTGTGTATAATTTCAGTAAAATTTAATACCTGACAGTTGATGTTCTTCATCAATGGTCATAATTAAAAATATAGTTTTCGTTTCCAACATTATGATGAGCATTCTCCACGTAAAGTCATCCACATAGTGAGCCCTCTTCACTGCCGCCACCCAAAGATTTGGAAACATCTATAGATAGATAGACAAACCTTTTTTAATAAATGCCGAAACCAAAACCACTGTATATAATAACAGAAATAATACTCTAAACTATCTTTTAAAGGAACTACGATAAATATTTATTACATACGCTTTTAAAAATCTCCTGGAGCATAAGTTTAACGCTCACATCATAGAGAAAGTTTCCGCCGTTTTCAAATTTCTCCGGTAAAGGGAAACGGCAGTCGAAAATCGTATTCAAAGCGAACAATTGTAACGCTGACAAACTCGTCACATTTACGCTAAAAATATGATTATATAGTTAACACCGAAGATAGATTACTTGTTATATTATCATATTTGAAGATTGATGAGGTAATTTAAAAAAAAGAATATAAAAAATCAACACCATACTCTGAATAATGTCGATCAATAGTGCCGCAGCTATACTCCGTGCCCATAGCTAGTAAAAGTAGGCGGAGTAACAAAAGTATTAATTAGTTCGATTCCCACTTGGGTAGTGATTCTGTAGAATCCAACAAAATGGCTTTTCTACGACATATTGGCAGATGTCTTATGAATTTCTACGACAAGCACTGAAGGCGTCACTAATAGGGATGATGACTACACAACCTTTTTTTTTTCTTCGTCTATTAGGTCAAATTTTTTTGAGTTATTTTGTTGTGAAATGTCGCATGACGTCACGTCTTAGTACAATTTTTACTTAGAAGATACGTCACGAGCTCCCATTCGCAAACTGTGACGTGCTTTATCTTTGTATATTATTTGATTTATCGACAAAAGAGAAAATACGTGTCCATTATTTTTTTGATATTTTAACTAACGGACTAAATTGTATCTTGTTTAGTTTACCCCTTCATCACACCAATTTTAATGCTGTCGTGAGCAATCATTCGACTTACACCAAGTTAAAAGTTAGTAAATTATAAATACACATTTAAGTATCCTCAGATTCAAGTATTAAACAGTTGGAAACGGACCTGAATCTTAGGATATCTTCAAAATTTACAAGGCTACTTCGCACATCAGAAGTTGTGAATGCTTTGGCCATTATCATTCGAAACAACGCAAATGGTCTCTGAAAAATAAAATTGTTCTAAAGAAAATTGTAACTATAAAATGTTCCATGCGGTCCAGGAAGCAGACGGTACCCGAACCCGCACCGCTATCTGGGATGCACTGACCAATTATGCTACAGCTACCTTAATGGCCGTCTCGAATTTCTTCTTGTATTTCTTAGGCAGCAAGGCAGAGCGTAAAGTAAGTAATCGTTGTTGTAAAGTAAGTGTTTTCTTATAATTTTTTTGTTTATATTTAAACATCTAAGTAAAATACTTAAAAAATAAAAATATTATAAATTTAATTGTTGTTAACTTAAGAGAAATATAATTAATAAACTATTACTTTACACTTTAATTATCTTAAAAGTAGGCGTTGAACTTTGTCTTATCTACAGAAATTATTATAATTAAATAGGTGCTAATAAATGACCCCACCCAACATAGGTACTTACTTTATCAGTTTCAGTCAAAACAAAAGTCTCGACTCGATACTCGTGTGGAGTTATATGAATGCATTCTTCTAAAAACCGACTTTTGCCAACCAATTCAACTCCCTTCCAACAAATTAAAATAAAACATTATCTTCAAGTTATCCTAGCGACCGTCGAATGTTCTACACACAATACAAATATCAATTTTAAGAAAAAATACTAATTGGTTACTTATTAGTCAATATTAATTAGGACGTGTCGCCAGCCGATGATCTCCCGCAAGTTCATATTCATAAATGGACGGTGTAAGTGTTCCCTAACATAACTGCGAATTCGCATCGCATCGCAAATATCTGCGAGATCGCACGAATTCTTCCGATCTGATTCGCATCACACATTTCTGAGATAGGTATTACACACTTGGTGACACCATTTTAGTCCGCTGAGACTTACTTCCCTTGTACGATCGTTTTTGTAGACATGGTGATAATAAACTCTAAAACTCTTGAAATGAAGATATCTTCATTACTTCATTACTTATTCAACGAGCATATGCTCGTTCTAAAATAAAAATAATAAACACCTTCTTCTGTTTTCTAAGCGTAGTATTTTCGAGTAAAATAGTTCCCATCAGCGTTCATAATCTTATTTTTCTTTACCCACCCAAAACATTATTTATTCTTTTATATCTATTTAACAATAACAAAAGTCTATACGGTTGTCTACCGTTGAAGGTATACCTTAACCAAATCTTTGCCGCACAAAATCGCATCGCAGCAATTCGTCTGGTTTCTACTGGGTAGGGTACTGCTCATTTCACCGAGCCCTGAGTTGGATAAAATGAGCAGGTAAGAGTCCACAGATACATTTGTCGCACTACCTCCACGTTGCGCGAGAGAGGCGTCATGCCTTTTTCAGACAAAAAAGTGTGTTTGTGAGTTACTGGATATTAAATAGCCATAAATTCTATGCACATTATGAGAGACTTACAATAATAGCAAAAGCAAATTTAAGGTCCCTGTATCTTGTGAATTTTCGCTTGTGTTCTCCGATTGCGTTGTTGATCAATATTTTGTATTTCCGCAATTCGTCATTGCGTCCCAGAATAGGGTGTATGCTGGTACCTTTGCGCTCCGACCATCTGGGAACCATACCAAAACGAAGTTTATTAGTCATTTTCATGTATGATCTATACTAATCAGGGGTGTGTTTACCCTAGGCACAAAATAGACATAACAGAATGTAATCCAAGGCTTGAAACCGGTTTCAAAAAAACCGGTAAATAAAGGTTAATACCAGTTTTTAGTAAAGGTTTCGTTCGGAGCGCGTACGAAATGAAAGCGGTACCTAAAACCCTAATAAACCGGTTTAATCCAGAGCGACACGTCCACGCGTCGGCATCGCTTTAAGTTTGAAAACCCTAATAAACCGGTTTAATCCAGAGTGACACGTGCACGCGTCGGCATCACTTGAAGTTTGATTAGATTTGAAAAGATTTGGGTATGGTGACCATACCTTCAACGGTATACAGCCGTATTGACTTCTGTTATTGTTAAATAGATATAAAGGTAAAATAAGATTATGCGTTCATCCATTTATTAAGATTATGAACGCTGATGGGAACTATTTTACTCGAAAATAATATGGTTCGAGAACGGAAGTTTTTTTTTATAATTATTACCTTCTACAAAAACGATCGTACAAGGGAAGTCTCAGAGCGGACTAAAATGGTCTCATCAAGTATGACGTAATATTTCAGAAATGTGCGATACGACATGCGAATCAGATCGGAAGAATTCGTGCGAGCTTGCACATACGAGTATATGCGATGCGATGTGAATTCGCAGTTATGTAAGGGAGCACTAAATCAAACAACTAGATACGAGTGCCACTACCGCGATAGTATTTTGTGCATAAGCCAATGTTGCTAATAATAGCGCGACCGCGCCGCCGCGAGCGTACATATTGCAAAGTGAAGTACATACATGAGATTACACTCTGTTATATCTATTTTGTGTCCTAGAGCCAAGAGGGCAGGGGCTGCGAGGGGCAGCAGAAAACCATATAAAAGCATTCGTTACTGACCTATGTTTTGATTTGATTGACTAATTCGTAAGTGGCCCGGGGTAGCCAGATTTAAAAAGGTAACTAATTTTTTGAGCTGTTATTTAAATATTCGAGGTTTATGATCAGTTGAAAAACATATTGAGCAGTTATTTAATTGAATGATGGACAGTACAGTGTCGGCAGATCATAGCGAGCGGTGACACCAGAACTCTAATTCATTGAAAAGAGAGGTAAATGTTCGTTAGTTGGGCGGAGCTTATTAGCGCGGTTGGCCTGCTCTTATTATACAATAAGTTTATTTTAGCTGCTACTAAGCAAATTCTATGTCATTTTAATTACTTAAGTATGTTTTAAATTACGAATAAAAGTTCCTATTATTATTATACAATTTCTTTTATTTAATTCCTTCAGTCAAAGCAAAAGTAATTTAATTTTTCATTATATCACCTCAATGAGGGCTATCGTTTTTTGTCTCACCAGATGGCGCCACTGTTGAGTGAGGTCCTGAAGTGTAACTTTTAAAGTTAGTAAACACGCTCGTGATATCAAAGCTTACATTTTAATACAAAAGAATCGTATCTTAAACATAATCGCCCATGCCACAGTGTTGCGCAGTCCCGCTTTGTTCGGAAAAAAGAAGGACAATATTTTTTCTTTGCTCCGCTTTTAAATAACTGACAATCATTGACACGTAACTCATATTTGCCATAATAAGTTTGATTTATTACCAAATATTCACAACTATTATTTTAATTAGAAAAAAACCGCGCAGTCAACCCGCAAGCTATAACATTTGACATTTCGGAGACCTCACGCAACACAAGCGCCTCTAGCGGCGGTTTCAGACGCGATAACCCTCATTTCGTTTCCTAACACATAGACTACGTAAAACTGGTATACGTTAATAGATGACGCTTTAGTCTATTTGTATATTGCAGTATTCCAAATTAGCATCCTTTCCTCTACATGTAGTATACAATACTTGCCACAAACTTGTTGGATAAACAAAACATCTAAAGTAAATAAAATGTTTTATACTTGTAAAATACTAGTCATCTACACTAGGCAGTGGAAACGATTTTTTTTAAACAGTCACAACAGGTATTCTACAAGTTTTGTGTAAAACTAATATATGGCTTATTTTTTGGTGTAAACGAGGGGCAATATGCTAACCTATACTTATTGAACTCGTAAATGGGACCAGGCTTAGATATGCCTTTGAGCAATTTCTGCTCAACGATCCTAAAATGCTCTTGTTCGAGTTTACTCCTCAAAAAGGTTTCCTTGTCGCATGTCACCCTCATAGGGTATGCCATCATCAACCGAGCGGCCTGCAATAATGCAAAAGGTTTAAAACTGTATATACCTTACTGTATTTAGGGTTGCCAGTTGGTCGGGTATCATCTGGATTCTCCCGACATTTTAAGTGATCTCCAGATTCTCGCCAAATAATGAAATCTCCCGACTAAACTTAGCATCATGTACATAATTGACACAAAAATACCAGTTATACAGTTACGCACGATTAGGACAGCAAAAATAAAAATCGGAATAAATGTTAATTACTAGTTGTGGCAAAGTGTAAACAATTATGTTGTTGTCAGAATCAACCAGTTTGGATCCCTTTGTTGTGTTGAGCAATGCTCTAAAATTTAAGCAATTTTCGTCAAAATTTATGTTAATATTAATACCTTGTTCACAGTTGGTCCTATAACAGTATATTCCCTACGTAGAACGTGGCCGACCACCCCACAGTAGGTAGTTCCTGTGACAAATTTAAATAAAGGTTTTTAGACAAGTTAAATTAAAGTTAATGCTGTCTCTTCTTTGGTAATACTTACCGAACTACAAAATAAAGGTCTTAAGCCCACTTACACTACTTTGTTCCAACATTGAAGTTATATTGCCCCTTGTTACACTGCCCCCTACGTAACTCTAGTCTTACAGTCATATTGTAAGATTGATAGGAAAACAAAGATGAAGGGCACGTTGAAATAAGATCAATATTATAGATTCTTTAATAGCAATCCGTAGCGTAAAGGATGGGGAAGGCCGAGACTCATCTGGGTTTAACAAACAAATGTCAGTACATTTCTCTGTTTCATGATGCGCAAAATATTGATGACACTAAACTAACCAGTGGACTTAGGAGCTCGATGGCGCAGGTGGTTAGCGCATTCGGCTGCGATCGTTGAAGTTCCCGAACCGGAGGAACTCGAAATTGAAGATTAGATTAGGCACGTTAAGCCGTTGTTCCGGCTACATGTGCAGTCGTTAGCACCCTTCAATCCGCCTTGAGCCCGCGTGGTGGGTCATGGTCCAATCTCCCTATTCCATCCATAAGGAAGGCCTGTAGCCCAGCAGAGGGGACATTAATAGGCTGATGATGATGATAATGAAACTAACCAGACGTGACACCAATAGAAACGCTGATGATGTTCACGTCCATCGATATCAAGTTCTCCATCAGCTCGTAAGCGCACTGGAGCGCCTTCCTCGCCTCGTCCTCTTGCTTCAGCCCCCGCAGCCCGAACACCACCAGGAACATCATGTCCTTGTCGAACATGGACACTTTGTTCACCAAACCACCCAAAGTAGACGACAGCCTATAAATATTATATATGTTGGTGCACATTTGCTAAAGGTAGTTATGTTTTACTCCAGCGAAGATATTATTCGAACGACTCTTCTCTGGATCTCTTAAAATCATTTACCATGAAGTGAATTTGTATGCATGAATCTCTTAACACGAATGTCCTTGCTTGTGGACATTCGTTAAAAGGGATGACGATGACAAACTTTTTCTTCCTATTAGATAGATAGTTATCAAAAAGTATTGGACGCGTCTTTTTATTTTTTCACAAAAATCAAAACATTACACAGATATGATGTGTTGATTTGAAGTATCGCGTGACGTCACGCTTTCGTACAATTTTTATAGTAGGAGAGCGGGTATTTTTGGATTTACTCGACCTCGGCAGAATTACATAAGAAGGGCAATCTTGCACCCTGTGAAATACTCCCACCATACCTGTTGTGCCCTCTAGTAGGGTCGAACGTCTAGGGCAGCAAAAAAAATCACCTAACGGCTATGACTTTTGGTAGCGTTCAAATTGTCAGTCTTTTGAGAGCTACTTTATCTATATTGTAGGTTATAGGGCTAGGCTAGGGTTTATGGCGCACGTCATGTGACTGCAGGGTCTAAGGGTGTTACCGTTCCCTGAAAATATATCTCATGTACCTAACAAACAAACACCGGTCAATTGTATGCACCTGCAAACGCATTTATAGGCGGAATCCACGATGTCTATGAGCACGTCTTCCGTGACCGACTTGGTGACGATATTGAGGAAGACGACCACTACGCGGCGCACCTCAGTGAGGAAGTCCATTGGCTCGTCGTTGTCCACCGCGCGCAACACCGGACTCACCATGAACCGCCGCAGCGAATGCCACCGTGAGTTCTTCAAGGCCGAAACAACCGACGGCCGAACTGTTGATAACAACCCTTCAATGCTTTTTGAGATTTTGCTACAAATAGACATGCCAGCATCTAAAGCTACTGTCGCATATTATGATACCTACTGTTATCGGTTGGTTAAATTGCTGAAAACCTGACCACTGTAAGGCAGTTTCTTGCTAATAATTTAGATAATACTCGAAAGACCAATAACGTGTAGCTATATTAGGTTGTGTCCTTCAAAAAATTACGAATTTTTGGCCAGCAGTTTCCTAACAACCTTCTCATAACTAAGTGAATATTACAACATCAAGCTTTAGAAGATGTTGAAAATGATTGTATTTTTCTATTAATCTACTAGTACCTACTACCTTCTAAAACTGGAGGCTACTTATGGATCTGTAACTGAAAAGAGAACATTGCGTTGAACCAAATAATATAATTGTGTCTTTTTCATATAAGATAATTAATTGTTTCGCTAGTACTTAATGAGTGTGATACTATGGAACATGGAAACTCTTACGAGAAAATCCTTTGAAATATTTTTCCTCGGGATCTTCTCTCTCGTTTTCACTGTTTTGCGTTGCAGGAAATATTGAATAAGAATCTGAAGCAATAACTACAATAAATATCTTGGCTTTTATTTAAATCACACACAGTGTAGGATTTCAAGAAAATTTGACCCAACTATTTGGAGCCACTGGTATGGTGACATCAGGTCATCCTTTTCGTAGTGATACCAGTCCAAAGTAATTTTTCAGGGAGCAGCAACATGTTATCCATTGTGAAATGGAAAATTTTACAATCTCTACACTACGTTATAAATAATTATAGGTAGTAAAGCTTTGCTCTTACCTTTGTGCACGCTACCAAAAGTATTCAGGGGATTTTCTACTCTTTTCCAGGTAGCACCTATACCCAAGACCTAAAATTAATAAAATACTGTGGGAGAGGTAATCAATGCTATTGTGTAACACGGCGAAAATGTATAGCTTGTTGGGTATTTTTATAAGCTGGTCTAGGTCTACAGGCGAAAAAGAGTTTGTTAATTTTACTATTAAGTTACTACTACATAGTATATAAACCCCATTACATAAGCGACCGAAAGGTTAAAATCATCAGGTGCTGACTTTCCTGATCAGAAATTCATAAACGAAACGACCAAAGAACGGCAACAATTTTTAAAGAATGGGTCAAGCAGGTAGTACTTAAAAAATACATAAAAGTAGCCGTCGGTATAGGGGGTTCGATAGTACCCAACAAACATTTCAGTCGTATATGTAAAAATTAAGCGACTCAACATGCTATTAATAACATCGCATTGAAGTAATTTTAATATGTATTACGACTTAGTGTCTCTTATCTTTAAAATACTTGTAGTCGTATAAAACACGAGTTTATATACGATTATAAACTTCTATAGGTACGTCTATTTTATACAACTGTTAAACAACTTTCAGTAGCATATCATCTTAGTAACGTCTTCACAACTTTGACATCGATATTAATCGTAGTACAGTTGCGATATTTACCTTTATGTCACAATCGTATTAGTAAAAACCTTATCGTTCTTTGAACCCACCAAGAGATTAAAAATCGATTGTTGAACTTTGACAGATTTGTATTGTAGTCACTTCACTATCGAATCGTGCATATGACTTGTGTGACAAGGAACACCTGCACGAAGAGTTGGAGCATGTACGGCGGGTCTTACAGAATAATGGATATAAGGGAAATTTTCCACCCAAACATAAATTAAGACACCAGGGGGCCAATCGCCTAACTGGATTGCTTTGGAAAACGCTATCGCTTACGATTTCATTTTGTTATTTCTAGCCGCCTGAGGTTTTCAAATGCCTCGCGCTCTTTTTTTTTCTTTTGCTTTGGTAATAACAATGTTAAAGAAAATGAGCGTGAGGTATTTGAAAACCTTCGGCGGTTAGAAATAACAAAATGAAATCGTAAGCGATAGCGTTTTCCAAAGCCATCTGGTTAGGCGATTGGCCCACAGAAACACAAAGTTGACAGGCACCCACTATTTTTGCCATATATCAAAGAAGTGACAGACAAGATCTCGACCATACTTAATAAGTAGGTAGGTACTCACTGAATACTGTCTTCACTCCTTTACAAATAAGTGTTACAGATTCTACGGTCTCCCAAAGACAACTTCCCCTTGGAGAAACCTGGTGTGTACAAGATCGACTGCAGCTGTGGAAGTTCGTATATTGGCCAAACGAAGCGGACAATAGCGTGCGTGATTGAAAGAACACATAAAGCAGTCAGATATAATGAAACGCAAAAATCATCGCGGATCATTTAATTGATTCGGGTCCTAATCACTGGATTGAGCTCCATAATCCACAAATTATCTCGACAGAACGCCACTACATACTAAGATTGGTCAGGAAAGCGATTGAAATAACCAAACACAAGAATTTCAATCGTAAGGATGGGTTTAAATTGTCAAGTGTCTGGAATCCAGTGGTCCATATGTGTAAAAACCGCAAAAATCAAAAAAGTGTCGTTCCGCGATCTGATACTGTGAGTATTGTGTGTCAGGAACAGGTGCGAGTGAATAGTGAGAATGTGACCAATGGTAGGGGTATCGGGCGCAGTAAAAGACGACGTCAGAGGGTAGACCGATATGTCTGCCAATAATATCTACCGGCAATTACTTCAGATACTCCGTGATCATGGCGCTTGAAACAGTGCCGAAATATGGTACATGGTAACACTGCCGTTAATAGCTATAATGTTAGTGACCATGAAAGTTTAAAACAATTGATTTGTATTCGCTAAATTTAATTTTGTATGAACCTTGTTAAATAGCAATTATGCATAAACGTTCCAGAACGAATTTAAGTGTATTATTTTATAAATATATCTAAAATAAATATGTAAAATAATAAATAACAATGAGGAACATACAAAAACAAAAAAAAAATTGAAAATGTATTACAAAAAAAATAGAACGTGATCTTTTGAGCTTAGAACCTATGCCAATTTGCTGATATGGTTCCAAAAGTTATCAAAAACTTATATTATAAACATTCAATTTTCATCATCGTATTCTATGATCTTGAAGTCCGGAACTCCACCAAACCCATCAACATCATCAGTGCTTCTTCAGAACTTTGAAGCGTTCTATAAAATTGAAGGCAATCCACTTCCTGTGCACCTCTTCCTACCTCTCCTTCTACCAATACATAACAATGCCCAGTATCATTAGATGCACTATGGATACCACTATTGTAGAACTAAGTAAAAAAGTTAAACCTCTTCAAGTTTACAAAATGACAAAGACTGATTTTTTTAGTACAACTAAACTGGAAAAGAAGATCAATAGGAAGAAGTTTACAGACTCATCTAAAGTTAGTTGGCTACATACAAAAGAAATTAAGTTGGATAAAGATAAAATGTTTTCTATTTTTATGCGGTCTACGATGGAAGACGATTTCAATGAGTTGAAAATTGATAAAAGAATAAAACGAGAACTGCAATACATAAAAGAATCTGATTTTTGCTTATTGTGGCCTAACGACAAACCGATTGCTCCAGCGAAATTAGTGGACTTACAATCCATGTACCACTATACCCGAGGATTGCCTTCAATTTTATAGAACGCTTCAAAGTTCTGAAGAAGCACTGATGATGTTGATGGGTTTGGTGGAGTTCCGGACTTCGAGATCATAGAATACGATGATGAAAATTGAATGTTTATAATATAAGTTTTTGATAACTTTTGGAACCATATCAGCAAATTGGCATAGGTTCTAAGCTCAAAAGATCACGTTCTATTTTTTTGTAATACATTTTCAAATTTTTTTTTTGTTGTTTTTGTATGTTCCTCATTGTTATTTATTATTTTACATATTTCTTTTTGGTTTATTTTTATAAAATAATACACTTAAATTCGTTTTGGAAAGTTTATGCATAATTGCTATTTAACAAGGTTCATACAAAATTAATTTAGCAAAAACATTTCAAACTCGTTTTACCTATTTATATGCCCCTTGTATTATGTATTTACAAAAAATATGCATATCATTCAATAATCAGTTTGGCATTCCATAGTTAAACCAATAGTATTTGCCTGAAATAATTACAGGGAAAAAGTGTGTAAATTGCGTTTATCTCAAATTGGGGTTGCTGTGGGTTGGAACGTTTTCGCGTAACTACGTCCAAATATACCATAGTTATTTATTTTGGTAAAAAATATCTTTTTCTCTAGAACATATTTAATAGCAAAAATGGATCAAGTATATGTGGATTGTTTATAGCAAAAAATTGAAAATAATATATTATAATAAAAGGTTTCAATTTATTTAGAACAGTGTTCGCAGCTTAAAAAAACAGTATGGATTAATCTAAAAGGTTTCAAATTACATGGAACATTTTTGCAGAAATAAAAATGTAAAGATTTTGCAAAAACGTTCCAACCCACATGGATCATTTAAGAAACCATTAAATGTGCGTTTTATGAATTTAGTATAATGTTCCAAGACAAGTGGAACATTATAACGATATGTTATTCTATTAAGAGTTTTTAACAATATGTTTCAGTATGCATGTAATGTTTTTACTTTATTTTGAGTACACGTCCTTGGCATAATGGTGGGTTGGAACATTTGGGTTAAACTTTATTGATGAAACTAACCTAAAAATACTAGCATCTTTGTGTGCACATGATGTAATATGTCAAAAATAGTACCCTGGTTATGGTAACTCATTTTCGAGTGACTTGTGGGTTGGAACGTTTTCGCGTAAACTACGTCCAGTTCATCTATAGCTGCTATGCAAAGGGTGCGTAACAATCATGAACATTAGAGCCAATTTTACACTTGCCTTTGTGTGCCTTCCATCTCGGCAACGCTGGGTGCAATACTCCGTTTCGTTCACATACATCCAGGCACTAGCTGATGTGAGCACATCACCAGCTGTACTCATATATTCGGCCATCTTCACGTCCCACACGGGCTGTCCGACTATAACGTAGTGAGATTGAGTGTCCTTGCCTTCCCCGCCGATTATGGAAAAGTGGGACAAGCCAGCGGATATCGCTATTTTAACTACGGAGGAGTTATGGAGTCTGTTTATTACTGTAAGTAAGTAGGTAACTGCGAAATATATCATATTAATTAATTCTAGCACCCCCCGCCACCCTCCATTCTCTAAATGTTTATGCTGGGGTTGTCCTGCACTGAATCAACTTACTCTCTAGTCTTGTGTGCACTATAGTACCTATATAAGGTTTCCAAAGCCCAACAAGGTAGAGGAGTGAGGTTTTGAAATAAATAACAGGTTAGCAGAGCTATAAACAGCGCTTTGCGATAGTTGTTTATTTTAAAGAAAATCAAAAGTTATCTTACTAACCTTTTAAAACAACTCCAGTGTCAGTGACAAAGTTTTCATAGTTCTTCTGTATTAAGAGGCCACAGTCGATGGCGGTGTGCACAATATTTTGCATCGTCACCTTTGGTGTCTTCTTCCACATGGTAAGAAAAGCGTCTCCAGAAAAATTAAGGATGTCCCCGTTGTGCATGAGGATCTCTTGAATCATGGCGCCAATGTAAGAGTTCAGGACTTGGGTTAGCCTAGACGGACCGCCACGGCCTGGTCTGGTATAGCTCTCACAGAGGTCCGTAAAACCTTAGATGATTATAAATTAATAAATGCGTGTACTGTCTACAAGAATGTGATTTTAGTGTGTACATACCTACCTAACCCTAACCTAACTTAAAGAGGCGCTCGATGATGCAAGTATTTCGCACGTTCGGTTTTATCGTGGAAGGTAAGCAACTTAGGTAATGACTGGTCATTGCATGGGTAACCAAAGATTTATTATATATCTCAAGCTCCTCCGTGCTTCAGAAAATACGTTGAGCCGTTGGAACCGGCTGCATCTGCAGTCGTTAGCATCCACCAATCCGCACTGAGAGTGCATGCACTATTTATCTTGTGATTTTCCACTACCATCATGGAAAGCGATCTCACTCTCCTGCATATTGCATATTTTTCACAATAACTAGAAAACTAGTCAGTCCCAAGTAGCAAAACCACTTTATAACGAAAAGCCTTTGTGACAAAAACTCTTGTATTATAAACTCTTAATAAGGTTAAAAGCTTTGTATCTTATAGAAATTAGAATTTTAACGATTATACTTAATATACTATATAGTAACGGAATATATTATGAATTGTATGATTATCAAAATTGTTGATGTTTTGGTTAGCCAGGTAAGTATACAGGATGTTACAAAAATACAAATAAAGATGGAAGGGCGTTGAACTACATCATATATGTAGTCTTCTCCAATTTTCCTAAAATATTTGCATGAAGTTTTAACTTTTTATAAAAACAGTTATTTTTAATGATCCTCGTACTAGTGACGTGTCTTAAAATGATCAATATTTTTATTAATCATTAAACATAACTGTTTCTTTAAAAAATTAAAACTTCATGCAAATATTTTAAAAGAAAATTAGAGGAGTCTCCTTATATGATTTACTTCAACGCCCTTGAAGGGCTTTATTTATATTTTTGTAACACCCTGTATAGTCATTGTTACAATTCTTACAATTGTCATATTATACTTTCATTTAACATAGCCTAATAACGCGAATAAGGCTTTTTTGCGAAAATGTAAATTATATTTTCTTTATAAACCTTCATAACTCTTAGAGCATTTATAACTATATCATTTTTGCTACTTGGGTAGCCGATGGACCGCACGAGCCTGCTACTCTACGCTGTTGATCCCATACTTCCTGCCACTGTGGTTAAACCTACCTCACTAATCTATATTTTATTGTAGACAATTTTTTACCAGATACGTCGATGAACATCAGTGCCGTCTCGTAGCTTCTGATGTTGCGATCCCAGTGGTAGTAGATGATCTCGTCTGGGACCATAGAGGCAACGATGCTGATTCGCGTAGCCTGCTGTAGATTGCTCTTACAACCGCTTACACCTTCCATACTGGAAAAGTATATTATAGTGAACGAATCATACCTACATGGTGTGAATCATGCCATGCCTAACGTTCTATAGTTTAAATAATTTAAGGGTTTTTAATTGAATATTCGATTGAAGAAAAGAAAGTAACTATATAGGTTAAGAGAGATATGGTATAGTATAGCGGATTTTCCCCTCAGATTGGAGCGCCCGTCTAGAGAAGTAACCTCCACCTTGCAGACGACCACAGTAAACTAACACTATTTTTAGTGGTGTTGTATTTCTGTTGGTGAATAAGGTTCCAGGGCTTCACGGGGTTGGGGATTGACTCAGGGTTGGCAACGGCGCGAGTGATATTTTTTGATGTGTAACATTATCTTTCCTCTCGCTTTCCTGCAATTTGTGGGAGTGATTTCGTGAAATGGGACGGAAGTGTGTAACAGGAAGTCGCGAAAACGCGCGCTATTTGATTTAATTTTAGAACATAATGTTCAAATGACATATTCCTTTTATAGTAGGTTTTATTTCTTTTTTTACTAATATAAGGTGAGGTTTCAAATGTTACACATCATACGCGACTACTGTAAGGCTCGCTCGTTTTTTTATCGTAAGCGTCTATCTATAGGTTAAGGTTGCCGCTTGCTATCAGGTGGGCCATAGGCTTGTTTCACCCTTTTAACATAAAAAAATAAAGGTATAAACTACAACATACCTAACCACAATCTCTGTGCTTTTTGTAGGTATACAACTAGGTATGGTGTATGTACTCACGTGATCTGGTTATGAATATATTTAATGATCAAGTGCTAAGTAACTTTAAGTAGGGTACCAAAAGACGTGATGTGATCATCCTTAGAAAAATCAAAGTATACCTATTTAATAATAAACTGTGATTCTGCTAAGTGTTCATTTTTTCTTTCTTTTTTTATAATCCAATATAGAACGGGAATCGAACCCAGTTTTATCTATAGATGGCCAAGCAAGTAACTTACAATTACTTATACATTCAATACATAGATAAATGATTGGTCTCGCTTCGATTGCTATGATTCAATAGACCATGAATAGCTCGCGCAGAAGGAATAGTGGTATGTATTTGGCTATGGTCTTCCTTCAGTACCTGACATTCAGGATATTTTTTAAAACTGGCGGATAGCTGAAAACCCATCAAAATAGCTATACTATACCTAGGGCTGCCATCCGTCCGGGTTTCCCCGGATTTGTCCTAGTTTACGGGGCGTCCGGGGAGCGTCCGGACGGGGTTTTATTTGTAGTCCGGGTTAAAAAAATTACGGCAACGCCTGAGTGGCCCTTGGTGCTGCAAGTGTCCATGGGCAGCAGTGACCACTTATTATGAGGTAGACTGCTAGCTCTTTTGCCTAGTTCAACATAAAAAAGTTGATTTGTGCCATTTTTAACTGTTTTTTTAGTCTGTCCGGGTTCTAGGCAATAAAATCCGGGGTTATCACGCGTCTTATCCTGGTTGACACATTTTAGAGATGACAGCCATAACTATACCCACACTCATATGCTGGGGATACACTAACGGAAAACGGCATTGTGATGATGGATGTTTAAGCACGTTTTCACAGGTCAAATTTTGTATGGAAAAAATTAGTTTGTTCTTCCTTAGGGCGCTTTCAATTTGCACCTTTTTTTCACACAATTTTCACCGCAGTAGGCCGTCAAGAAACGCATAAATTGAAAGCGCCCTTAAAGAAACTTTGACGATACGATCGATACGTTAAAGTGCTGTAGTGCTTCGGTTTCTGCTATGAGGAATATACTAGTGCTCGGAAACACAGCTCAAGTTAATACAACGCAGGCAGGCGAGGCGCTGGAGTGGCCATCAACCTCGTACTCAGATCGCTCGCGTCCTGTACGTTAAACGTCCGTCTGTCTGCTGAAAATTCGTTTAGTAATTTGCTCATAACTTCGTCAATATTTGTCGTAGAACAAAAATTAAACCACAGTATTTTATGGAAAATTTAGCTCTATAAATCTGAATTCTTAACTAATATCGTTACCGATCCTCATTAACAGCATTTCCCGTAAGTGTGGCCTCAGCATTAGAAACAATTTAAATGTTAGACATACATTCCCAGAATATCTGAAGGACGACTTCTATGCCGCGCTCTTGGAGACTTTACTCCACTCTCGTTCGACATCTTCTTACTCTGATTCTGGACTTTCTTCATGGCTGCGAGGTATTCGTCGGTATCATCGTCGCTTACCGTTTCATTGCCTAGCGAAACGTTTGTAAAAATATGCAGAGGTATGAAATAAAAAGATCGGACGGAACAATGCAAGGTTTCCGACAAGGTACATACAGTTATCAGACAGACAGAGAGAAGAACAGCGGAATTAACTGAACTTGGGTTCCTTTTTAACTGTGTACGGATCGGATATTAAAAAAATATCCTACATAGCTAGGACTTCGGATCAATTCACACCGGAATGGCAGCGGCCGACAGCAACGAGCACTTTCCCACTGATAGCGGTGTGAAATAATTTTAAACTTTATTGAAATACGTATAAAGACCAGTATCGTTTGAAAATGTTCAGCAATTTCGGGAGCTGGAGCCATCGCGCGCGGCCGCGACACTGCGCGGGCGGTACTGCTGTAATTATCTTTCTGGCTGCAATTTTTGTAAAAGTCCTGTTGAATCTTTATGTATACGAAATCTTACTTTTCCACATTGGCCTCTCGAACGGGACGCACTTATATTAAGTAAGTGCTCGCCGCGTCGCTGCAATTCGAGTGTGAATTGACCCTTACAAGACAAATCTGATCGGCAGGAAAATAGAGAATTCTCCATCCTAACCTTTAGATAATTATAAACCTCTAATTAGATGATTTCGCTGATATTATTTATAACACAACTTGACCGAAGCCAGCAAGCAATCAGCGTCTTATAAGTAAGTAGTATGTTCCTAGTTATTTTAAAATCTATACGAACTTACTTCTGCGCCAGATGTGCGATTTCCTTACTCTTTCCATTATTCTTTTCGGAATCATTACGGAATAAAACACAAAAAAAGCTATCAGAATCAAAATAACTATTTTATGTTTAAGCACAGAAAAACTAATCACTCCGTTTTATAGCTTACACCTGATAAACTCATAGACAGATCCGTGCTCATAGAGAAAGAAACCACTCCGTTTTGCTAAACTCATAAAACCTTACAGTAAAATAATCATAGATCTTTGATCCATCGATATATTATTTTAAGTAAAGGCCACTAGATTTTCAGGTACTCTTCTCGTTTTGCAGTTACAACGTGCACAAGTGTCAGCGGATGAGAAGACCGAGGGACCACCTTTAGGCTATGTTCATATTAAATTATTACGTCGATACTTTTATTCCATTTCTTTTTACAAATAATTTTAAGGCTTAAGCCGGTTCTCCAGCGAGTTTTGCCCTATACACAATCAACAAAATCGTTTACACAACATATTACACAATAGGCTAGTTTACTCATGTCGAATTGTATTAAATAAATGTTTATTTCTTAAAGTGTTTAGTCTAAGGAACCTTAATATATCGATTTCACTTCATAGAAGCAGAAGATTGCTGTAGAAATTTAATTTTAAAAAATATTTTTTAGTCTATATTTTTTAAACACTAAAAACGCTGTTCGCCACATTCGCCATGATTTTGACGTCTCTTGTGGTAAACAACTAAATGTCATTCGCGTGTTACTGTAGGTGGATTCTTTCGTCTGACTAAATTTATCTTAAAACACTTTTAACTTTAGGAAAGAAAAAAACAGTAAACTTAGTTTTTTTTGACTAAACAAATTATGGATGCCGGCTTTGTGAAAGCAGAAAGCACAAATCTGCCAAGAATTGACGCATTGATGGTTGGTGAATTTGTTGCACTAAACCCCGATTTCTGCTCTGCGGAGCAGAGAAACGACAAGGCATCTATGTAAGTACAGTGCATTTAGTATTACAATGTAGTAATAAACATAAAACTGATACAACATATGAATAAGTGTAATAAAGTTGCGTAGGTTAATTTCTTTCCGCACTTTAATCCACAACTTTCCTGGAGTCTTCAAGGATGTGTTTATATTCTCGTACAATACAGTAATGATAATTACTTTATTTTTCGTGGTATTTATTAGAAATCATGTTTTTTTTTATTATAAACTCAGTTAAAAGTAATTTTCTACGTGTTTACGAGTTTTTGTTTACCACAGTTCACGTCATAGCATAGACAATCTATAGACTAAAATGGCCGACAGCGTTTTTGTATGTCCATGAAAAGTCTATTTTAAAATTAAAGATTTGTAGCTTTCTAGGTTTAAAAAAAATACAATACATTTTTTTTCGGTCTAATAGAACATTTATTAACCATTTAAAACCTTTTTCCAAAAAGGGTCAACTAGCCTATTATATACAAAGTTGGATGCGCCTGAAGAAAAAGAATCATTCTAATCTAAGTATCACTTTAATGATCTTACAATTTGGTTAGAGCGCATCCTAATGTAAATATAATACCTAATACCTTTTTAGTAATGAAATAACAGTTTTAAAATCTAGTAATGAATCGAACGTATTCGCATTAAATCGCGTGTTTAGTTTAAGATTACGCTGTGTTTTTCATTCATTAATTAGTCATCCCGTCATTTTGTTATCAAAATAGCGGGATCACTTTCTTGGTTGAATATTTTGGGTGCAGAATTTTTCTATATAATATATTGTTTTAAACTTTCATGGTCACTAACATTATAGCTATTAACGGGATTGTTACCATGTACCTTGTTTTTTATGAGTCTCCGATATTTCGGCACTGTTGCAAGCGCCATGATCACGGAATAACAAGGTACATGGTAACAATCCCGTTAATAGCTATAATTTTCTATATAAGTATAACAGAAGTTCTGCATTAAATCCTAATTACTTACATTATATTTGATAAACCTGGCGAGGTCTCGTCATCTTGACGATCATAAATCCATTCAGCCGCTTTTGCGTGATTCTGCAAACATGCTACATACATACAAATTAAACAAACTTAAATGAAAAGGAAAGACTCTCTCTGTGTTGTAAAGTTTTCAAATAGTGAATACGAATATCCATGTGAAGTGCCGGTAATAATATTAGCAAGATAGTACCTACGTCCATGGTTTAATTCACTACATTACATTATTTACTCTATCTGACAGTCTGTCTGTTCGTCTCAAATGTACACTTGGTATTTCGATAGTTCGTATGCAATAAATCTTAATCAATCTCCTTCCACTTCTACCTTATATTTACTAATAGAAAATGATAGACCAAGCTGTTCTTAAATTAACTTTATTGTTTGTAATTTAAATGAACAATATTTATTATTAGAATCGTTGTTAGAATTTACGAAGCGATGACAAGCTGGCCTATCTGTAAAAAAAATAAACGGGTTATAAACGCGAATATTATAATTCGCCAGCAGACGCCACGCCACTTGTGTTGAGTCAAATGAAATGTTCTATTTTCTATGATCATCACATTAGGAACATTTAACGCGACACGATGCGGTTGTGGACACACTGATCATAGAAAATATGCGTGGTGTGGCATCGGGTGGCTTCGCGTTTCAAAATTCTATTTTGGCCATTATGGTGATACGTGTGTAAAGCTGCCTGGCCACTGGACCGTAACGAGACTGCAGAGTGGAGAATCAGAAATATTAACCAATAAAATTGAGAGATTCTGTGCAATTTTATTGGTTAATATTTCTGATTCTCCGCTCTGCAGTCTCGCTCCGGTTCCTGTGGAGGCAGCCTAATACCTCTGTTAATGTCCCTACTGAGGAGAACAGGTCTTCCATAAAAAACAAATGGAGTCAACCAATCAATACAATTCCCACAAGCCTATATAGTATGGATATATCTTTGTGCAAGGCGGTCAACCTTTGCACACACTCCTACTGAATGCACAGGAAAGTATAACTTACCTACTTTAATTATGTTCTATCAACAAAGTAAACATCAATTAAAAATGTGAGAATGAAAAGCATATAAACTAAGCATGGGTTTAATAACTAGGTACTCGTTTGCTTTGTACATTCAGTCAAAATATTCAACTATTATGATAGAGACGAGAACTGGGGGCCAATTGCCTAACGGGATACCTATGAATATCGCTATCGCTTACGATTTCGTTTTGTTATTTCTGACCGCCGAAGGTTTTCAAATACCTCACAATCATTTTCGATAATATTGTTTTCACCGATGCAAAATAAAAAAAAGAGTGCGAGGCATTTAAACATCTCCGGAGGTCAGAAATAACAAAATGAAATCGTAAGCGATAGTCATAGCAATCCCGATTGGCCCCCTGGTTAGTCAGAGAAAGTGTTGTCATTAACATTTCTAATCTTTTGGGCAGGATACCTAAAAGTACTGGTAAAACTACACGGTTACTGGGAAATAGGGATATTATGCAACAATTTTTACCTACTCTAAATAGAACGGAAGATTTGTCTTACCTGATAGGTACTGGAGACGAATAGTCACTTCTTGGACAATGAGGTGACGCTGCGAAAGGTGACATCCAAGATCGCCCAAGACCAAATGCCTCAGGCACGCCAGGCAGGAACGCAGCAAAGGATTCAAATTTGTATGGAGTAGGTATGCTAATCACATCTCCGGCCGACTCAAATTGGCACACGTAGGGCACATAATTGTAAACCATTTAGAAAAGAATTTAAATTTACTTTAACTCACAAAAAAAATATGTATCGGCAAATGGCATGTTTATTTATCTATTTTTTGTTGCCAAAGCATCAAATACCTATATTCTATTCAATAAGTACCGTCAACGCATACAACTTGAGACCTGGATGTACAAGTAATTAGAGGCAAAACTCCCGCGGGCTTTATTGTTGCCATAAATAAATGATTGGTCTCGAGCGAGACCATCTAACGACCCCGAATAATTATTTGGGGTCGTTAGTTGAAAATAATAGTAGCCGGCTTCACTTTAGAATTATACTTATCTTTGATGAAGAGGCGTAGACGTTGAAACCTTTTTAATGTCCATGAAGCTGTGGCTATATATCTGGATTAATTATCAGGAAGTCAGCATCTGCTTGGTTATAGTTGTGTTGTGCATAATATGTTATTGAAAAGAATTTCCTACACCGTACCTTAGCGTCATTTTGAGTGAGGAAACTCTGTCATCTAGACGAGACAACGAACGATGAGATTTGGGCGGCAGCCCTACGCTGCGTGTCGGTACTGCTTACGATTATTACCATCATTCAGCGTCGCGTCGAGCCAATTTTAACTATTGAGCCCTAATACACACGAATTTGGCTCATCATTATATTTTCATTACACTATGACCGCATCGGACGGTAACTCAACATACATATTGTTTGTTCATACTAGGTACCAGATCAAATTTCTTAAAATTAAGTTAGCAGGATTTAGTATTAAGGCGTGTCTACTGCGCAATATTTTGAACAAACATTGTTCTTGAACATTGTCTGATACAAACATTCACGTTCGCTTCGAGTTTAGCAATGTTCAGCAAAGTATTGTCACAAAATTTCATGTTAAAAAAAAATTAGCAGTGACGAGGAAGACGTGAACATTGTTTTAGCTGAAGTGGATTTAGTTCTGTTTTTTATGGTGGTGTGAACTGAGGCTCGATCATTTTGGCTCACAGAGTTCACAGAAGTACCCATAAGCTTCCGCGAAGGTATCTGATTTTTTGTTTTATTTTCATTTGAAGTCTATCCCTAATAACGGGTCTTTCACGTATCTACATGATTAATTCTAGTGTTGTCTCTGGATTTCACTCCACAATGCACTCCATCATGATAGCCACATCAAAACACGTCTTCCTTCGCCAAATTGAAACATAAAATAAACGATTGCCCCCGCCCTCAGACGAACGCGGGGGACGTTTTCTACAAACTCCGGCAAACACGTTCAAGTGTATTTGGTCGACAAAACATTTAGGCCACACCTCTTATTTAGGTTTTCGAACAATTTTCTGTTCAAAACATGATGCAGCGGACAAGTCTTTAGTCTTAAAACAATAATTGTAGAATGTGTCTGGGAATTTGTAATAAAATATTGTAAAAACTACAGGCCTTTAAATGTCTTCACAGGAGTTCAGCCAGATCTCGCAAAGTATCTGTTAAATTAAGGTAATGTGTATCCTTTACTACATTTAATAGTAAAAGACCCACATTACCGTAATTTATTATGGTCCATTCTTGTCTCCATACAACAGCTGAAGCAAAAACGAAAGACAAAATGCAAGACATTAAAGCAGTGTTTTTAGATAGTACGCAAAATACACGGTAACTATTAGAATCTGTTAGACAAGAAAAACGCATTCATTACGCGTTTCTATTTGAAAATATTCACTAAAATATTAATCGTTATGAGGCTCTGCAGTTGTTGTTATATTTTTTTCTATTTGATAGTAAAAAGTAAATATCTTTACAAATTACTACTTCTCTGTAATCACATTACCTCAATTTAATGTATACTTTCTGAGGGTCTGGCTGATGGTCTGTGAGGACTGAGGGACCGGATTTATTTATATTATTTCCCACACTCATTCTACAATTGTTACATCCTGCTGACTATATATACAGAAAGTTGATCTGGCCCCTTAGTTCACACGCACATACCCAACACTTATGATTTATTTTTCATGAAGTGTATCCTGATTAGAAATTAAATAATATGTTTTAATTATCAATCAAGCATCAAAAAAAATAACATCAGGCATGTTAATTTCAAACACAACTATGATAGTTTAGTAATAATAAGTAGGCAATATTTTTTACTTGTATTTATAATACTGCAGTTGTTCAGGTATTGCCCCACCAAAAAAAGCGCCAGGTTTTCAGTGTTAATTAAGGCACCATTACAGAAAACTTACCACTAGCCAAGGACATTATACAAACCCATAATTTCGTATTTTCACTAACACTCACTAACTACACCCACTTAAACTTCTTTCCAAGTATTCCAAGGGGCATTATCAATTTAACTATGTCAGCTCTCCAAACCATAGCAAACTCAAGACTAGACAATTGCTCCCACTGAGTTTTTATATCCACAGAACACTACCACTTAACTTTTAAGGCTGACACAATGCAATCCACTAAGCTTTATTCATAGGTTTTCTTTAAAATCTATTTTCCGAGAGCACATTCAGTTCACAAACTAAATCACGATTTTTGGGCACCAACTCACTAGGTGTAAAAAAACTACAACTCAAGTTAAAATAATCTATTTGCAAGTACACACACTTACACTACACATCTCACCTAACATACACTGAATAAGTTATACACAAGAACTCATGGTTTGTTCCATTATAATGTTCACTTAACTTTAATGCTCAGTTTAAGATTGTTGAAAACTAGCAAGATACTATGTATTTATTTGCAATAACAGATTATTGCTGGTCACTACAACTGTGAACTATCACAGCACTTCCACAAGATTACAATATTGTGAACTTTCACAAAACTAAAATTACAACCACCACATCACTTCACATCACATAAATATATAATAATGATAGATTCTATTTAAAACTTTCTAACATTTTCTGGAAGTTTAAAAAAAAACTTAATCTAATTATTGTAAATCGAAAATAAGAATATAAAATTATATCCATAAAAAGATTGAGTCAGTTTAAGCAGAACCACCTCGAACAACTACTATAACAAGATGGTCTTCCTTAAGACTTTCCTCTGTAAGATTGTGACATGTTCTCTTCAATAGTTCAGTTGAGAATTGACAGGGAGGGAAAGAGTATAAAACACCAGTGGCCTCTGTTTCCTTGTTAAGAAGTGAAATGACTCCTGCAGCTTCTTTCTGTTTCAAATAAGACACCAAATTTCTCATAGGCCTTGTTTGAATGCTTGCATCTTCATTAGTAATCGAAGCTGTAGATCCAGCGACCCCTAAGAATATTGCATGAGAACTTGAAGTTGCAATACGCTTCTGGACATCATCTAGTTTAGGTTGATCCAACCTTAAGCGCTGAGTGATTCTTAATTGGTTTTTACCATCTTCATCTTTCATGAGACTGTCAATAATTTCAGAATCCCCATCTGTGAGGTGGAATTTTGTGGGGAATAGGGAGTTCTTTAGAATGAGGGCCCCATTCCAAATTGTGGTAGCTTTACGAACCACTTCTGGTAAAGTCCTTGCTGATGTAAGCATTCCACCACTGCGGCGAGGGCTGCCGTCCGAATCGCTGTCTGGTGATCGCCGCCGTGGTGATCGTGAACGTGATCTGTCAACACCAGGCTCTCGTGATCCTGAGCGTCGGGCGCGACCTTCGTATTCTCCATCAGCGGGTGCCCTTCGCCATTCTTCATCTCTGTAGTCACCGGTACCATGATACACACCACGGTAAGCTCCACGGCCGCGGCCACGATGCCCACCTCTACCTCTGTAGCCAGGAGCTCCATAACCATAACCATCATCCCAAGTACCCTCGTAACCTTCATATCCTTCAACTGGCCTGCCATCCTCACCCACTGGTGGAGCATAAGTCTTAGGCCTATATGAACCACCATTTCCTACATCTGCAAAATCAATACGCAGACGTCTATCAGGCCCACCAAGGGGAAAACCTCTCATCTCTTTGACAGCTGCTTGAGCAGCATCTATTGAATCATACAATATATATGCATGGGCTTCCCCTTTTGCATATTCAATTTTTTTTATAGCACCAAATCTGTCAAATTCCCTTTCCAGCTGAGCCACAGACGTCCAAGGTCCCAGACCACCAACCCAAACCCTAGTAGTAGGAGTAGCTTTCCCATAACCTATTTTACATTGGAATTTTCCAATATACTGGCCTGAAAGTTCAACCTTAGCTCTATGAGCCATATCTAAGGTTTGATATCTTACAAATGCAAAAGCATTACCTGTACCGGGAGGTGGACGTTTTATATCAATATCTTCTACAATCCCATAGCGACCAAAAATACGACGTAGTTCTTCATCAGATATGTTGATTTCTAAATTACCAGCAAACAAAGTTCTTGTGGCAAGTGGATCATCTTCAGGTTGGACATGATGCAAATAGTTAGGGAATTTATCTTTTTTGTTCTCAATTTTCTCAAAGGGTGGATGGTGTGGTCGGGGCATATATGGGCGTGGCATATAATGGGGGTGTGGGGGGTGATGCATTGGTGGTCTGTGATGCATTGGAGGGCCATGAGGGCCTGCCATAGGGTAATCATGCATGGGTGGGCGGAAATCTCTATGGTGAGGAGGTACCGAAGGTGGTATTCCATAAGCCCTGTCATCAGGAGGTGGTCTACGTCTTTCAGGAACCGGTGACCATGCATAAGAGTAAGGGCGATCATAATCAGGTGGTGTGATGCTTCTTGGCCTACTTCTATATTCGGATCGTACAGGTTCATAAACTGGATCAACAATAGCAACTTTATCATACAAAATGATTCTTGGTTTAGCATGTTTGGCATCTCTAGCATCTTCGACACTGCGGAAACAAACATAGGCTACCCTTTCGTCCAGCTCATGAGAAATCTTAATGCTGAAATCACCAAACTTCTTGTACTCCCTATACAAGGTATCCTTGACGATCTCATCGGACGCTTTCGGATGCAGAGCACTTACACAAAGAACTTTGTAGTAAGGCCTTGTCGAAGATTCTTCTCGAATGTCCCGAGAGCGTACATAGTCATCACGGTGTGGTGATACGTACCGGCCGCGAGGGCTGGGCGAGCGCACCCGCCGCCGCACCCTCTCCGGGGTGACGCGCTCGTCAGAGCTGTCATCATATCTTCCGATGCTACTGCGCGTTCGTTTCGATCGTGGCATACTATCCCTCGAAGAACTCCGCTTCATATTACGAATTTTCACCGTTATTCGATCTCTATCGCTACGCGGTAATCCAATCATGAAAGCTCAGTTTGTTGAACCACTATCTGAAATGCACAACATTACACGTCACTTCAAAATGTCGCCTTGTCCCGGAAACTAAAATTCACTGCAAACTCACAGTACAATGTTTTAATGTCTTACCACAACGAATTAGAGAGTTCGCTTATCACTTAACACCCCCACAAGAGCACACAACAAATTATTAACACGAAACTTCACAGAAAAGTAGCTGCGTCACAAAATTATCACGGCGAAACACCCAAAGGAAGGAAGTATATTCAAGATGGACGCTTCCGCGCTAGGAACAGTATTACCAACTGTCAGAAATATATTTCTAATACCGGTACTTCACATGGCTATTAATATTTGCTATTTGTAAACTTGTCAACAGTTTGTCTTTATCACGCTTTATAAGAAGTGACAGATTGATCTCAAGTTTACAAAATAGCAATTAAAAATAGCCAAGTGAAGTGGCGACTTAAAGTCCATTGACATATAAAGCCGGAAATATATTTGTCTATCCTGTGTGCTGTGTTGTATTGTGTCGTGTCGTGACGTGATCAAGAACAACTACATTGAGATAGATATTAATATGCAGATTGCAGCTTATTGATAGAGATATTTGTTAGAGCAAAATTTTTTGGTACTCTTGGGTTTATAAAGATGTAATGTAATAACAGTTTTTAAAAATACTTGGTTACTACGTTTTTGTTAAGACAGATTTTCTTTTCGGTTGTATTATCATATTATTATTAAAAAGTATTGTTTCTTCAACACTGCGTCTCAATTCAACTTTAACAATAATTGCTGCTATCATAATTATGTAGGTACTGGTGTCGATTCTAGCATGATTCTCTAAACCTAAACTTAAATTTGACAGCAGTATATCTTTGTCATTCTCTATACAGAATGAAAAGGAGAGACTGATGTTAAATTTAGTTTTAAATTTAGAGAATCACGCCAGAATTGGCACCACTATTATATTCTTTTTGGTTTTTACCTGTAAGGCCCAGGGCCAGATTTAGAGGTCCAAAGGCCACGGGGCAACAGAGGAGCGGAGGCCCCTTTACCCCAAATTATTTTCCAAATAAGTTTCCGAAGTCTCTATTGTGGGGGCCCCCCGTTTATGGAGGCCCCGGTGCTTTCGCCCCGGTTGCCCTCCCCTAAATCCGGCGGTGGTAAGGCCTCTACGACTCCAAGCACTCTTGCAGATTCAGCATATTAAACAGATAGATCTCTGATACGTCACATGGTTATTAATCTCCCTGATGAAGTTAGGTAAATTACCACTGCCACACAAGATTTTTAAATAGGCATACAAACATTAGGTGAATAGCAAACAAGGGTTGCTTTCCAATTACAGCATTATTGCGCATTATGCGGCATAATGCTTAACGTTGAGTGTTCCAACTACAGCAACACTTCGCACAATTGAGCACTCTCAAAAATGATGCCTTCGTGTGATGCGTGCAATGGTACCAACTTAGAGAAAGAAAATTAACAAGTGTTTTTTCTTTAAGTTGGCATTGATCGAAATGTTTTATTTATATGTTATCGTTAGTAATATTATTTATTGTTGAAAAATTATTAAAGCCTTCGTTACATTAAATAGTTTTTTTTTAAATAATCAAAGTTCATTAAAACTATAATTTTTATTATTTTTTAAAGCATGTAACTGCTTGATGTTTAAATCTAAAGAAAATATAACTAGAAAAAATTCCACGCGGACCAGGCAGCAGACGGGACTCGAACCCGCACCCTTCGCAATCCGGGCGAATGCACTGACCAATTATGCTACCGCGGCCCTCACGGACCGCGTCGAAATTCTTTCTAGCTATTCTTAAGCTGCAAGGCAGCGCCATCTCTTGTGGGTTTACCTATAATGCGAAGAGATGGCGCTGCCTTGCAGCTTAAGAATAGCTAGAAAGAATTTCGACGCGGTCCGTGAGGGCCGCGGTAGCATAATTGGTCAGTGCATTCGCCCGGATTGCGAAGGGTGCGGGTTCGAGTCCCGTCTGCTGCCTGGTCCGCGTGGAATTTTTTCTAGTTATATTTTCTTTAGATTCATTAAAACTGTTAAAAAATAAATATAAGTATGGATGAAGGTACAAACATTGACTTTTTTTTTCAACACTGAACTTAGCGCACTCTGCTGGTGCATTTGAAAACTAATTCACGTTCCAATTAAGCATCAGCATAATTGGGCATTGTGCGGCACTGAGTCGCATTATGCTCTGTAATTGGAAAGCATACAAGAGTTGCTTTCCAATTACAGCATTATAGCGCATTATGCGGCATAATGCTTAACGTTGAGTGTTCCAACTACAACAACGCTTCGCACAATTGAGCACTCTCAAAAGTGATGCTTTCGTGTGATGCGTGCAATGGTACCAACTTAGAGACAGAGATGTCGATTCTGGCATGATTCTCTAAACCTAAACTTAAATTTGACAACAGTGCATCCTTGTCATTCTCTATGCAGAATAACAAGGAGAGGCTGATATTAAATTTAGTTTTAAGTTTAGAGAATCACGCCAGAATCGATACCATTATATTAACAAGTGTTTTTTCTTTAAGTTGGCATTGATCGAAATGTTTTATTTATATGTTATCGTTAGTAATATTATTTATTGTTGAAAAATTATTAAAGCTTTCGTTTCATTAAATAGTTTTTTTTAAATAATCAAAGTTCATTCAAACTGTTAAAAAATAAATATAAGTATGGATGAAGGTACAAACATTGACTTTGTTTTTCAACACTGAACTTAGCGCACTCTGCTGGTGCATTTGAAAACTAATTCACGTTCCAATTAAGCATCAGCATAATTGGGCATTGTGCGGCACTGAATCGCATTATGCTCTGTTATTGGAAAGCATACAAGCACACAATTTTTTTGTATGAATTTTTTTAAATACATTTATCATCTATACCGTTAAAACTTGTTTTATTTAATGAGTGGTGTGTGTAAAAACCTAAGAAACAATATACATTTCTTTATTTATTTTGATTATTAAAATGCAATGATTTCTGACTAAATATTGTTAGTTAGCAATCAAACAAATCGTTGCTCATTAAAAATAAGATTAATCATTTGTAAGCTATTTTCTTGCTAAATGTAATGTAATAATGTGCAACTTATTACCCTAACTTTTCGATTTTGACAAAATGTATAACCATATGTCAAAATTTACATTGGTTACACTCCAAGCGTAGGTACTGAATGCATTCAGTATGAGTGGGATGATCCCAAAGTTTATTGGCGCGATGGCATCTAATGAAGAGAAAGAATTGTTACTTAATTTTCAGTTTTGTTAGAGTCTAATTTTTTTGTGGCAAAAAGAAATCAAGAAGCTATTTAAATAAGGCACATACTTAAATAATCAACGAAAAATAGTAATTGATCCTCAAAAAAATACAATTGGTAACCTACTCTAACCTTTGATTTACCAATCGTATTCATTTAAGTGAATTAAAACAAAAATATGGGAAACATGTAATTAATATTTTTTTTAAATAAAGAAATAGTGGCGAAGGATTTGGAGAAGGTTATAAAAATAAAACTAGTTTTAACGGGTAAATGCGCGAACTTTATTTATTTATTGACGTTTCGCACACTTTTCAGGTCTGCATCGTCGGAATAATGATTTTGTATTTACTTTGTCGAGCTACCTTCGAAATAAAAGTCAATAAATAAATAAAGTTCCTGCATTAATCCGTTAAAACTAGTTTTATTTAATGAGTGATGTGCCTGAAAACTTAAGAAACAAATAAAATTATAAAACTTTATAAACGACATTTAACTGAGACGACTTTTACTTTCTAACTGAGTAAGGGTCCGATTGATAGGGCGATGTAACAATTGGGACAAGCCCAAACTTGCGATAGGGCCCTTAAATTGGGTATTGTAATAGCTGTTTTAGTCCTGCCCCGCGGCCTGCAAGCAATGCAGGATTGTGAATGGGCCCCTTTACACGGCCGGCTGAAAAATTGGCAACACTGATAACATGTAGGACCACAGACTAAGGTTAAACGAAGATAAACATAAAAATAGCTGTAAAAAATAGTCTAAAGTGCAATTCTACAAAGTCCAAATTAGACTCATTACTAAACTAACATAAATAATGAATAATTATTGTAGTTGAGTACGGTTAACTAAACAAGATGGATATTATAATAAAAGTTAATAACCAATCAAATGGAAGAGACAAAATAGCACGGTAGGTTATCCATTCCAATCCTTTATTAATAAAAACACAATTTTATTTAATACTGTTTGAACTTACCTGGAAATATTTAGCTTGTTTCAGTATACAAGTCGCTTAGTGTGGCATCAACTAGAGGCAAGAAATGCCAATAAGTATTCAGTGGACAGAATCAAAACATTAGAAATCACATTATGTTCATTCAGAAAAAGTAAGTCCTTTTTATTTGAATTTATAGTGGATTTCAACTATGTTAGACTTTTTAAATGTATATATATTATGATATATCAATTAAGTAAAGTGTAGTGAAAGTGTTGTTAGTTCTATGATACTTACTATAATTAAATGAAGTTGGTTAGATACATAGCATTGAAATCTATAATAAAATATAATTTGTTGCAGTTCTAAGGTTGGGCCGGTGTGTTGACATTTTCTACTTGGCATTGAATAGCAGTGTTATTGATGACCCTGTGCTAAGGGTTACCTTAACCACAAGTAAACTAGCTCATGCATTATTTCTTTATGCAGATCACATTGTGTGGCTTACAAGAAATGGATTTGTAAAAACTGATTTAGACAAATGGAACCGCACTGCTAATAAGTTTTGGTTGTTATCGATAATAGCCAATCTTTTTAGGGACTTATATGAAATATTACACTTATTACAGCTAAACAAATCAAATTTGTTGAAACCATCGGAATTGATAAGTGGCTCCCTAAAAAAAATTGATCTATCTGCAAGTGTGAGACATGTTTGTATGCTTGTTAACTGTCACAAGGATATTTTTATTGATACTCTGAAAAACTCATGTGATATATTCATTCCTCTTACAGCTTTAGGTTTTACTAAATTAAGTCCTAGTGCAGTTGGCACTTTAGGTGCCATTTCCTCTTTAGCAGCATTGATAACCATAATAAAACCTATCACAAAATTAGTACCAGCATAGTTTTTAAATAATAAATTTAAGGATAGCAGGTGCTTTTTATCGATAATTGTTTATTCGTTGATGATGGTGTGTGCAGTAATCTTCCTTTACCTAAGAAATTGAATGGTATAACAGGGATTTAAGGGATAAGTAATAATGGTAGTACATACTCTATTGTTTTTTACATATTTTGTTATTATAATATTTTTTATGGTTAATACAATTGTATATTCTATTAAGATAAATATTATAAAATATAATTATATATCTAAAGTATTTTGATTTTTTTAGATAAACACCTATTTTTCAAATTCTTACTTATGTTGTGTAGTTAATAAGCAGCTATTATTTTAAATTTCTGGGATTTACGCGCCATTTGTACATACAATTATTATTAATGTCAATAAAGTTATTTAAAGAAGTAAATGCTGCCAAAAACCTAATTGCGTATAGTGATCTGTAACAAGGGTTACCAATGTTTTATCCATCTAATATAGTATTTTCGAAGCTGTAACCTCCAAAAAATATAGTAGATGGCAAAAAGATGGAATAAATATAGTAAGTATGTGGTTAAAATATCTACTTTATTTCTGAAATGAATATATTTTTGCTCTTCCGTGCCATATTTTTTTTTTTATTTCTAAGAACCCTTTACTCCCAAAAATTTGCTTTAAGCAAAATATAGTTTCGCCTACTTTAAATATTTTTTAGAAATATAGTGGTGCCAATTCTGGCGTGATTCTCTAAACTTAAAACTAAATTTGACATCAGTCTCTCCTTTTCATTCTGTATAGAGAATGACAAGGATATACTGCTGTCAAATTTAAGTTTAGGTTTAGAGAATCATGCTAGAATCGACACCAGTGTTTGATCCCCTAATATAGTAGGATACTGGTGTCGATTCTAGCGTCATTCTCTAAACTTAAAACTAAATTTAACATCAGTCTCTCCTTTTCATTCTGTATAGAGAATGACAAGGATGCACTGTTGTCAAATTTAAGTTTAGCTTTAGAGAATCATGTCAGAATCGATAGCACTGATGTCGATTCTGGCGTCTGACGTAATTCTCTAAACTTAAAACTAAAATTAATATATGTTCTCCTTTTGATTCTGTGTAGAGAATGACAAGGATACACTTGATTATTTAGGTTTAGAAGATCCTGTCAGAATTGACACCGATATATTAAATAGTAGGGTTGGCAACCGTAACTGTTACTCAAAAGCAGGCCATTTACTTTTGCCGCCTAGGGTGCGGCCAGAGTGCACTCAGATTCAGATTCCGAAAACAAACGCGAGAAATAAACAGTGTAGTCGAAGGGTACGGCCAGAGTGCACTCCTGATTCAGACTCAGAAAACAAAGCGCGAGAAAAAGCAGGCAACCTGCTTAGACTACACTGTTTATTTCTCGCGCTTGTTTTCAGAATCTGAATCTGAATCTGAGTGCACTCTGGCCGCACCCTTAGACCATTAAACCACAGGACTAAGTTAGGGTTGCAACGATATATCAGAATATCGATAATATCAAGACCAAAATATCGATATTTAAAATTCACTGATATCGATATCGGAAATTCCAAAATATCGATATTTCGTAGACTACATTTGAACACAATAATATCAATTAATTTACCTGCTATGACTATCTAAATTGAATAATATCGAAATAACTATTGCTTTGAAATCGCAAGAGCTTATAGATGTATTAAAAAATCTTGAACCCCAAGAAATATACTAAACTGGTGTGGACTCTGGCATGATTCTCTAAACCTAAAATTAAATTTGATAACAGTGTATCCTTGTCATTCTCTATACAGAATGAAAAGGAGAGACTGATGTTAAATTTAGTTTTAAGTTTAGATAATCATGCCAGAATCGACACCAACGTATATAGGTATAATCGTATACCTAATGGTAACTCATGCACTTAAATAAAATCCTTGCCTCTCTTTCTAGATAATTGTCAACTACTGATTAATTGAAATTTAATATCATTGTAATATAACACAAAATAAAATTAAAAATCTTAGACAAATCATAATTTTTTTAAGCTCGCCATGTCAAGATAGTAAGATAGGTATAGTAATTTTGGAAACTTTGGGCTTACCCTATTCTGAAGCCATGGGCACGCCCCTGATGTGTGGGAGACTAAGCATTTTGCGTATTTGATGTGCGCTAAAAACCGACATAGCTTGGAAAAGCACGAATGTAGTCAAAACTTAGCGAAGGCATTCGCAAATGTCGTCCCACATATGCGGGTTGGCGCATTCGTGCTAACGAATGTGAGTGATCTGATCAGGATAATAATTTTTTTTTGGTTTCCTGTCGTGGCTGAAACACAAACCGTGCGAGCCAATAAAAAAAAATCCTGCTTGGCGCTATTTCATCAAGTGTGTTTAACGAAAAAACATCACATAAAACTCAATGCATTTTGCGAGAAACTCGCCAACAAAATGAAAATGAATGTGTCATACTCACCCCATATTCTAATTTCAATAAAAAATAAAAAGGAATAAATATCGAGTTAAAATGGTCGATATATCGGATATCGATATTTTCCTGACTTCGATATAAATATCGATATTTCAAAAGACTGCATCCCTAGACTAAGTACGCGCTTAATTTTACTCAGTGCAAAGTCTGTCACTTTTTGAGGGGGACGAGGTAAACCACTACATTAAAATAAACTCACACAGCCTTAGTTATTTGTATTGTTACAATCGCCTACAAATATATTTTTTCACCTACGCACACTAATGACAATCACAAGTAATCGTAACTAGGGAAAGTTCGGTATCGATATTTTAGTTTTCTTTAAATAATAATATCGGTAGTTTTTCTTGTTCTCAAAGATTATTTTATAAAATAAAAATATGAAAACAGAAAAAATAAGTCCGGGTCTTTTAATACTCTCACTGGCACAATCACCCTATCACTTAAAATTTTTCCTAAACTTAAAAAATCGTTCTGTGGGAGAAAATCTTAAATGTCATTATTTTGTTTTATGTATATATGTTCATTTCTTTTTATCTGTCAAACAGTCGTTTCAACATAGGTACAGTCTTGTCCATAAAATGTGTGTTAAATTTAACGATTTCGACAATAAAAAAATATTGCTACTGTAAGTGTAGATGGCCAGAGGTAAATTAAAATGAAATAAAAATACTTTAAGACATTAGATTAAAACTTTTATTGAAAAAAGTACAACATGAACTCCAATAATCTTCTACACTCACTTTTATTTAACATTATTATGATTATTACAATTATTCTCAGTGGTACAAGATCTGTTGATGATTTCTTAACTTTTAGGAGCTTATGTCAAACAAGTCAAAACTTATCATATTTTAACACGCTTATATTAGCCTCACTTGTAATTAACTAGGTAAACAAATCTGGAAAGTCGAATTCTTTCTACTTCTTATTCTCATATTGATTCAAAACTTGGTAAGTGTATGTAGTTTGGATGACAATACAATAATCTGATATCATTGAGCCAGTCTGATAATGAAGCCAGGAGGTGAATAAAGAATTCTTCAATGTTTACAAAAAGATCTCTCAAGTCTATTTTTATTTGGTTTGTTTTAATTAACACTCATTCCACCATTCCAATGTTAAAGTATAAAAACTCATTTTTACTAAACCGTCATGAAACCACCAGCTGTCTCATCGTATTTTTTCTCTACTCTTGCTTTTATGTACTAAAATACATACGTACGTTACATATTACATACGCAAGCACGCACAAGCATGTATTATTATTTTTTCTAGTTATATTTTCTTTAGATTTAAAGATCAAGCAGTTACATGCTTAAAAAAATAATTATAACTATAATTGCAATTTCTTCTTTCAAATGTTTAATACTTGTAAAAGTTTTCATTTGACATTGTGGGTTACCTACAATGCGAAGAGATGGCGCTGCCTTGCAGCTTAAGAATGGCTAGAAGAATTTTGACGCGGCCATCAGGGCCGCGGTAGCATAATTGGTCAGCGCATTGGCCCGGATAGCGAAGGGTGCGGGTTCGAGTCCCGTCTGCTGACTGGTCCACGTGGATTTTTTTCTAATTATATTTTCTTTAGATTTAAACATCAAGCAATTACATGCTTTAAAAAAAAAGTATAACTATAATTGCAATTTCCTCTTTCAAATGTTTAATACTTGTAAAAGTATTCATTGAACATTGTGGGTTACCAACAATGCGAAGAGATGACGCTGCCTTGCTGCTTAGGAGTGGCTAGATGAATTTCGACGCGGCCATTACATGCTTAAAAACAAAAAAAAAAAAACAAAAAATTATGTATTATTAATATCAAACTTATTGATTTTTAAAATGTATTAATTTTGAGTAAATGTGTCTTATGCATTCAATAAAAACAAAAACCCATTATATCGATATTATTTTTTCAATTTTATTTCCCATCACTTAAAAGTCGTAAATAAATAGTCTCGCTACACTCAATTCAAGTTATATAATTTTTATTTCGAATCTTAAATGCGGGGCCTAAGGTCAAAACTTGATAATTAAAAAATGTAGTCTCGTGGGGAGTGCGTTTGCAAGTCTCGTGGGGAGCATGCAATAGAGACTATATTCGCCAATAAATAGTTAAGGTCACTAAAATGGACTCTATTCTTTATTGATAAGGTATAAAATCATATGAATATGTTTCGGCACATATTCGAATTAGATCTCACTCGATTACTTGCAAGTTTCTATTCTCGATTATTGTAAAATTCATTTTTAATTGAAAAAATGCACTAAAATATAGAAAAAACACTTACATGTGAAATGATATCCAGTTTTTTTTGTAAATTAGAGGTGTTTGATATTTTTTTGCACGTTAAAACGGCACAGGTTAGCATTTTTTTGTGAGGAGACACGGGCTGTTGTTACTACGATAACGATTCTCACACTGTGGAAATCTATCGATTGTAAGTAGTTTTTATGAACGCACAGGATCATTTAATCTTATACCTTGACAGAGGGGAAAGATCTTGCGAGGCCAGTCCTGTGGTTTAATGGTCTAAGGCAAAGAGTAGTATTTATATGGTCTAAGGTTGCCGTTGTTGTAGGTCTTCAGTGTTGCACAACTTATTCCTTAAGAGTATGACAAAGACAATGCACTGTCAAAGTGACAAATAGCAAATACGAGTAGCCATGAGAAGTGCCGGCATTTTGAATATACTGTCTTTAAAAAACGTATAGTACCAAGCTCTAATGCTAGCCATACACACTACGAGAAATCGTTACGATCAGACTGTACAGTTCGAACGGAACAGTTCATCGGACGTGGCATACGTATAGAAAACTGTGTAGTTTTATAACATACACGCTACGATTTATCGGTACCGTTCGGACGGTACAGTCTAATCGTTACGATTTCTCGTAGTGTGTATGGCTGGTATAAGACTGCTGTCGAGTTTATGAAATAAATGCTGTTTGAACATCGTTTGACAACAACGAGTTTGAATGTTATTAGCCGTGGTTATTAGAGTTACTTAGTTGCACTACCATACCACACCGGTGTCAACATAATGGTTGGTGGTGCTTGACTGCGTCGTCTTTTGGTTAGGTAGTATTATCACCAAAAATAAACCAGTTTCGACTGTTCACCCCTGCGACCGAAATTGTACTGGTGAGGTTATGGGATTGTCGGAGGCGGGAGTCCATGGCGAGCGCCCGCGACCGAGTACGAAGCTGATCCCTGCAGTTGGCGGCGAAGTCCACACCGTGCACCCGCTTATGGCAGCGGACGCCTTAAATGACAAAAAAGTTAGCGAATAGGCCAACTGCTCTCCGAGGTGCAAAATGTGCATTTTAGCGCGCCAGGAGTGCCCCCGCCCCCACGACGCTGTAAAGATAGGAGGGCACTCGTCGTCTAGCGCAATTTATCCTAGTAATAGCTAAGCCGGTGCGGTGCTGCATACATCATCCCCTCCTTAAGGTATTATCGCAACAGTTGAACCCTGAGAGGCTTTTATGGCCAGAGGCGTCCCCTTACGGGTGTGTTTAACCCTGCAGGCTGCTGCAGCCGTCGGTAAGGTATTCAAGAGGACAATCTTCTTGAATACCACATTTTTTAAATACACGCTCAATCAGGGGAGCGTGTGCCAAAAAACACGCTCTCCTGATTGGAAGAAAACAAAAAAGAGAGACTGCTGTCAATTTACGTCCGTTCCTATGGTAGTTTTCCAATTACAGCACTACAGCGCATTATGCCTATCGTTGAATGTTTCTACTACAGCAACGCTTCGCACAATCGAGGACTCTCAAAAGTAATGTTTTCGTGTGATGCGTGCAATCGTACGAACTCAGTGGCAGAAAATTAACAAGTGTTTTTTCTTTATGTTGGCATTGATTGAAATGTTTTATTTATTTAATATTGTTAGTGATATTATTTATTGTTATTTTTTTTTCAAGTTTTCGTTTCATTGTAGTTTTTTTTTAAATAATTAAACAGTTAATTCAAACTATGTTAAAAAATAAATATAAGTATGGATGAAGGTACAAACATTGACTTTTTTTCAACACTGAACTTAGCTCACTCTGCTGGTGCATTTGAAAACTAATTTGCGTTCCAATGAAGCATCAGCATAATTCGGCATTGTGCGCCACTGAGTAGCATTATGCTCTGTAATTGGAAAACTACCATAGAAAGTTAGCAAATATAAATAGTCATGTGAAATGCCGGCATAATTCGGCGATTTCTTTGCCTTGCCATTTGGTTTAACAATATAAAACTATTTTCTAACCTAGCTACAATTTTATTAATTATTGAATTTTATAATAAAATTTAAGAGGAACAATAGTGATTTACTAAATTAATATAATAGTGATTTAATTACATACATCGTGTAATGGCTCGTAATTTATCAGAAGCGGCACGAAAAGTTTTACTGTTAGGTCAGTGTGTACCGACTGTCAAACATAATGCAACCAAAATAAGAGTGAAGAGGCTGGAACTAGATGAAAATCTGCTAATGGTTAGTTTTTTACACCACTAAGACGAAATAGAAAGTTTAACTACTACCAAGATTATTGTGGGTCGTCTGCGATCTTCCTAACCTCTCCACTGTAGATTTATCTATGTTATGTAAACAACAGTGGTCAAGTTTTATTTTTAATTTGTAATAATGTAAGTCATTTAACATAACATACAATTTTCTAAACGTTTATTCATGTGTTTTCAGTTCTTTAAGAAAGATGAATTTTACTACTGCCACGATCCTGAGAAGCAGTGCAAAACTGGTGACATTGTGCTTATACAGGCCCTTCCCCAAAAACTTACTAAACTTATTACCCACCAAATAAAAGAAGTAGTATATCCGTTTGGTGATATAACGGATCCTATAACAGGCAAGAAAGTAGCTAAAGAAAAATATAGGGAAGATATTGAAAGAGAAACTGAAGTTTATGGAAAATTAGATTCAACCTTTGATTACAACAAAGCACCTCCAAGAGGCTGGCAAGAAGGGAAGAAAGATTTCACTGCCAAACCCACTTATACAAAGTACCATGTATTTGACGAAAATGACCCCTATGCTATTTAGTTAGTTTGTTATCTAGATAAATAAATTAATTGTAGTGATAAATTTATTTTTTTATATAAATATTACTGCAGTGTCCATTGTAATCCTGCTCATACAGTGGATTTCGGATATAACGACATTGAAGAGACCGGGCAATTTCTTCATTATATCAGGGTATTAGTTGTAACAGGCATAGGTGTAGACACACACAGATTAGTTACATTAATTATTGTTGAGAGTATTTGCAAATGTAGTTAATCATTGGTACATTTGTAATATTGTGTAATATTAATTTGCTTTAGTTTATTTTTTTGAGCTAGTGCATGTTGTAGGGCATATTCTATTTTCATTACTTGTTTAATGTCTATAATAATTTTTCCATCACTAAATTAAACAATATCTTTTGAGCTTAGACATAAAACATCTTTAGTAGTAGGAATCTCATGTTCTTTACAATCTTCCTCCTCACTTTTTCATCAAGCGTTGTGTGCGATGGAACAGTTTAAATTATTTCACTATCAGACATACTGTTAGCAGTGATAAGTCGACTATCAATATGGTCATTTTCGATATCTAGATGCGTTGCTTTATTAACTGTCACCATATTTCAAGTTTGAAATGATTTCTGCCTTTTCTTTAACAGTGAATGAGCGTCTAGGAGCCGTACTTATTCAAAAATCAAGTTGTTACAGTTGTCACTCAGAATATCACTTTGTAACTGAATCATTTTAACACCGAAATGTACATGCTTACCTGCGTAGTATGGGTCCCTAGCTAATAACTATCAACAAAAGGTCACCACAATTGTTGACCATCTGTGTGGATGTAAACAAAAGATAGGAAAGCCAACAGAACTGCCGTTGTAACACGTGCATGGGATTTCTAGGAATTTGTTACATATTATTCATTAAAAACAGACGCTACACCCGAACTTGGCGTTACATCCAAAGTCGCTATAGCCACATGAATTTTGTACTAAAGTATGCTTTAAATTAAAGGGACTTAGATTAAACGTCGCTATAGCTAAATGGTCGCTACAATCTAGGTCGTAATATGTGAAATCCACTGTAGTATAAATGTGTTACTCATGCTGAACAGATTTGGATGAAATTTAGCAAACATAGTTTAATACTGACATTGAGACAGGATACTTTTCATAGCAACAAACAATAGGTTCCATAGGGATTCTCAAAAACGTAAAGTTGTTGCAGGCAGCCACTGGTGTAATCTGGATCCCAGATTTTTGTGTTTTGACCGACATTAAGCTTCAATCACACAGCATATACTTGCTACAATTAACAGGCACAGTGACAATTCGCTGCCTGCCTGTCTCACACAGCGAGATCTACATGCGAATTTTGACAGTCTGTTGATTCGCAAATTCAAATAATTCTTGGTGTTGCATTTTCTTTAAAAAATTGCCTACAGCTCCTCCATGTACTCATCCAAGAAACGCATTTTATTGTCATTTCCCCACTTTAGAAAACCTTGTTTTGGTTGACTCATCCATCATTATACTCATAGATGAATGATTCATTCATCATCATTTATCTACGATTATACTCATATCTATGCAGCGATAAAACGACCTGACACACAGACCGGCGCTATTCGCTGCGAGTTCCACAATGCCGCACAAACTATTTGCATACCAAATTTCATCCAAATCTGTTCAGTAGTTTTTGCGTAAAAGAACAAACTTTCGCATTTGTAACGCGTAATGGTGTTTTAACAGGATATACCTAGTAACAAAAGTTCGAAGTATCTAGTGTACTGGGGGCATTGTTATCAATCGATGACGATAGTATAATTAATAAAACAAAATGCAGATAAGATGTTGACTGAATGAAACACAATGAGCACAATATAATCATTTATTCTGTGGTGGCGGGCGGTGGTTAGGCATCAGTCGGCGAGAAAGCCCCGCTCTAGAGCGGCGCCCATCAGGGTCCAAGAGCTGTCGTCGTCGTCCGGGGGCTCATCGTCTGAAGGCGGGCTCGACGGCCGCGCCCGTTTGCGAGGGCGGTTATCTTCTGCAATAAATCAATAATTAGTGAATTACTATTTTTTTATGTTAAAGGATGGCAAACAATCATATGTCCGCCTGATGCTAAGCGGCCACCATAGCATTACGACGCTTGCGATACCAAAAATATCACTCACGTCGTTGCCTACCCTGTCCATCTCCTACCCCGTGGATCCCTGGAAACTTTCTCACCGACAGAAACACCATCAAAAGGGTAGTATTATTTTACTGTGGTTCTGCAAGGTGGAGGTAACTTCCCCGGACGGGCGCTGAAATTCGATCGGGAAATTCGCTGTCCTACCTCTCTTATATATATGAGGCCATGAGAACCATAGTGGCCTATCTGATTATACTGCCACCTAGTGAACATTCGTTGTATCACTTTTAGACCAATCTGGTTCTATCAAAATGATCAATTTGAACTGGAAAAAATCATAAACTCAATATTGTAAAAAATGAGTTAGGCCACTATGGTTCTCATGGCCTCATATATACTATTTATATTACTTATATACAGTAAAAGTTCCGTATTCCCGCTTCCTTTATTGGCGTTTTCACTATTCGCGGATTAAAAAATTGCGACCGAATCCCTATATTCGCGGCAAAAAAAATCTTATTCGCGGATCTAATCGAAAAAAAAAGGATTCGGTTTCCTTTGTTACCGCGTCGGCAGATGGAGTAATTATAAAAGTAAATAGATCATATTATAACTAAGCCTAAAGTATTTTGTCAAATGCTATTGCGGGTGCATAAGACGGTTTGGTCGGTATTTTTGCAGAATATATACCAACAGAATAATGTTTTTGTAAAACCATCTTATAACTCTATGCCTAAAGTATATTGTTAAATGCTATCACATGTGTATTAGACGTTCCGCCATTTCCTTTCGTAAGATCCGCTTTGCGTGGTTTATTATGTTTCCTTTTTTCATTCATTACAAAAATTGTGATCGAGTAACACGTCTCTTCCGCTGTATTCCTAATTTATAATGTCGATTAAAAAAAAGAAAAACAAGCCCCGACGCGAAAAAAAAAAAAACAGTGTTACCGCTTAAAGTAAAAGTTCTTTAAATTGTTGTCTAAGACTGACAATAATTAATCATTATTAGGAAATCCTTCAATAAAATTGATTAATTAAAAATATTATTTTCTTTTATTTTGCCACCTTGGTACGTATCCCCCCTATAATCTCATATAAATTACCACTCCGTATTCACGGTTTCTGTATTTGTGGCATATTTCTGGAACGTATACCCCGCGAATAAGGAGCTTTTACTGTAATCATATAACCCTCACCGTTATGAAGACAGTGAAATAACACTATCGTTTTTGGTGTTACGTTTCTGATGGATAGTAAGATTTCTGGGCTCCACGGAGTAGAGAATGGGGGTTAGTGTAGACAATTGCGCTAGTGATAATTCAGTATCTCAAGCGTGTATGGCTGCCGATTATCATTAGGCGGACTTCATGCTTATTTGCCACGCTCATAGAAAACAAAGCATCAAAGAAATATAATAACCTGTTGACGTTTTAGAGTGAGGTGAAGTGATAATTATGTAAGGACTGACTTCTGACGTCATTTCCACGACACACTATAGGTGCATATGATACTGTTATTTGGCTTAAACTTGTAAGTGGCCTCCCTTAACAAATATCCTCATAATTACCTAAATGGGTACTGAAATTACAGCGATGAAAAGAAATCTTACTAAGTTATGGTTTTTTATGTATAATTAAATTTACCTAAACTTACCTAATTCTGAATCACTGGATGCTTCATTAAGTTCTTGTAATCTGTGAAGGTAAAAACTTGGTTTTTATATTGCTGTGAAAACTTATACAGAAAATATTAAGTAAATAGGGTGGTTGCGAATCAGTCTCACATGAAGAGGCCCATAATGTCAAGTAAAAACCTTAAAAAAAATAATCATTTTTGACGTGATTACGTCTTATAAATCGATGAACACCGTCTGCACGCACGAAAATATGTGACGACATGTCACGAGTCTCCCCCCTCCGTTCATCGAAATCAGTTAAGCCGTTTTTGCGTGATTGAGTAACAAACATACAAACATTTACATTATAAAAGTACGATAGTAGGTTATTACGCGCCATTTTACAACTAATATTACGTAATGCCTGCTAGTTTTGTTGTCACTTTGTGTAAAATAAAATTAACATTAGGATTATTATATGAAAGAATACTGACCTATCTTGTGAGCACGTGTCATCATTCTCTACAGATATCAGCCTGTCTTCGGGAGGGTTCTCCTCGTCGTCAAGGTCGTCCTCCTTAGGCTTAGATTCATCAGATGAACTTTCATCGGACTCGTTAAAGATATCCTCAACCTGGAAAACATAATGAAATGGTTTTACTAACAAATATCACATACAGTTATCATAGATAATTATTTGACAAACGAGACTTTAGCGACGCGTCGCTACGTTCACAGTCGGTCGGACTCGTCGCTGTAGTATAGATGTATCACATCAAAAATGGTATAGGATTACTATTATATCTTAGTGTATCAAAAGTCATGACTCGGGAACAAATATTTGTGTTCATCACACAAACAAAATCCACCAGGGTCGCCCTTTGGAATAGAAGGCAAGAGCTAGTAGCTGTTCCATCAACTAGTTAGGCATCTTTGACTTTACAATAGGCTATTTGACAAGTTTTTAAAACTGTTCATAAGTTATTTATTAATGTAGAGACTCCATAAAAAGTGTATGCGTATGTAAGTAACAATAACGAATATATAAATTTAGTTTTTAAATATATCATTAAAAGAATGCCGTGGAAACGTTTTTCTAGCAAATATGCAAATAGGCGTTGTTTCAAGGCAGGTGACTTCATACGGCTTTCATAAAACGTCAAACAGTACAAAGTAATGTTATTTAGACAGCATGTTTACAAGCAGGTGACGTCATTTTAGGCTCCGCCAATCCTTCTGTTTTCGGTCCCGTGACTATAGATCAAAACCGGCCGCAGGACAGTATATGAGTGACGTCACCTCGCGGTCCATGTCGGCGATGTCATCGCTGGGGGACAGCAGTCGGTTCTGCGTGTCATAAACCGGCCGGAGGGCAGTATATGAGAGACGTTACCTCTCGGTCCATGTCGGCGATGTCGTCGCTGGAGAAGGACAGCAGACGGTTCAGTGTGTCATGAACCGGCCGGAGGGCAGTATATGAGTGACGTCACCTCTCGGTCCATGTCGGCGATGTCGTCGCTGGAGAAGGACAGCAGCGGGTTGAGCGTGTCCATGAACCGTCCGGAGGGCAGTATATGGTTGCTTTCCAATTACAGAGCATAATGCGACTCAGTGCCGCACAATGCCCAATTATGCTGATGCTTAATTGGAACGTGAATTAGTTTTCAAATGCACCAGCAGAGTGCGCTAAGTTCAGTGTTGAAAAAAAAAGTCAATGTTTGTACCTTTTTCCATACTTATATTTATTTTTTAACAGTTTGAATGAACTTTGATTATTTAAAAGAAACTATTTAATGAAACGAAAGCTTTAATATTTTTTCAACAATAAATAATATTACTAACGATAACATAAATAAAACATTTCGATCAATGCCAATTTACAGAAAAAACACTTGTTAATTTTCTGTCTCTAAGTTGGTACGATTGCACGTATCACACGAAAGCTTCACTTTTGAGAGTGCTCAATTGTGCGAAGCGTTGCTGTAGTTGGAACACTCAACGTTAAGCATTATGCCGCATAATGCGCTATAATGCTGTAATTGGAAAGCAACCTATGAGTGACGTCACCTCTCGGTCCATGTCGGCGATGTCGTCGCTGGAGAAGGACAGCAGCGGGTTCAGCGTGTCCATGAACCGTCCGGAGGGCAGTATATGAGTGACGTCACCTCTCGGTCCATGTCGGCGATGTCGTCACTGGAGAAGGACAGCAGCGGGTTCAGCGTGTCCATGAACCGTCCGGAGGGCAGTATGAGTGACGTCACCTCTCGGTCCATGTCGGCGATGTCGTCGCTGGAGAAGGACAGCAGCGGGTTGAGCGTGTCCATGAACCGTCCGGAGGGCAGTATATGAGTGACGTCACCTCTCGGTCCATGTCGGCGATATCGTCGCTGGAGAAGGACAGCAGCGGATTCAGCGTGTCCATGAACCGTCCAGAGGGCAGTATATGAGTGACGTCACCTCTCGGTCCATGTCGGCGATGTCGTCGCTGGAGAAGGACAGCAGCGGGTTCAGCGTGTCCATGAACCGTCCGGAGGGCAGTATGAGTGACGTCACCTCTCGGTCCATGTCGGCGATGTGGTCGTTGGAGAAGGACAGCAGCGGGTTCAGCGTGTCCATGAACCGTCCGGAGGGCAGTATGAGTGACGTCACCTCTCGGTCCATGTCGGCGATGTGGTCGTTGGAGAAGGACAGCAGCGGGTTCAGCGTGTCCATGAACCGTCCGGAGGGCAGTATATGAGTGACGTCACCTCTCGGTCCATGTCGGCGATGTCGTCGCTGGAGAAGGACAGCAGCGGGTTGAGCGTGTCCATGAACCGTCCGGAGGGCGTCCGTCGCCGTAGGGCGGGCGTCGGGGCGGGCGGGGCTGGGGCGGGCGGCGGGCTGCTGCAGTGGGCGGGCGGCCGCCGCGAGCTGCTCTGTGGACACAAGGCACTGTCACGCCCGCATATGCAATCAACTGAGAGATAAAACCGTGAATAACATGGTAACTACGCAGAGGGAGTTGTATCGGTTTTTCCCGGGAGTGGAGGCCCGACTAAAGGCCACTTGAGTCGAGCCTGACTATGAAACCTCGCAATTGCTGACAGGACATGGCTGTTTCAGGGGTAGGCTTCAGGGTAGGGTCCTGCTACTGTGGGGAGGGAGAAGTAGAGGACGCATACCACGCTCTATGGGAGTGTAAGCTCTATGAGGAGGCGCGTAGGGAACTTCTGGACAGTGTGAAGGTGCTCGAGGTTGGTCCGGTCTACGATTGCGACCTTGTGGGATCGGAGGCTAACTTCAGGCAGCTGCGCGATTTCGCGCGTAGATGGCACAGGATTCGGAGTAGACTTGAGAAGTGAAGAAAGAAGAGAGGACCGTACAATTTGGAGCCGGCGGTACCACTTCAGAGTGGGCACGGGACGGCTGGGATTGCGATGAAGGCGTTTCGTGAACGTCCGCCCCTGAAAGGGGAGAGGGACCACAGGGACAAGGAGATAGATAAAGAATAATTTGAAGAGCGGGAGTTACGCGCGGTGGAGACCATTCCGCGCGTATCTCCCGCTGCTTCGGCCTGCATAACCAAGAAGGTTCGCCAGGCCATGGGTGGTTGGTGGGATTTGTAACTACGCAGCGACGAAATCTATATTATACTAGCTGACCCAGCGAACTTCGTACCGCCACACAGTGTTTTATGGAACCAAAAAAATTTACACCTTAAGATTTTTGCATAAATCAATTATTTATACCCTAATAAAGGCAAGAGTTCAATTCTCAGATCACTATTTCCAGTAAAAAAAAAGATATGAAGTAGCAAAGTTTTTGAAATTTGAGCATTAAAAAATTAACAATTTAATGTCCTCAAAAGACGGTTCCATATCTGTACATGAGATATTTGCCACTTGATAAGGAATTATTGAAGGCATAATTTTGCAATTTTATTTTATTTATAAGTGTCCTAGTTTTCGAGAAATATTTTTTTTTTAAATTTCGATTTTTAATTTTTTTCTCCAAATATCGGCAAAAGTGGAACCTGGATTTAGTACAGAAAGGTTCTATAAGCCAAGTTCTATCACCCATAAAAAAATCAGGTTTCACTTTTGCGGTTTTAAGAAGTTATGACAGAATTTAGATAAAGGTCAACTTTCATGATCTAGGATTGTCACAAAGGTCAACTATGAGTTAAATGAAAATGTTCAATTTTTTGTTTGTTAATTAATACCATCAATCAATTGAATAAATTAACAACACTTGTGGACGAATACAATATACTTACATATACTAGGTACCTACCTAATGTAGATATGATAATGTAGGAATACTTTATGTTTGTTCGACCACATTTTAACTTTGTACCTTACACGCTAAACTGTAACGAAAAAATGAACTATGTTGCTTGAAAAAAATTTCAAAATTCATTCAGAATCATTCGATCAGAAAATAAAAACAAATCTTGGGCATAAATCAGTTAGTAGGTGTAACTATTATTGTTACAAAAAAAAACGTAGAGGTAAGCAGGCATGAACTTGTGTCTAATTGGGTCTCCAAAACACACACAAAACAAACAATTAATAGTTAATACTCTGACCCGAAAACGAAAATCGATATTCATTATAATGACTTCCGCCTTGACTGGGAATCACCATAAGCGTTTCTTTTTTGCAAATAGAGCTTGGAGCCCATAAAAATATGTTAAAGGTACTGTAGTAAGTTCGTAAAATCTACATTATTGTAAACTCGTTCAAAACTAATACACAAATTTATATTTTAAAAATTTTCGTTCGAGGTCAGGTTCGGTGTCAACCCTAGCATAAAAATTTAAAAATGCATAATTTCTAATCGCCGCAAAAGTGATACGTGACATATTTATGTATGATAGACCACATCCGTAGGTTTATTTCTATCGAAGTTCTAGGTTCCACTTTTTCGTTTTTAGGGAGAAAAAACAATAAATACGAAATACAACAAAAAATTGCTGCTCCCAAACCAATGCATTTTTTTAAGCTAAAGAAACGCGTTTATACGCCTCTGATTATGCCCGATTGACACATATTTATTAAAAAAATATATTGTTAATATTCACTTTATAAAAAAATATTCTAGATTTCATAGGTCAAAGGTCACGATAAGTTCATGATTTTTTTTCTCAAAAAGTATTTGAGTTAGACTTCTGGGAATTGAACTCATGCCTTTTTTAGGGTATAAATAATCTATTTATGTAAAAACCTGAACATGTAAATTTTTTAGGTTCCATAAAACACTGTGCGCCATAAAAATAGGGGCAGGTTGTAGAAGAGAAAATTTAGGGTTGTATGTATTTTTAATACCACGTTATAAAAAAAAATATTGTCCTAAAAAATTTTAGATGTGTGTAACGTAGTGTTCTATCAATTTCCTGGGATAACGTTCCTCCTAACCCATATGAGAAAACACTACATTACAATACCCAATAGTTTGAATTTTGGCGCAAAGGCGCATTGTAGGTTTCAGAACACTGCGTTACAGGTGGACAACGATTATCACTATATATATGGATATGAAAAATAGATTGTAGCCGATTCTCAGACCCACGGAATCTAATATAATTTTTTAAAAAACAAAAAGATAAAATTCTTGTGTCGCGGTTGTTGTGGTTAAACTCCTCCGAAACAGCTTTCCCGATTCTCATGAAATTTTGTGTGCATATTGGGTAGGTCTGAGAATCGGACAACATCTATTTTTCATCCCCCTAAATTTTAAGGGTAATCCACCCCTGAATTTTTTTTTCAATTTTAGATATTTTTTTTTTATTTTTTTTTATGATACATCATACAAAAATACATAGAACTCTAAATTTTCACCCTTCTACCACCAACCCCTATTCTTTTATGGCGGTACGAAGTTCGGTGGGACAGCTAGTATGCATATAAAATTTCATAAAAATCGGTCAGGCCGTTTCGGAGGAGTATGGTAACTAACATTGTGACACGAGAATTTTATATATAAGATAATCTTTATATATATAATTCTTCTGTGAGTGTGTATGTCACTGAACTTCTCTTAAACGACTGGACCGATTTTGATGAAATTTTTTGTGTGTGTTCAAGGGGATCTGAGAATGGTTTAGATTCACAATTTTGTCCGCTGGACAACCCCTATTTTTTTTAGGGCGGTACGAAGTTCGCTGGGTCAGCTAGTATATATATATATAATTCTTCTGTGAGTGTGTATGCCACTGAACTTCTCTTAAACGACTGGACCGATTTTGATGAAATTTTTTGTGTGTGTTCAAGGGGATCTGAGAATGGTTTAGATTCACAAAGACGTGTAGACAGGACAAAGTCTGTCGGGTCCGCTAGTAAGATAATAAAATGGTAGGAAAGTCAAAACTGTACATTGAATATTTTTTATTAATAAATACTTGGGGTGTGATCTACAATCAATACCGAAGCCTAAAATATAGTTTTTAGATTTTTTGTCAAAAAAGTACTGCATGGAATTACTTCAAATTTGGCACGAATATTATTAAGAAGTCGGGTCAACATATAGGCTACATATTATCACGCTATCACCTACGGGGAACGAGCAGTGAACCTTTATTTTTAGCTAACTCCACGCGTACGAAGTCGCGGGCGGCCGCTAGTATGATCATACAATGATATTGTGATCTATTACGCAAGCGAATACGTTTCCTTATTTATTACACTTTCATTTCTAACTAATGAACCGATGCTGATGAATTTTGATATTGAGATAGATCGACACGGATAGTGCGACAAAGAAATGAGTCACCAAATTTTTTTGTACGCGTTGGAATTGTGGCCACAGTAAAACGGTGACAACGTAGGCCAGCGCGCGTGGTCCTCTGAAGGAAAGGGGAAGGTGGGATAAGAGAGAATAACTCCTCAGAACACTCGCCGTGGTACAAACGATAGAACGCGCTTAGTGACGCCACGTCACGGCGTAATTGAAGAGGCTCAAGGTGTTTAGTCACCTTCTCATCGCCTATGATGCGGATCGCGCGCCGCTGTAACCTATCCAAAGCATCGAGCAAGTACTTGGCGGAGCCATCCCAGAGGTGCGAGCAATATTCCACGCAGGACCGCACTTGCGTTTTGTACAACAAGCACAGTTGATCGGGCGTGAAAAAACGCCGCACCTTGTTCAGGACTCCGAGTTTGCGTGAAGCTGTTTTGATCACGGTTTCGATGTAGTCCTTTGGATTCAGGTCTGAGCGAACTTCCATACCGAGCATGGAAATGTTGCTCTGCAGCGGTAGTGTTGTGCCCTGAAGAGATGGAAGGGGAAGGAATGGCGATGTTTATGCCGTGAAAGCGCAAGCCTCATTGAACTCAACTAAGTTCCTGGTACCCCATTCGGAAATGTGGTCCAAAGCCTGATTGAGTTCAATGACAAGATTTTCCCGTTTCTCCTTGGTTACTGCCTGCCCAGCCGCTGCTTGTCCGAGATACCCCGCATGCACTGTACTATCGTCTGCATAGCAATGAATATTCCCAAGAGGAATAAAGTCATTGATATGCAGCAGAAAGAGAGTGGGGGACAGGCCGGAGCCCTGGGGAACGCCGGCATTCACTGACATGAACCGCGAACTGCTACCATCCGTAAGGACACGAATTCTACGCTCATGCAGGAAGTCAGCCACCCAAGAACAGATCTGGGCTGGCAGACCGGAAGCTTGGAGAGAAGGCTTTTGTGCCAGACCCTGTCGAACGCCTTGGCAATGTCAAGGCTGATAGCCAACGACTCGCCACGCTTGTCGATAGCCTCACCCCAGATATGAGTTAAGTACGCTAGAAGATCACCCGTCGATCGTTTCGGTCTAAATCCATATTGACGATCATTAATCAGGGAGTGATCCTCTAGGTAGCGGGTCAGATGGTTATTAAGGACCCTTTCTAGAACTTTACATAAAACTGAGGTGACTGCTATTGGCCGGTAGTTTGCCGGGTCTGAGCGATCCCCTTTTTTGGGCACCGGTTGCACGTTAGCATCTCTCCAAGTCTCCGGCACACGCCCCAAAGAATACGAGCATTGGTACAAGCGCGTGAGCACGGGAGACAACTCCGCTGCACATTTTTTAAGCACAACTGCTGGGATGCCATCAGGTCCACTAGCTTTCCGGACGTCGAGTGATTGCAATTTGGCACGAACTTCACGCTGCCTGATTTTAATATCAGGCATCGTTGTGCCACAGTGAGGTAATGATGGTGGCAGTGCATTGCAATCATCGATTCGGGAGTTAGCCGCAAAGAGTTTTGCCAGTAAATCGGCTTTCTCCTGCGGCTTATGAGCTAGTGTTCCGTCTGGGCATCTCAGAGGTGGCAGCGAGGGCTGGCAGAAGTTATTTTGCACGGCCTTGGCCAAACGCCAGTAGCTACGGGAGCCCGCAGGATGCGTAATAAGTTCCTGGCCAACACGTGCAACACGCTGGGCATCCGCTCTGATGTAAGCCTTCTTACAGGCCTTGGAAGCAGAATTGTAGGCTGCTTTGAGTGAATCGACCCCGGGATCCTTGAGAGCGCGGCCTCTGATCCAATCACGATATGCCGCTTGCTTGCGCGGGCTCTTACCACAACCTGATAGCCCTGTGGATGGGTCGTGAGCAGAAGGTCCAGTAAAGAAGGCGCTTGACTTGGAATATCTGGGATCCTGGTGGGCTGATCAACCAGTTGCTTCAAGTCATGCGTGAGAGCGAATGTGTGAGCAGAGATCCCTGCATGGTCAGTTTTGGAAGAACTTAACCACAAATTGTGGCGAGCATTAAAGTCCCCCAAAAACACCAATTCTGCGTTGGGAAATTGTTCCTGCGCGTCATCTGCTGCCCGACTAAGGTGCTCAAAAAGTCGAGTTGTCTCAACATCGCCAGTGTGGGATCTGTAGAGGCACACGTAGACTCTGGCCAGGGGGCCAGAGTGGTGGAGTGGTAACAAACCAGGCGGGTGTTAGGCACCCTACCACCAGAAGAGCGGATGGAAGCTCCGACATCCCTTAGTCGCTTCTTATGACACCCACGGGAAGAAAAGGGGCGGTGAGTTGTATTCTTTCTCCGTCACCGCACGGATAAATTTTTTATTACTATTACTTTTGTAATAGTAATAAAAATTAAGCAAATAAACAGAATAAAAACCGCTACGTCGTCATACATAGCGTCGTCTCCCTCACATTTATGCACCCATCAAACTTCTTGAGCATGAGTGCTGGAGTGGAAGTGCGATCCAAACTGTATTGCGGTTGTGAAGTTAGCAGCGAGCAACGATTTCGGCCGGCCTATTCGCTAACTTTTTTGACATTTACAGTGTGTCGCTAAACAGAAAAAAGCATATCCACCGATGCTTTTTTAAGAACAAGTATCTTAGTGGCGTTATTTTTTTGTTTTTTATTTATTTACAGAACCAAAACAAAAGTTTGTAATACAACAAATGTTGAAATAATACTAGTAAATAAATTAATCATCACAAACTCAACAGCAATGGTCACCAATATGTTCAAGTATTACAATTTCAATAATAATAAAGAGGTAATAAGAGAAATAATAAGCCTCTTGTTATTAGGGAACCTTTTTACCAAATTTTTGAAAACTGCTTATATTTAAAGATTAGGACAAACGATTTAACAGAAAAATAAATAATGTCTTTTTTCTCCGTTAGACCAATTAAAGTTGAATTTATTTTTAATGGTTTTGAATTTACCGCCAAAACACTCGGTTCAATGATGTATACTGTGTGACGTCAACTTTGTGTAAAGAAATTTAACACCTATGTAGTCTTCGGACGATCTGTGATTATGGAGAATTTATTTAACGATTCTTTTCTTTTCAAAAAAATTGTGTAAGTATTATACTATAAATTTATCCCGAACATAAAAATGGTTAATAATTTGATCTTGACATGATTACATAGCATACCCAAAGTTGACGTCACACAGTAGACGTCATTGAACCGAGCGTTTAATAAAATGTTTTTATTTCAACTCTGTTAAAAACATTACCTGTGTTTGTCTCTGTAAAGGGTACAGCCTCTCGTCGACTCTCTCCCATCGTTCCGCACACGTCCATAGCCATTCGGGCGTTACAACGTGCACTTTGTTCTTGCCTTCACCCATTCTTCTGCTGGCATTTACTTTAGCTGTGCCTGGAATGAGCAGTTTTTTCTTTTAATGTTAAGAGGGTGGAAAGCGGCCACCATAGCCTAGAGACGCTTGCAACACCAAAAATATCACTCGCACCATTGCCTACCCTGACCCAATCCCCTACTCCGTAGAGCCCTGGAACCTTAGGCCGTATACAGAAAGAAAACTGGAAGCTGACCAGTGCTTTTCAGCGCTGGTCCTTACTGGTAACATTTACATGAAGGAAGCAGATTAAAGCGTAGTTGTTTATTAATTTCAAAGGGCGGTGCCAGCGCTGACCAGCGTGTGTCGAAGATTGTCGGAACTTGTCGGCGACGTTCGGCGCTGGTCCAAAGAAATGCTTGCGCCGGTTACCTGCGCGAACCGGTTCCTATAAGCGCTGGTCGGCTTCCAGCTTTCTTTCTGCATACGGCCTTACTCACCGATAGAAACACAACACCACCAAAAGGTAGTGTTATTTATTTTACTGTCCTCTTCTGTGAGGTTCCCTTCCTTCCCCAGACTGGCGTTTCAATTGACACTGTCATTGGAGATTGTCTTTTAACTAGATCAAAAATGCTTATACAGCGAGTTCAGAACGCTTGTGCCAGATACTGTTTTCCAATTCCCCGAAGAGCGCACGTGACACCCTATCTAAATAGAAGTGATATGCTAAATATGGAAAACCGTCGCAAAATGCATTTTGCGAGTTTGTTGTTTGGAGTTATACAATGTAAGCGCCCCATATACTTGTATGAGAAGCTGACTTTCTCTGAGCGTCCTTTGCGGATAACATCTCGTATGAGGTGTCCCGCACATAGAACTAGTGCGTTTCGAGGTAGTTTTCGTTATGCAGCGACCAAATGTTGGAATAACATTCCTCCTCCAATAAGGAACTCCAAAACGGTTTGCACTTTTAAAGTTAAATACAGGAAATATTTATTAGATGTGCAAAAGTTGCAATGAACTAACCTGAACACTATGGTTGATTTTGAGCACCATTTCATACGCTGTAAATTTTAATTTAATTTATTTTTTTTTGGCTGTCATTTTGTTTCGCAATATTTATCCAATTGATTTCAGTAATTTGACATTTGTATTTAAATCTTTTATTCTTAATTTTTATTTAAATTATTATCGATGACCTTAAATGTCATTTAATTTAAGTAGGCTGCTGCTGAAAATCAGTGTCGTGGCACATGTTGCCTCGACATATACTGAGCAGTGACCTGTTTGGTACACAACCTTTATGTAACACAATAAGTTATTTTTGTAATTTGTGCCAAATAAACGTTTTATTATTATTATATTATACTAATAAATTATTTTTGGGAAAAAGTGTAAGTTTGTTTGTAGGAAGTAATCTCTGGAACTATTGAATGTATTTAGAAAATTCTTTCACCCGCGCAAAGCTACATTATTGTTGAGACAGGCTGTAATTTTCCTTGTGCAAAATAAGTAATATTTCATAACAATGCAGTAGTAAAAAAATGGGTGCGTGTACTTATGTAGGCGCATGAGAAGTTATCCTTCTTTGGTATCGTTTAAAATTAGTTTTTAATTGCATGCAAATAATTAATTACATTTAATAAATTAATAAAAAGTCTGGAAAAGGACACAGTCAATAAAGTTCAGTTTTAATTTGAAAAAATAAATAAATAATCAAAATATTCAATTAAAATCGCTACTGAATATAATTTATTAGAACATATGTGATTTGCACTTGTATGAAACTCAAACACGTATTCCGAATATACAAACTAGAAACATGTGGATAAATGTTATAAATATGAATACCTATAACTGTTACTTTATTACAAAAAATAAAGATGTGGTTTTTGGTTCTACTACACCAATGGTCAAGAGATGGCGCTGTAGTCTCCTGAATCGCGCTTTGGTTCCGTTGTTCCAGATTAATAAATACTTTTGATATTATAAATATGAATACCTATAACTGTTACTTTATTACAAAAAATAAAAATGTGGTTTTTGGTTCTACTACACCAATGGTCAAGAGATGGCGCTGTAGTCTCCTGAATCGCGCTTTGGTTCCGTTGTTCCAGATTAATAAATACTTTTGATAGGCCTTCACAATGCAGTCATTAGCACCCACTAAATAGAGATTCTATTTCTATTTTGTTGGTAGATTTTCTTAATGTGCGTTAAACACAAAAGTATTATATTTTGTGTTACAGTGATGCGCGCGCATCTTAAAATTTCACTCTCATCATTTTTTCATAACGCGCCTAAAGAAGTATAACTTCAAAATAAGCACCAACCACTCTCTCCATAGTTATTTGTTGTGTGCGTTTTGTGTTGTAATACTGCCTTCGGTATGGTCCTGTGTGACGTAAACCCCTAAATTTCGAGCCAATTAATTCGCCCACTACCAAAACTTAGCGTATTTTTACAGCAATCTGACCGGAAAATAGATGACGTTTTGGTAACTATTTTGGAGTAAAATTTTACAGTAGTTATTTATCAATTTACCTGCTCTAACGGCGACCAGATGTGTACTGCCTTCAGTATAGTCTTGTGTGACTCGAGCCCCTAAACTTCGAGCCACTTGATAAGCTCGGGAAGTCTCCAGCCTCTGATGTGTTGGAACTAAACCACTGAATACTAGACTCGTTCCAGATAACACTTTACTCTTCACTTCAGGTATTATAGTCTTTAAATCTGGTATTTGTTTACCGCCGGTTTGTTCGTAGAGGTCGTAGAAATGTCTGTAATTGTATTAATAAGTTAGTACGATTGTGGAAATTGAGAAACGCAATGGATGGTCATGAATTTGTTACAAAGCTAATCTGTGAGGAGATAGTAGGCCTATGGATACGGGTCCATCCATAAATTACATCACAAGGATTTCATGATACCCCTTCTGGTCTCTTTCCACCTTGTATGATTCTATCCATAGAGAAAAGATTATGTTCCCAAAGTAAGCAAGCATTTATACTATAAACTGGAATACTAGAATAGTAATAGAAATATATGCAATTTGTTTTGTAAACACTGATGTCGATTCTGACACGATTCTCTAAACTTAAAACTAAATTTAACATCAGTCTCTCCTTTTCATGCTATATAGAGAATGACAAGGATACACTGTAGTCAAATTTAAGTTTAGCTTTAGAGAATCATGCTAGAATCGACACCAATGTTGGTTCTCTGAAAACTGAAATGCTACATAAAGAATTAAATATATGATGCAGGTGATAACTCACTTGTGTATCCTTTTAAGGATATCTTCTAGATATATTAAATAGTCATCGGGATCCTCTACTTCAATTTGTCCATCTGCAGTTTCGACCCATTTTGGTTCGTTGCACACATTCTCTAAAACATTTTGCCCTTCACTTTTGTCACTGTCTCCCACTGTGGACTTCTTTTGTTCTGCTTCAGGATTGTCCGATTTTAATTTGTCCTCATTTGGTTTATCTTTTACTACTTCATCATCACTGTCTGATTTCTTTTTTTCAACCTCTTTTTCTGGCTCGACGTCCAGAATAGGCATTTGATTGAGAGCAGCAGCTAATTGAGAGCCATTCTTGCCAGCTATTACTTTAGATTTTTCTTCTGAAAATCCATACTAATATTATATATAAGTACATACTAAAGTTATAAATACGAAATAGTCTGGTCAAATTAGAAGAATAAGAGTATGCATAAATTCACATCAAGCTGAAAGAGAGTACAACAAGTTTAAAACATAATTAAAAATAACATCAAATTGCTCATCGTTCTGGTACATGGAAAAAATGGGTTTTTCGCTATTTTCATTAAAACGGTAAGTTTAAATCGTAAAATTATCTTTGACAAAAATGTAGATCATAAAATTATCTACACAAAAAGGTATTAAATTTTTTTTCCAAAGAGCCACCGTTCCCGAGATATAAGATCGTCATAATATGCATAATATGTCACATATACACATCTCCATAGCTGTAATATTAGTTAAAATAATTTTCTATCGATGATTGTTACTTACATTAAAATATACATAGGTATAACAATGAGAATAATGTGCTGAAGCTTTTACAAAAAGTAATTGAACTCCACAAGAAACATCATTAACGGAATTAGCTTTCTTCTTTTTATGTACGGAGCTCTTAAGAAAACTACCAGCTTAGATAAGTATTGATAAGCATATTAAAAACACTTAAAATAAAAAAAAGCAAGTGCAATTAGCAATCTCAGTTGCTGCTCATCAACGTCTTTTTCAGGTATATATACCAAGTTCCAGTATACCAAGGTATATTACCAAGTTCTAGTGTGGCTTGAATATCAGCTAGACCCCAAAAAACTAGGGTTAGAAGTTGGTCGACAATACATTAGAACTAATTCAGACTTTATTCTTACATGCGCAGGAAAAACTGCTAAACACATTTTTTGCAACTGAAAAAGGGATACAGTGCTAAATGTGGTTGCAAAAACTTGGACTGTTTTGTTCTCTGATATGTACAAATTGTCAAGGCCAGTTGTGTTATAATTTGGAATCACCAACAGTAGACGATTTGTTTGCTACCAACGAAGAGACATGTGATACATCGCTACTGACGCAATTCACCCAGGATGTAGAAGATCAAGAAGAAAACAACAAGAAGAAGTAATTGAAGATTATGAATCAGACGAATATCTTTTTCTACTGTTTTTTAATTTCAATCGCTTTATCAATAAAATTCAAACCCTTGCTTATATTTATTAATTTATTATGCGATAGTTTCCAATTAAACAGAATCACAACAGACCTGTGGAATAGACCTACTGGAGAAACCACATTAAAAAAACGCGCTAAGCCCACTACCTCAGAGGTGGAGTGGAAACGAGTGCATATTATGATGCTTACAACTTTAAATCATTATATCTCAGGAACGGTGGCTGTTAGGAAAATTAATATTAATACCTTTTTCTATAGATAATTCTATGATTAGTACATTTTTTAAGGTAAAACTTACCGTTTTGATGAAAATAGCAAAAAAACTTTTTTTTTATCTTTAACCTCAAGTAATTTTTTCCCTGTACGGGCTATGAGGAATTTGGATATATTATTATGTATTATGTTTTGAACAATTGTACTCCCTTTCAGCTTCATGTGAATTTATGCACCTTTAAATGTCTAAATTGACCCGATTAAAACTAATTATCTCTCTGTCTGTTACCTCTTTGTGCTTAAACAGCTAAACCAATTTAGATGAAATTTGGTATAAGAGATAGTTTGAATCCTGGGAAAAGACATGGGATTGCTTTTTATCCCAGAAATCACCTTTTTTGAGGGTGATATGGGGGGTGGAAGTTTGTATAAGAATACTATTCTCTCTCTCAAAAAAGTCAGTCCACTAGAATTTTTCGTAAGTTCAGCTTATGATTTGCAAAAAAGTTATGTGATTATTCTATTCAGTTTTGCACAAAAGTTATGTGATTATAGAATGTGAATGTGATCCTCGTATCTGTCTTTCTTGGAAGGCTCCAAAACAAGAAAGTCTTCAGAAGGAATTGTTTATATTTGGATTGTTTGTGAAGTTACATTAAACTAAACAATGTAACTTGTATCATTAATCCAATTCCATCATACTATAATTAAAAAATATATTTTAAACAGATTTTAAGAACAAAAATCTATTTTATGAGGTATCATTCATAATGATTTGAACATTAATTGATTTTGTATAGTATATTGATTATCTCCTCAAAGTGATATAACAGTCAACATACTATATGAAAACACACAAGAATGATGACGTACTTAACCACAAAATACTAATCAAAGATAAATAGTATGTAATTTAGCTTTTGCAAAGATGGATATGCACTTTGATTGCTTTTCAATTTGAATGTAAACTTCAATTGTTATTATTATTATCATCAACTCAACTTTTGATTTTGATATCAGATTGGTTATAAAGACTAACCTAACATCCCTAACAACTGGAACAAATGGCTTCAAACAAGCTCAAAAGACATTCAACCAAATATATATGTGGTTATTTAAAAATAAGTAATTAATATTACTAACCTGGTAAAGACGGTGGTGCATTAATATCTCCCGTTGATTGAAAGAAGGAATACGGCCTCACATGGATTAGGTTTGTTGCATGCCTCCATACATCCTCTCTGTCGTCAATTATACACACCATGTTGTCGCCGCAAGGAAACAATGCCCTGGAATTGGGAAACACAATGGTAAATCTTCCAAAACTCTAAAAAATTATATTTTTATTTTTTAAGTGTTTAACTGCTAGATGTTTATTCTAAAGAAAATTTTTACTAGAAAAATTTTGGGTGCGGTTTCGAGTCCCGTCTGGTGCCTGGTCAGCATGGTGTTTTTTTCTAGTAAAATTATCTTTAGACTACATAATTCATCGATTCTGACATAACTTTATTTGTTATTATTACAGAAGTGTAATATTAAAGGTAAAATTGTTCATTGAAACCAACGGGTTATTCAATGAATTCTTAAAATTATGTAAATTACATAGTATTAGAAACAATGCCCAGAATTGGGAAACACAATGATAAATCACTAACCCTCTACATATTCGATTCTGACGCATTTTTACTTTTTATTACAGAAGTGGAATATTGAGGTGAATTTATTTAATGAAACTCACAGTTTTTACTTAAAATTAAGTAAATTACATAGTGCAAGAGCCAATTATAAGTATTAACAATTTGCATATAAAATTGTGCAAAAATTTATAGTTCAAAAGCATAGTTTCTAAATTACTTAATCTACCAAAAACAAGACAAATGCTGAGAATTTACTGCATCATACATAAAAGCCATTGAAATGAATAATAATCTGATCAGAATCAGGATAATGAAGTCTATCTCAATCAAGATGAGCTTTTCAATGACTACTGGGCCAGTCCTTCCCTATGGATGGAATAGGTTTCGCCCTATTCCACCCCATTATTTTAGGCCATGACCCTACATTCAGAGGGCCAGTGTGGATTGGCATTTATGCTAATAACTGCGGATGCAGTCCTATATACTTTTTTCGGTTCTTTTCCAAGTCTTTTTTCAAGTTGCAATGAATTCAACAAATACCATTTTACTACTCACTTTAAATTAGCCGCCTTTGTTCTGGGATCAAAACATTCATCTCTTGAAAGTATTCTGTGTGAGAAGAATTTTTTTTCTGGATCCAACAGATCAGATACTGCATGTGCATACTGCCTTGCACCAAAGGTACAAACATGAAGTTCATAGTTTTTGGCTGCACCTTCCAAGAATTCCTTTGTTCGAGGCCTTAACCTTGTGTGGCACCATCTTCCTGGACAACCAGGACTACGCAGGAAAAAGTGTAATACACCCTAAAATGTAACAAATAATAACAATAAGCTATAATAAGGTGATAAGTCTTAACTCCAACTTGACAATAGCTTCTTTATTATATTTGGCTAGTTTGTAGCGACCTGCACTACCTATTCATATACTCAACAAAGAATGAGTTTGGACTGCTTAAGTACCTAGTGTTTTGTTTATGTCACAAATATCATTAGTGTGATGAGACCAAAACACTATCCACCTTATTACAAAACATAGACCAAAGGTAAACCTGGACTGAAACTGATGCTGTCACTTTTGTTTTCTAAAGAGGACAGAGACAACATTAGGTGTGTACCGAGACTAACTTTAGTCAACGTTTTTTTTATTAAGGGGGTATGTAACTAATCCCAACTTATTCTTTATCTATCAATTGGGAGTGCTATAGTATTAATTATATTGTAAAATAAAGCAAATCAGTGTATAATTATGCATTGCATTGCAATGTATAAAGTTTACCTTCAGATTTGGTGCAACATTATCATTGGTTGTATGAACTAATGTTTGGTCCAAGTCCACAAGTAAAACTAATTTTTTATCTTTCAATAGGCGCTCAGCATCTTCACGTCCTAATTTTTGAGCCAATTCTTCAGACACCTAAAACATAATGTGCAAAAAGCTATCATTGAAATATTACTTTGTTGATCATTACACCCTAGAAAAAATAAAAACTACTGTTGTTAAACCACTTTTTTTTCTGTCTGTAGCATGATTAAACGCAGATTGTAGTTATTATTCTGTTTTGTCAAAAATTATATGTACAAGCAATCATTGTTTCTATAGCACTGATGTTGTTTTAGTAAAAAACTTCTGTATGTTGCTATGGCCGATGAAACAAATGCTTTATTAAAATCATAATTAATCTTACTTTCAATTCAGGTACAGAATGCACCATTGGAACAACAGCAACATCGCGCTTTGTGCCCTCATCCGTACGAAGATCGGCGCCGCACTCCGCGCACATCTCTTTCATAACTGTAGGATGCTGACATGCTTCTAATTCAGCTACTGCAGTTCTGAAAAAGAAATAAACATTCAAATGAAACGTAAATAATTGATCGCTATTGTGTTTACTTTGGGTTTGCGTCAATCACATTGACTTCAATCTGCCAAGTTTAGTTTTCCCGCGTAAATTTCGAGTAGGTTATTGACAATCAATACAATTGCTCTTATATTTTGTAGTTAATTAGATACGAGATATAAGTTATTTGAATGTATTTATAAAAATTGCCGGTGAATTATTGAATTTAATAAGACTATTTTGTAAATGACGTCACTTACCCAGGCTCTGCAATGTCTCCTTCCTTCACCTTGATCGTCGAAATGGTACCAGCACGCGCCGCTTTATATTTTTTTAAATCACTGTTACTGCCAGATGAATCATTATATAAAAATAAAATCTGACCTTGTGACACAAATGCACCTTGTTTTACTTTCCACTTTATCACTTTAGCAGGCTTTTCAGATGGAACAAAAATAGGCATAGTTTTGTCGGCCATCTTGAACGGAAATTGCGATTAATATTAAGAATCACGTCTTTTGATTGGTGGAACAGGAATGTTTTTGGCGGTTAACTAATATTCACCAATGGGATTCGGTATATCAGAAAATCAATGAGGTTATGGGTTCAATACAGACTGTGACCGGAAATTGACAAGATAACAAGGCTTCCTCTATTCGTGCAACCAAACAATAATGGTAACCATACACGCACCGACATAATTGCTCAAGTAACCATGAACGCATACTTGTGGTGGCTTTCCAATTACAGAGCATAATGCGACTCCGTGCCGCACAATGCCGAATTATGCTGATGCTTAATTGGAACGTGAATTAGTTTTCAAATGCACCAGCAGAGTGCGCCAAGTTCAGTGTTGAAAAAAAAAGTCAATGTTTGTACCTTCATCGATATTTATATTTAATTTTTAACACAGTTTGAATTAATTTTGATTATTTAAAAAAAACTATGATGAAACGAAAGTTTTAATAATTTTTCAACAATTAATAATATTGCTAACGATAACATATAAATAAAACATTTCGATCAATGCCAACTTAAATAAAAAATACTTGTTAATTTTCTGTCTCTGAGTTGGTACGATTGCACGCATCACACGAAAGCATTACTTTTGAGAGTGCTCAATTGAGCGAAGCGTTGCTGTAGTTGGCACACTCAACGTAAAGCATTATGCCGCATAATGCGCTATAATGCTGTAATTGGAAAGCTACCTGTATTTGTATTGCTATTTGTAATTTTGCCAGCAGTCCCTCCTTTTAAATCCATTTAGCAGCATCTTAAGAATGAAATCGGGTGCATCATATTGTCGAGTTCTATAGAGCTTTACGCTATAGTAAAGTCTGAATGTACCTTAATAATTGCTAGTCTTAATCTGTGGTTATTTATAGTCTCTGCCGGCTGAGCTCGCGTGACAATTTGATTTGATAGATAGCAACAAAATATTTTGTAGAAACTGATCGAATTTTATTTTAGTATTTAGTGTTCTGTTTTCTGTTTACGATAGGAATTAATGTAATTTAATATAAAATATGACTGAAGAAAACATAACAGTAAGTGATAACTCTGATTCTGATGACGCTGGAACACCTGAACTTCGAGGGTATCTGAGTAAATGGACAAATTACATACACGGTTGGCAAGACAGATTTATTGTGCTGAAGGATTCGACTTTGTCCTATTACAAGAGCGAATTGGAGAGCAATCTTGGCTGCCGAGGTGCCTTATGTCTCAAAAAAGCCAAAGTCAAGGTGATTATTTTCATGATTTTAGGACGTCTGTGCTAAAAAAGTGTCCTTGTAATCACGTATTTCCTTCCTCCTATTATAACGCAATTGAAACCTGACGATTTCCAATTACATATATTATCAGTATTTTATTTTGTAAACTACTGTTTCAGCCGCATGAATTTGACGATTGTCGCTTCGATGTTTCGGTTAATGACTGTGTATGGTATCTGAGAGCATCAAATCCAGAGGAGAAACAGCAATGGATAGATGTATTGGAATCATTTAAAGTAAGTAATTGGCTCTTAGTTTGTGTTTGTTATACTAAACAGCCAGGTTATAATCTGAAAGTGATTATTATCAATCATTGTGTGCCTGCTGCACATCAACAAGATTGTTTCTAATTTAGAATTTAAATTGTTTGAAGGTCACTTTTGTATCAGTTACCTAATGTTTTTATTGTATCTAGCTATTGTTCTTTGTAATCACAACCAATTGCTATTGTAAAACATTAGCTGTGAATAATAATGTACTTTTTGGTTGGTAATTAAAATGGTTTTCTGAATATTAGGACATTTTTCTTTAATCAGAACACATTGTTTTATTATCATGCCTATTAGTATTATCAGATGATTCACTATCATATCTAAGAATTGATGATTCATATTTACTACATATAATCATTATCACACTGTAATTGTGCTCTAACATGTGATGATAACAAGAGTCATTAATATTATATCAATTGTGATAATTTAAAAATATATTGTTCAGTCATTACAAATATGATTGCTTAGTATTTAACAACACAGTAACTTATAACTTCACATCTTAATGTGCCTACTGTTGTCAAATTACAAACCAATGGCAGTTTTTTTAATAATATTAAATGTGAAACTTTCTTTAATATTATAAATGTAAAATTGTGTTTGTATGTTTGTTAGTCTATCACGCAAAAAAGGTTGAATGGATATGGACGAATTGTTAACACACAGATTATAACCTGGAATTAGACATAGGATACTTGTTATCCTGAAAAAGTGTTAGCTTCCTAGCTTTTAGTATTTCAAAAATTAAAGTTATTGCAGACAAAGTCACAAGTGGCCACTAGTTACTATTAAATTCATATTAAGTAAGCACTGGAATTGTAAAAAACCCACAACTGCAGTTTTTTTCATCTTTAAGAACAGTTCTTGTTATCTGATCTCATTAAACAATATTGCATTTGATGTTGTACTTCAATGACAAATTTAAGCAATTTGTATTTAAAATGTCTACTGTCTTGTTGCATATCTCAATGTAATACATTCTTTATCACCAGAACTTTATATCTGTAAAATATGACTTGTAGATTGTAGGTCTGTTTTTGACAAGGTAATTTTTTACAATCTTATATTTTATATGTCCTGACCATATCACTTGGCAGATGTTTTTTTTTATCTTACACAACATCTAGCATAAATTGATAGTTTCATTCCTTTTTTATTATGATGAAACAATAATCAGAAAACATATTTTAATGAATATACCACATTAAGGTACTGCTTATTATTTACATATAAAATAGGACTTCAATGAATTTTGTGTAAAATCAAGCTGTGAATAAAAAATTAAAGTTTCTCAATGTTAGATAAATCAACTTATCAACTTCTAAACATAAAAACAACTAGTTACACAATACAATTAAAATGCAAATAATGCATTTTTTTTTATGTTGAACTGAATAACTAACAAACAAATATCAATAATATTGATCTGTGATCTCTGAAACAAATGCATTATTATAACTGGATTGAGTTTTAAAAAATTGTTACATTAAATTCAAATCCATGTTACAATGAACTCTTGTCAGTCATCATTGTATTTGATAATGGTGTTTGTAAAACTGTTTTCGTGTTTATGTTTATGTGATTAATTATTGTTTATTAGCTAATAGTGTAGGGTCCAAATACCACTAAGTGTGTCTTTCTTCAAATCTATAATTTTATGTTAAAAAATACCATCTATCAAGTAACATAACCAGGGTTTGTTGTTTCCAGGTGGAATCAGGGTACGGCACAAGCTCAGATAGTAGCTCTAATGGAGGCGGTCTTAGAAGACATGGCTCAGCCACATCTCTGCAGTCAACAGGCAGTCATGGTAAGCAAAATTTACATTGTTAGGGTTTATCCAGAACTAGCAATATTGATTACTGTATGAATCATCATACATCCAAGCTATTGCAGCTTTTGTTTTTCACTAATGAGAATGATTGCCCTATTTTTAATTAGCAGCAGGCAGCCTGGACATGCAAAATGCATATATGTAATTAGAATTATACACTTAATCTAGTATACAAATTTGGAAGAGCCTGTTTCAAGTACCATAGATTATAAGGGTTCTAGCCATTGTTTTTTTTTATGTGTTCTTTCGTTTGTGTTTCATCAGGTCGGGCTACTCGCCATCTCTCAGACAAGATATCAGAGTTGGAGACATACAATGAGCTATTGTCAAAGCAGGCTGTGCAGTTACAGCAATACTTTGACAAGTGTGTTGCTTCATACCCTCAAATTACCGACGAGGCCAGTGAGGCTATAGATGCAGTAAAAGTTGCTGAGGGTAAGTCGGATGGTAAGCATTACCCCCTTTTAAGGGGTTTAAAATAATCTAGTAAACAAATGCTTTAGATTTGCACACTCCTCTGTTTATGTTTTGAAAAGATGAAGTAGTTAGTGAAGCAAGTCAGCCTACTTAATGTACAGATTATTCAGAATTAATTTTGGAAATATATAACTAGGTACAATAATTAACTTGTTTGCGGATTGATCAGTGCTAACGACTGCAATGCAGCCAGAAACAACAACTTAACGTCGTAAGAGCTTGACATAGGAAGTTGCTTTAATTTCATAATCACATGAGTTAACCATTGCAGCATCGAGCTTTTCCCGTCATGGAGTTTTTTCTATACATTTAGTTTAACATAGGCCAAAATTTAATAGCTGTTCTGGTTATTTTTTCGAGTTTTAACATTTGTATTTAAGATTGACACAATAGGTAGGTTTTTCTTTTTCTTTCTGAGCTTCGCATTCAGTTTGTAACCTATCTATGGTATTCATATAATGAGGAACATAATGCTTTAGGTGATGACTTATTACTTTACGTGGGTGAAGTCCGTGCGACGAGCGCCTCGTTCCGAGCGACTTGCGCAGCCACACTCGCTACGTTGCAGTATTGCGCTGAGCTACTGCGCAGGCGCGAGAAGCAAGCGAGGCAGGCGGAGGAGTTATATATGTGAGTGAAAGTTCCATATAAGTAGATTTTATTCTTTATCCAAATTGGCATTTCTTGTTAGCTTCACACTCTTCCTGAGAGTATCTGGGGGCCAATCGCCTAACGGAAATGCTTTGGGAAACGCTAACGCTTACGATTTTATATTGTTATTTCTAGCCGCCTGAGGTTTTCGAATACCACACGCTCATTTTTTTTAATATTGTTATTACCAATGCAAAAGAAAAAGAAAGAGCGCGAGGCATTTGAATAACTCAGGCGGCTAGAAATAACAAAATAAAATCGTAAGCGTTAGCGTTTTCCAAAGCATTTCCGTTATGCGATTGGCCCCCTGGTAAGATATCTTCTAACTTTCAGCCTAAGAGCTACGACCTAAGTATATACGCGCGACCACTTGAACTTAACCTTAATCTCTAAGTTTTATTTTCGTTACGAAAAGTAGCTAGTGATATGCTCTCATAAGTTCCCTTTATCTCTGTATCAATATTCAACAAAATTGTTTTTTTTTGTGTAGGCGTGAAAACACAGTAACCATTGCATTTGTTTGTGATAATATTATGGATGATAGTTCTCATAAATTAATTGATAATAAACTTTGTATTTGCATGTTACTCATCATAGTGACTGCACAAAGACAATTGTAAATATTCATAGTGTTAGTAAAGTGGCATTAGTGATCACTTCCTAGCTGCTAGAATTGTGACATGCATTACTATTTATAATAATTGTTTTAGTCAATTTAAACATCACGTTTCACAATAGTAATTTGCAAATTGTATTTAGTTTCCAAAGTTTTATTAAGTGAAACAAATATTGTTAAGTACCTATTACTGTTATCTTTCACAATATCATCCAAACAGTTTAAGAATTTCTGATTAGGTTTGATGAAAGTATTCATTGTACACAGGGCCTTGAAGAATCAGCTGACTGAAGCAAGATTAGCCTCAAAACCGGGACCTGATCACGAGGTAAGTCTAGATTTTATAATTCTATCCTTATTAATTTATTCGGAAAAGGGGATTTTACAAGTTTTGGAAAATAATCTCATGTTATTGACTAATGTTTATAAAGACCATAAAAATCATTCCGTTGTGTATTTCAGTGAAAAAAAAACTAAATAAAAATTCGCGCCAAAACCTTTTGGATCTCATGGCGTTTGACTGGTATGTGACGTTAGAGTCAGTCCACACGGCGCGTTGCGTCTCCGTTGCGTCGACGCAGCGCTGCCGTTGCATTATTTTAAATACTAATAATCATAGTGTACACCTTAGATTAAAACAAAAAGGGTAGATACGGTACGCTCATACTTACATCAAACAAAAACTGATCCCACGGCAGCGCGAACGGGACGGCGAGATCCGCGTCACTGCATTACCGACCCGAACGAAACAGCACGTTAAGTTTCAACGGCAGCGCGGACGAGACGGCGAGATCCGCGTTACTGCACTACCGACCAATCACGCGACCAGTACTCGACGTCAATACCGAATAAGATTCAAAACAAACAGCAATTTTTATGAAAAAATGTATTTTATAGTACTTACGAATGAAAAGTGATGCTGTGGGTGTTACTTTTAGTTCTTGAGCAATTTGAGCACTTTTTAAAAACACACTTAGGCATTGTTTTATCATATAAACACAAAATATTAGCAATATTTCTTTTTGGCGTTCACATGTACGTCGTTTGCATGTCAAGTTGTGACTAAAGCGATTAGGGTCGTGGACCACAAGTATCTACCCTTTTTGTTTTAATCTACGGTGTACACACGGTGCGCTGCGTCGACGCAACGCACACGCGACGGAACTGCAGCTCCCGAGACGAATCGGGCCCGCGCCCGCCGTGTACACATTGACGACGGAACGGCAGCGCTCAGTTGCTTGTGCGTTGATAGGGAGGATACACGGAAGCCAATATAATTTTTTACGTATTTTGTATTCAATTTTATTTGCAAAGTAAAATAAGTACCACTGAAGAAATTGACTTGGATTACTTCATTACATTGATTCAGGAAAGGTTAATTATATGGGGCAAGTCACATGTAGATTTTAAAAATAAAAATTTAAAAACAAAAGCTTGGGAAGATATTATATCAAAATGTTTATTTTCTAATTACGATAATTTTGTTGCTTGCCGCAACTGTGCGTCGCCGCTGCGATGTCGGAACGTCATTACTGCGTAGTAGTAACGCTGCGGTGACGCAGCGCCTGTGTGGCCGGCTATGCGTCAAAATAGTTGCGTTGCGTCGACGCAACGCGCCGTGTGGATTGGCTCTTACACGACTGTCATTAAAACGTCAAGCAATACAATTTTACGTCATTTTGATCGGAAGTTTAGGTTTTACTAGCGTATGACGTCATTATATTCTTCGCTAATCACAGGTGTTTTCGCTTACTTGACCATAGAACAAAAAATATTTCTAGTTGATGATATTATAGAAAAGTTATTAATTATTTGTTCTCTCAGAATAGTAAAACTGCTGCTAATATTCTTAGTGAATTGGTATTCTGTGGTCAGAACACAGAAAAAGGTTAGAAGGACCTTGTGGGCGGGCAGGCGCGCCACAGTTATGTGTGAGCAAATGCTCATAACTTGACCAAAACTTGGTGCTGATTACGTCATTGCTCTCGAAAGTGAGCGCTGATTGGTTTGATTGTGAGATGTGGCGTCGTTTTTAGTCTATTCTAATATTCTCCCTGTATTATATACAGAGTCGTCAAATTGAAAAATGACTTCTATATGGGATAACTCATGAAGTCACTTTCCATTACAAATGTAAATGATATAACAATTATGACTATAAAATAAAAAAATATAAAAAACAGATTTTAAACAAAAATGTTTAGGAATGCCACGTCCTGCTGTTTATGCATAAAAACAAATGTACGATTAAAGTTAAATACAACGATTAATAGTACCCAATGTAGCAAGAGCAGACTCATCTCCGCTGGCAGCACCCGTTCACGAGCATGACGCATGAACTAGCCATCGTTTCGCTCAACCATATTTTAGGGAACGCAACGACCCGCCTCACACGACACTGCCGAAGAGATTTTTAAGAGAGCATGACTACCCATAACCACTCAAACCAAACTGCAAAATGTTCACTTAGAATTAAGGTAATTTATCTGTACGATACTGCAAACAAATACAAATCAAATTTACAGTTACAGCCATGCAGCATAGCCTTTCTTAAGTAAATAACTTTTAATGTGATATTTGAACTCATTTATGGGTAACTCAAGAATAGCATCAGGAATTTTATTATAAAAATGTATACCTTGACCCATAAAAATCGATAAACCAAACTTTCAAACTAAATTTTATTACTGGAGTGATTACTTGATTTTACGGTACTAACAGCAGTAATTTTTAGAATGAGATCCCAAGACTGCCAGACCTTACTTATTTTCTCATGGACTCAATATGGATTATCGAGTAGTATTAGTGTGTACAACGAACGTATTTGAAATTAATACTGCCTGACACATTCTGTTCGCAGTATTTATTGCCAGACAGTTTTTTTTTTTTTTTTTTTTTTATAGATAGGTCCGACAAATGACTCCACCCCACCTGATGTTAAGTGAAGGTGAAGTCCAGACGTGACGATAGCTGATACAGCAGTTTTACCTGCCACACCAGCCATCCTCACCCTGCCGGCCTGCATGTTGCTTCTTCACGCCTCTTTTAAAGGATCCCAGGTTGTAAGAGGGAGGGAACACGTGAGCGGGCAGAGCATTCCATTTACGGATAGTGCGACAAAGAAATGAGTCACCAAATTTCTTTGTACGCGTTGGAATTGTGGCCACAGTTAGACGATGACAACGTAGGCCAGCGCGCGTGGTCGTCTGAAGGAAAGGAGAAGGTGGGATAAGAGAGAATAACTCCTCAGAACACTCGCCGTGGTACAGACGATAGAACGCGCTTAGTGACGCCACGTCACGGCGTAATTGAAGAGGCTCAAGGTGTTTAGTCACCTCCTCATCGCCTATGATGCGGGTCGCGCGTCGCTGTAACCTATCCAAAGCATCGAGCAAGTACTTGGCGGAGCCATCCCAGAGGTGCGAGCAATATTCCACGCAGGACCGCACTTGCGTTTTGTACAACAAGCACAGTTGATCGGGCGTGAAAAAACGCCGCACCTTGTTCAGGACTCCGAGTTTGCGTGAAGCTGTTTTGATCACGGTTTCGATGTAGTTCTTTGGATTCAGGTCTGAGCGAACTTCCATACCGAGCATGGAAATGTTGCTCTGCAGCGGTAGTGTTGTGCCCTGAAGAGATGGAAGAGGAAGGAATGACGATGTTTTTGCCGTGAAAGCGCAAGCCTGAGTTTTTTTGGCATTGAACTCAACCAAGTTCCTGGTACCCCATTCGGAAATGTGGTCCAAAGCCTGATTGAGTTCAATGACAAGATTCTCGCGTTTCTCCTTGGTTACCGCCAGCCCAGCCGCTGCTTGTCCGAGATACCCCGCAGGCACTGTACTATCGTCTGCATAGCAATGAATATTCCCAAGAGGAATTAAGTCATTGATATGCAGCAGAAAGAGAGTGGGGGATAGGACGGAGCCCTGGGGAACGCCGGCATTCACTGACATGAACCGCGAACTGCTACCATCCGTAAGGACACGAATTCTACGCTCATGCAGGAAGTCAGCTACCCAAGAACAGAACTGGGCTGGCAGACCGTATGCCGGAAGCTTGGAGAGAAGGCTTTTGTGCCAGACCCTGTCAAACGCCTTGGCAATGTCAAGGCTGATAGCCAACGACTCGCCACGCTTGTCGATAGCCTCACCCCAGATATGAGTTAAGTACGCTAGAAGATCACCCGTCGATCGTTTCGGTCTAAAACCATATTGACGATCATTAATCAAGGAGTGATCCTCTAGGTAGCGGGTCAAATGGTTATTAAGGACCTTTTCTAAAACTTTACATAAAACTGAGGTGACTGCTATTGGCCGGTAGTTTGCCGGGTCTGAGCGATCCCCTTTTTTGGGCACCGGTTGCACATTGGCATCTCTCCAAGTCTCCGGCACACGCCCCAAAGAATACGAGCATTGGTACAAGCGCGTGAGCACGGGAGACAACTCCGCTGCACATTTTTTGAGTACTACTGCTGGGATGCCATCAGGTCCACTAGCTTTCCGGACGTCGAGTGATTGCAATTAGGCACGAACCTCGCGCTGCCTGATTTTAATATCAGGCATCGTTGTGCCACAGTGAGGTAATGATGGTGGCAGTGCATTGCAATCATCGATTCGGGAGTTAGCCGCAAAGAGTTTTGCCAGTAAATCGGCTTTCTCCTGCGGCTTATGGGCTAGTGTTCCGTCTGGGCATCTCAGAGGTGGCAGCGAGGGCTCGCAGAAGTTTTTTTGCACGGCCTTGGCCAGACGCCAGTAGCTACGGGAACCCGTAGGATGCGTCATAAGTTCCTGGCCAACACGTGCAACGCGCTGGGCATCCGCTCTAATGTAAGCCTTCTTACAGGCCTTGGAAGCAAAATTGTAGGCTGCTTTGAGTGAATCGACCTCGGGATCCTTGAGAGCGCGACCTCTGATCCAAGCACGATATTCCGCTTGCTTACGCGAAGCAGCTTCAGCACAGTCGTGATTGAACCAGAGGTTACGCGTGCCCTTACTGATGAGATCAGAATGTCGTTTAAATGTCGAAAGCAAAAACCACAAAACTTACTTACAGTCTGAGACCTGATATTTATCTATGATATTTAGGGGGCTATTATTATATTTTGTAAACTGCCGGTCAAAAACTTCGGTGCCAAAAATTCCCTAAGCTTATTTGAACTGCCACTGTGAGGACAGGCGCGCTCATGCTTATTAAGTGTCTTTTTAATACAGCTTCATTAAAGTTATGTCATAAATAGGGTAAAGGAAGCCTTTTACAATAATTAAAAAACTTCTTATTATTTAATTCTCAAAATTATTTTAGACAATAAGCTAGTTTGTTTTTTTTTGC